ATAAGCTGTTTGTATGTACATAAACAAGCAATACAACAGAATACTCCAGTTCGATATTTTGGAGAAAGATTGTTATGTCACAACTTATTTTTGTTTATTAAGAAGCTGATGTAGGCCTATGTATTGTATTCAAACGTAACAGGCAAAAGATAGTTAAGGTGTTTTTGAAGGTTAGATTGTTATTAAGTTTGAAGTTTTGTTTATAACACCCTTCCAATAATAATGCACTTTCTAAGACTGGTTATAGTTTTTGAAGAAAAAAATAGTGCTCTGGTCAGGGCCTTAGGGGAATATTATGCTTATATTTTAGAGCGTATCTGGTATGATAAGTATATCTGGGTGAAGAAGGAGATAATGGAAGTTTGTTGTTTGGTATTTGGAACGTAAGTTTTATATTATGTTTTTAAGAAACAGATAGTATATGAGATCAGGAGTGGAAATTTTCTGTCATTTTGAGAACCAAATCAGTGATATTCTGTTTCATTGAATTGAGTTAGAGAAACTATGTTTTTTGAGATCTGCTTACACAGAATATTGGAATGGGTTTTTCACGATGAATGTTGTTTGGAGACATCAATATTCATAAATGTATGTTTCTATCACCAGGAAATAAAGAATTTTCTGTCTACATGAACCTTTCCTGGTTGCTTATTAATACATTTGCCCACTGGTAACATAACACTTTCACCAGTTGATATCCGTCACCATTGTATTTTTTTTTGGTAATGTCTAAATTTCGTTTAAAAATAGATGATATCAGTCTGGTAGACCTACACTGCAGGCAAGAGTTAGGACTAACATTTAGCATGTTATTAATGTTATTACCATCCTTATATTCTCTGAAATGTTATCTTTATTGAGGGAGACTTAAAAAAGTTAATAACTTGGAAGGGAGGGGGTGCAACCTGCCACACGCGAACTCTTGGTTGCTTTGATCCATTGTCGAAAATATTTTGGCACCTATCATCCCCCCCCCCCAACCACGGATACAAATCGACACCCCTGCTTGTAATATTTCTTACTTAACATTTAAATCTACATATATGTTACGACTTAATGCTCATTACAGCTTTATCTTTTGTTTTACATTGTAAAAGATTATAATGATTCTTATTCATGGACATTGAAATACATTTTATTCATTTGACCTTCCTGACGAGTTTGAACCAAATCACGAAATTAGTAAGTTACCGATTGTTTATATACAGCATGCAGTTCATTTCTTTTTTGAGATATTGTACGATTTCCTTGAAGACGGGGACAAAAATAGTAGTTGCGTGCTCCATTTTTGAAAACATATGTACAGGAATAGCTGTTAACTACGTCAGATCTGCTTATCAGAAGCCTTATTTTGACCGTAAACTACTATGACGAGCACGTTTTTAAACGCGAATAGTATACTAAAATGTGCAAAAATACTATATTATCAGATGGACGAATGTTATCATGATATGACTTTACGATGGCTTTATTTCGTGTGCGACATGGATCCCCAACCGCCTGTCTCGGAGAACCTTTCAACAACCGAGAGTGGGCACAAAGAGACGTGCATCCTTCTTGATAAATGCATGCGTAAGGTTGCATAGGCCCGTCTATCTTAGAGAACACGTACTTGACCAGCAGCTGTTTTGTCCGACCTAGCAACAAAAGAAAACAAAGTGTGACCAGAAATTTACCTTTATTTTGTTGCTCAAAGGGGGGGGGGGGGGGGGGGGGAGAATCGGCCGACGCGATTTCCAAACTCCCGAGTGAAAAAAAGAAACAAAAAATAGTGCCCCCCCCCCCCCAGCGAAATATCGGCCGGCGCGATTTCTAAATTTCAGTACACTAAATTTCAAACTGATTTCTAATTTTGGCCCCCCTAAAAAACCTGGATCCGCGCCGGGACCATCCAGCTGGTGGATCGGGGGGTGGGGCGGAGACGATGGACACCGTATCACCCCATCCCCGGCAAACCCTATCTCTCATGCCCTCAAGATAATTTCGCCCCTCTTATTTTCTTTATTTAAAAAAATGGTCACAAAACTGAGGAATAAACATAATTTTATACACCTAGAAATTTGGTCATACCCACTTTTCCCTGTTACTCTATTTGTCAGAAAATGTTCGGATGTGTGCCCTTCTGACCCCCCCCCCCTCCCTAGCTTACTCGCCCAGATAATCCGGGATTCGCCACTGAAATCCATTAATATACATTTAGTATATCTTTGGTATGTCTGAGCTTTTATTCGAATCGGTGGGTGTGATGCAGTTGGATTAGTGGGTTCAGGCGACCCACGTTATGGTAACCGGAAGCGTTCTGCTCTCCGGAACAATCCGCGTCATACTCATAGCCGACAGGAAGGCGGTGCAGGTGGCAACCTCGAACTGGACATTTATCCATCTATAATGTGGAAAAACTGGAAAGGGGCAGCTAGTGGCGTAGCTATGCGGGGTAGGGGTGTATGGGTAGTTCCATCCTCCACATCGAGTGGCGAAATAAAATAATCAGAGAAAATAGGAGCAAATGCAAGAGAGTGGGGAAAATGACGAGAGAAGAAAAGGACCCTTCCCACACCCGCCCCTATAAACGATACGTGATCTTCCTAATTCGAATCTTATATTCACCGAGTAAGATCGGTGCCCCATCAATGGTCGGTCCCACACTACGCCAATGACAGCTACTATATTTAGAGATATTAAGGCTCCATACCACTGGCATATACTGATGATGGGGGGGGGGGGGGAGTTGACCCCAAGATAAAATTCAAAGTGGTTTATTTCAAATTCGATACCAGTGATTTACAAATGTTGCTAAAATGACATGAAATTCCGTTGTCTCCCCCTCATGCCAGAGGCGGAACTCCGGCCGTGGTGAGAGGAGGGGGCACTAGCTGTGCCCACACTTTTGTAAGTACCCCCAGAAGCCCCTTTTACATAGGACAAGAGCCCTTTTTCTTTTTTAATAACTGTCATTTTCCTCTCTTTTCATCTCTGATGAGTACGTTTTTTCGGGTGCATATGCGAGATATTCCCCTTTTCACCTCTGATATTTTGCCCTTTCAATAACCTATTGTATATAATTTGTCCTGAAGAAATTAATTTTGATTACGTAACTTTATTTATCCCTATGTGTGTGTGCGCGTGAGGAACAAGGCTATTATTGCGCCGGGTTGATTTTTTGAAAAAGTCTTTGCGATCGTGATATAGAAGTATAATGGAAAGAGCGTTAATTGTCTACGCTTTCGATGTGTTATGTCAGTATTAAAGGCACGTGACGGTACATGTATTTCCCAATCGGAAATCGTGGTTTGTATATGACCATATTTGGTGTAGGATTCACTGCCTCTCGCTCGCTATACCGAGTTCCGTTTGTTTACAGTTATGAACCTGTGTCACTAATTAAGACAGATAATATTCAATGACGTTTTTGAGTTCAGTTCTTCTCTTTAGTGAGCTTTGTTATTTTGTGGTTACAGAAACGCATTGTAAACAACTTACACAGATTTTTAATGTATTTGATGACTTGAAAGTTCAGCAATCGGTTCAGACAACTTGTAATTTTGTTGTCTTTTTTTTGGGGGGGGGGGGGGGGGTGTAGTTACAGCAATAAATTAGGCAGGTGGTATGTTAGTACTTTGATGATCGTAACATTTGTCCCGGCGACCATTACTCTTCGACTTCAAGTATATGTCGTCACAAATTGTATAAAGGTTAAGATTAATCATTATCGCAACGGGGTTTAAGGTTAGATTTAGGGTAAGGTATACTATAGTGTTCGGTCAAAGGTTGAAATTAAGAATTCCGTTTCCCCCTCATGCCAGAGGCGGAACCGGACAGCAATAATTTATTAATTCAACCGTCATTACTACAGTCAATAAATTCAGTTCACTTTAAAGTTGGCTTCCATATCAAGGGGGCGTGCCATGTGTCAAGACAATAAGAGTTCATTATTTTAACCGATTTCATTTCATTTGTGAGGGTTATTTTCGTCAAAAGCCCTAATGATGTAATGAACTATAATGCTTTAAAATCGAATAGATATAAACAGATGGACAATCATGAAATGGCAAATTAAGGCGAGTCCATGATTCTGCAAGTGGTGGGAGGGGCACACACGTCCAAAAGTATCCTACAGGAATTAACAAAAAAAACAACACTAAAACCCCAGATATAGGAAAAGATAAATAAATCAAATTGGTGACTCTAACTGATCGGTGTGACACTGGTGGAGTGCACTCATTACCATGTTTTGTGAAAATATAGCTTCTTTTTTTTTGGGGGGGGGGGGGGGTTAGATGATGTAAGTAAAGTTCATCATATTCTTAGAGTTGCATCAATTTGTAAGACCCATTCATAATAATTTAAATATCCGATACAGAGGAAGCAATTACAACAATACAGCAGTTTCACCATGTAATGTAGGATGATGATAAGTGCAATGGCAATATCGTGTTGCACCAAATTTTGAAGAAAAAAACACTACAAGAAGTTTTTAAAAATACATTTTTGTACACCTTTGTTTACTTTCACCCAACCACCTTATGATCTGATATATAGCCACAAACCAACCAAGGACATACAGCTAACATCACCATTGGCTAATAAAGCCTCCTACACAATGTTCTTGCTGCTTAATTAATCAACATTACCACTGATGTTTACCACACACACCACACCACACACCAAATGTTGAAATACAACGTGCCTGCATAACATCCTAGTTCAATGTGTATTTGCCTACCCCCCCCCCCCCCACCCGAATATGATTTTAAAAGGTATTGGGATGGATAGGCACACAATACCTTAGTCCAGCCGCAATCTGACTGAAAAGTTGAGAAAATCTTCAATTCAGGGTAATTTGTTTAGTCTCAAGTATTTGTCAGTCACGTCTGTGTGACCGAGGTATTACAGAACAAAAGAACATGAATACTTTTATAAGAAACACACTCTACACCACATTTTTGTGTGGAAACAGTATTAGAACACATATTTACAAATGAATTCAAATCTCAAATCACTTGTCCTTTCAAACTTTTATTTATTGTAATAATATATTTTTTATTTACATGCTCTTCTTCTCTTCCTCCTGTTATGATAATATATTGTGCACCCTACACAATTCCATGGTGCCATAATCAATCTTTCTTCATCTCCTGCTGTCTGCTTACATTCCCTTCATAATATGTCGTTAAAGGATTATCTGAAATTACATGTACATGTATATCATGTCATTTTGGACTGATCTTTTTCTTTTAACAAGTGATTTCAATCGTATCTATACTTTACCTTACTAAACTGGATGATGTAATGGAATAAATATATGTTCTTTTCAAAATATTACATGTCATACATAACAAAACTATATTTGTAAAACATTAAATTAACACAAAACTGTGGAAAAAGAATGTATAATACAAAAGCAAGTTTACATTGATTCTTTTCTTTAAATTGTCCTGAACCTCTTTCGCTAATTGATACAAATATGATGGAACACTTTGTAAATGTTGGTCTAAAAATGAACCTATTGAGATAATTCTAAAGTATAAAACTTGAGTTGATCTCAAAAAATCAAAAGAAATGAATCTACACAAGCATGGGCTACACTAGAAAAGGTCTGTTTGTAATCAAATACAATATACAATCCTAACAGTGTTTTAAAATGCATATGAGTCTTTGCTGTTGATGACAACTAAAAAGTATGCATGTATCGTGTAGTGTAATATGATGTTTTTATAGTATACTGACATAACATTTGTGATCTTTCTAAGAAACATTAGATATATTCCATTCCTGTAAATTGCACAGTGACATGACCATCATATTAATATATCAGTTCAAATGTCAACTTGTGAATTCTAAACAGTAAACACTTTATTGTGAATTTCGACTGTATGCTACAAGACATAGACTATGGGAAGATAATATTTTTGTATCACTGCGGCTCAACAAACATCAGTTACTTTTTGGTATATAATTTAATATTGCTTGAATAAATACATGTAGCAGGAGTAGAACTTTGGATTCTAAGTTCAACTGAACATTGTGATGACTTTAGTAGAAAATGTACTGATGACAATGGAAAGAAAGAGTACAGCTGCAAAAGACAGAAATATCACATCAATATTAGGCTCTTCAAGATGTCTAATAGAAAGCATATTAATGATAACATTCTAATTCATATTCAGACACATGACCATAAATGAAATGTTGCTACACAAGATTGGATTACATCTTTGAATTTAAAGCATGCGAGTTGGCTCAGTTGATAAAGCGTCTGACTATTGAACCAAAGATCGTGGTTAAGAAATCAACTCAAGCGGATGACTGAAGCCTGCATTGTGTGTTAACATGCCCCTCTCCTGTTTCATAGACGCACGCTATGTTACAGTGGAAAACACTGTTCCTCGGATAGGACATTAAAAGGGTAGTCTAAAATCTGCAGCATGAAGAAATTTATGCATTGTACAATAGCATTCTGCTAGAAAAAAAATCTAACAACGTTTGAACAACTGAGGGCAAGTCCAAGCTATTCTGTCCCATACGTATCCAACCATCAGCTTGGAGCATACCTGACCATTGTATTACATTAATAGCCCTACTAGAGATTGGATCTGAACAAAAAATGATGTGATGTGATACATTTGACATGAATTTTGTCTGTTGGAGCAACAGTGGCATTAACTTCTGTATTTTAACACAGACTTATCATGTGGTTCCAAATAGAAGATATATCCTCAGAACTCCTTGATAATTTGTAAGAAAGACACACCAAATGACAACGTAGATAAGACTTGCCCTAGAATTATGTAACATCATTTTCTGCAGTATCAAAAGTTCTCTACTCTCCCAGACGGCAGCATACCCTATTACCGCACTGAAGATTCTGGCAGCCACTGGCAGTGTCAGCGTACGGTCCCTCCTCGATATTATCACAGTAGTAGAATGTCTCGTGGTTGAGGGTGGGGCATATGTCTGCCAGGAGAGACAGCCCCGCCCCGCTGACATTGAGGCATCCAGAGAGATCAAGATGGGCGAGGTTGGGCCAGCCCCCTCCTTGAGACAGTAATCTAGTGTAGAAGAGAGAGAAAGAGGTTGAAAAACACGCTTTAAGTATGAAAACAATGGCCCGACTTCACAAAGGAGGTTTAGATTTAACCCATGGTTTAAATCCTCATTTACATAACCCATGGTTTAAAAATGTGCGCAAAATAAGCGTAACCTAAATCTAAAACTCCTTTGTGAATTTGGGCCTTTAAGTATGAATTACCATCTCTTACTCTTGTTAACAATGAAATAAATAAAATTAAACCATACAATGCCAAAGATGGTATAAGCTGCTAATACACAAATACAACTGTACTAAAGTCAAACTTGTCTTCATTCTTAAAATTAAAACCAGTTCATGACTGGTAATGCTAGATAGGTTGAAACACTGTTTGTACCATAGCTATAACTAAAAGTAAAACTGGGACTAAATATGTCTTCCTTGTGTTCACAATTGTCTTAGAGAAAAAGTTGCACCAAGATAACATTTCAAAACCAAATCAATGGCCTGGAAAACTACATTAAATATAAGGCTGACTTATTTCATCAAATGATATACATGTAAGAGTAAATAATATTTAAAACTTCTTGAAATCATTCATGGTATTCATTAGGCATATCTGCCACAAGTATTTGAAAATGAAATGAACTTAAATTTAAATTATTTCCTTAGACTAAATACATTTTAATGTACAAATGCAAAAAGTATAATTCACTTACCTGTCGTACCAAAATCACACATCACAATTACATGATGAGATAATGAAGTGGTACTCGTTAATTCCACAGCATACACTGTAATGTTGGTAACATCTTGAATTGAATATAATTACCATATGTACCAATTCTACGACTACTTCTACTACATCGTCTACATGTACTTCTAAAATTCCCAAATACTAAGAGTACTATCAACTATTCTGTCCTTTTTAGCCAATTCATCCCTTCCATGGATGTAGTCACAGCTGGCAGGTTATCAAGGTACAATCCCCTATTCGACTAAAGAACTGAATACAGTACTAACCATATGCACTGTGATATCAAAATAGAAGGTTACATAGTGGTCACACTATTACTGACACAAAAATGTTGCCATGTATTAGACAAAAGGTCGAGATATCATATCGCCCCCATTCCCATCATAGATATAAGATTTAATGTCAGGGACATGACTGCTTATTGCATGAATGTTGAAAATCAGTCATCCTTTGATTTGAGGAAGACAAGGTGTTATAAATCAGAATTTGATGTTATTAAAAAGCAGTACAAAGAAAAGAGTAATCTTAAGTTTTCATCCTCACTAAATGCCTTTTTTGATTTTAAGAATATGATAGTGAACAGACAGTACTTCACTAGATTTCTTCAAAAACAACTGAAAACATACCAGTACAACTCCTCTTAAATTGTTAATAGTCTAAGAGACAGCGCCTTGTATCCTTTGAAAAGGCGCTATATAAATTTAATTATTATTTATTTTATTATTATCTTAACTTCCTCCCTTTTTACTGAACCCAGTGACTTTTATATTCTTGATTATCGATTCATCCCAAAGGCTCAATGAGGTGACAACTTGCTTTCTATAGGCATCGGTATATATTATATTTACCCTAATCCAACATCAGTGATCCTGTAGCATCCTGACAGACTCAAGAATTGCAGTCGTCTTGATAAATTGCCTCCATCCGCATGCTCATACTCTCCTGTCCCATGGTAACTGCTCCTATCATGCCTGCCATCATGGTGGCTCTTAGTCCTTGGAGCAGTATCCATAGATAGTCTTTGAGAGTGTGAAACACTGTTGTTTCCATGACAACCACCGTCACAGGACCCTTGTTGCCTTCTGTTGACAATGTCTGTATCATGTTGTGTTTCATTATGTCTCCTTGAGCAACACCCCTGATCTCTGTTACTAACCATAGGATCAACATTCAGCGGTCTGCCATTTTTATCGTTGACGCCGTGCTGGTAATCTGGTTTGGAGTAGTTGGAAGTGTCCATCATCTGATTGTCAGGTATGGTTTGCAGGGGTTGTCGGATAGATGCCAGTCTCTGGAGGGTTGTGTCCGTGATGTTCACACAGCCAGAGAGATCCAGGTGCCTTAGCTTACTACCAACACCATTCTTTCCAAGACTGTTATGAAAGCAAATATTATAGTCATGTTAGTATATATATATATATATAACCCATTCAAATTCATTTATACTCATATCTGTACATACAGCCACCACAAGAAAAACAAAGATCCTCTTTGTGAGTAGGTGGTCTAATAGGAATCATTTCATACAGATAAGCACTCTTTGGGGGAAACAAAATTTCACATTAAAGCATGTTTCTCTACATGCCAATGTAAACAAAAAAGAAAGGATCTTATGTTCTACTTGGTACACCTAGTCAAGAACTCTTTTTTAATACGATATCTACATTTTTAAACAGGTAATGGAAAACAAGCTCAACTCTAAAAAATCAGTGGAAAATGAAAGAAGAAAAAGAATAAGAAACACTAAGAAATATTGTGATCTTTTAGATCCCTTGTTGACCATATTTCGAGACAAACGAATATCACTAGCTATAGTATTTTCAATAAGAATGATGTTCTATACATATTCTGCCCACTGGAGCATGGTATATTTGATCCACTACAATAGGTTTATTGTAACCTCCTTCAATGGAATAACTTACCCTTTGAATGCAATGTCAGATATCTTGGTTTCTGACAAATTGAGATATTGCAGGTTGGGACATTGGATTAGTAACTTGTAGACCTGTAAATAAACAGAAAGAACAAAAAACAAATTCTCATTAACAATTTGAATACCACTGTCCTTAAGAACACGTAATGAAAATACAAAACCATATTCAACCAATATGCATGAGAATCAAAGTTAGATACATTATCTGCTTGAAAGAAGGAAGTCTTCAACTTATGATTTGAGTTAGTTCCTTTCTGCACTTCACTAGACAATGTATCCTTCACACCAATGGAGATTATTGCAAGAGCTTTAACAATAGGGTCACAAAGCTGTATAGCACTGCATGTGAAACTAGGTAACTTTCCCAAACCATGACAAATGATAGTCAATGAATATAATGGAATCAAGAGCAAATTGACATACCAAGCCATTAGTGACACCTTTGCTGTTTGAGAGAATGATTGTCTCTACACCATCTCCAACATGAGGAATTAGGTACTTCGCCATGGCAACCAGCATGCGTGCTTCCCGGCGAATGCATTCAGCCCTGTAGCTAGCTACACTGGCATTACTGGCATCACTTTCAATGGCAGAAGATGCGGATTCATCAAAATCTGCATCCTCATCAACCACGACATAGACATCATTGTCTTGTTCCAAGGACTCCATGTCGATGTCTTCAGGCAGATGAACAGATGCACCAAACTGCCAGTTACCTACATCATTGGAAATAGATAAAATACACGTTCATGATGGATTTCTGATCAAACTTTACTTGTCAAATTTAAAATCTGACAAACGTCCAGTTGGTGTTTCAACATGCCCCTTAATTATTCTAGGAATGTTTGAGTGATATTCCTTTCACATATACATGTAGTTTTCAATTTCCACCTATTTGATCCGTTGCATGTCCAAAATAATCTACATGCTAGGACATTCTGGATTTACATCAAGTTTAATTCTCGACCAAGAATTCAGTGATAGGTTTTTACAGACATACATAAATGATATCTGATGAAATATGCCAACATCCAAAAGACAAGACTTCATTTTAAACCAGACTCCATCAGAATCAGATTATTTGCACAACAAATATCAGATCACCCTCAAGAAGAGTAGTTTGAGTGTACTACTACTGGCATCTAATCAAGTAACCCCTTACCTTTGGCCCAGCGTGATGGATATAGATGCTTCCAGACAGACGGGTCTCTGGCTAGTCCTGCCCACCGGGTACACACCATGCTGCACTGGCTCAGGTCCAAGGGGTTCAGGTGAGAGAAGATATGCAGTAGCAGTTCAGCAGGCAGTCCTTGAATCTTACTCAGGGTGTTGTCCTCCTCCTCCACCTCCTCGTTGTATGCCTCTTCATCATCTGGTGCAGTTCTGGAGGCATCAATTGTTTCTTTGTCATCTGATTTGAGAAATCAATAAAAGAAAACAAGCAATCATACACTGCTCACCAAAATTTTGGGTACATCTTTAACTAGAACTGATTTTTCAGTCACCCACATTTTATTTGTCAGTCTTTATCAAGCTTTTAAAGGGTAATACCCAAGTCACACTGACGAGATCAACGCAAGGCTGACAATAGGGTAAACAGTAACATTAATTCACCAGAAATGGTCAAAATTTTGTCAATCATTGATTGCTTTTAAGTTGATTTTGCGTTAGTTTTGAGTTTGTTTGGCAATGTGACTGGGGTTTAAAGAATGTTCTTGTACCTTCTGACTCTATTAGTTTGGAGTTTGTTTGGCAATGTGACTGGGGGTTTAAAGAATGTTCTTGTACCTTCTGACTCTATTAGTTTGGAGTTTGTTTGGCAATGTGACTGGGGGTTTAAAGAATGTTCTTGTACCTTCTGACTCTATTAGTTTGGAGTTTGTTTGGCAATGTGACTGGGGGTTTAAAGAATGTTCTTGTACCTTCTGACTCTATTAGTTTGGAGTTTGTTTGGCAATGTGACTGGGGGTTTAAAGAATGTTCTTGTACCTTCTGACTCTATTAGTTTGGAGTTTGTTTGGCAATGTGACTGGGGGTTTAAAGAATGTTCTTGTACCTTCTGACTCTATTAGTTTGGAGTTTGTTTGGCAATGTGACTGGGGGTTTAAAGAATGTTCTTGTACCTTCTGACTCTATTAGTTTGGAGTTTGTTTGGCAATGTGACTGGGGGTTTAAAGAATGTTCTTGTACCTTCTGACTCTATTAGTTTGGAGTTTGTTTGGCAATGTGACTGGGGGTTTAAAGAATGTTCTTGTACCTTCTGACTCTATTAGTTTGGAGTTTGTTTGGCAATGTGACTGGGGGTTTAAAGAATGTTCTTGTACCTTCTGACTCTATTAGTTTGGAGTTTGTTTGGCAATGTGACTGGGGGTTTAAAGAATGTTCTTGTACCTTCTGACTCTATTAGTTTGGAGTTTGTTTGGCAATGTGACTGGGGGTTTAAAGAATGTTCTTGTACCTTCTGACTCTATTAGTTTGGAGTTTGTTTGGCAATGTGACTGGGGGTTTAAAGAATGTTCTTGTACCTTCTGACTCTATTAGTTTGGAGTTTGTTTGGCAATGTGACTGGGGGTTTAAAGAATGTTCTTGTACCTTCTGACTCTATTAGTTTGGAGTTTGTTTGGCAATGTGACTGGGGGTTTAAAGAATGTTCTTGTACCTTCTGACTCTATTAGTTTGGAGTTTGTTTGGCAATGTGACTGGGGGTTTAAAGAATGTTCTTGTACCTTCTGACTCTATTAGTTTTGAGTTTGTTTGGCAATGTGACTGGGGGTTTAAAGAATGTTCTTGTACCTTCTGACTCTTCTTTTTCCTCTGGGCAGTACTTGGTGAGCTTCTGGTGTTTCTCAATCACATTGGACTTGATCTCTTTCAACTCATTGTAGCTGAAGTATTCCATCAACAGAGGCTGGAAAATCTATTATTGATCATTAAAAGGCATGGATGGTATTATCAATGGTAATGGCAATGCCAATCAGGCTCTCATAGAGAGTTCTGGAGTACTAATATGTCAGTAACAGAGATACCAACCTCTTGACACAAAAAACAGACAGAGTAACCTAAAAAACGAGATTTTCACGAAAACTTGACACTACCACTGGCCCATCGGTCCCAGGCCAGTAAAATTTCAGAAAAATGTTTTACTGCTCAAGTAGAATGCTTGCTCTTTCATTAAAATTTGATGAGAAAAATTAAAAAGAAAATTCTGTGATTCAGCTGTTTTTATGGGTTTAAAAAAAAAAAAAAAAATTGTTTAAAAAAGAAAGAAAGATGAAAAATTGATTTTGATATTTGTGATATCGTATTTCGTGTTCACTCTTATTATTGTACTGGTTGGAACCTCTGCAGTAATCATTGAATCTACTGGATGAGTTAAAAAGATATGATTCGTCTCTATCATAAATGAGATCACTTTGTTGAAAGTTTTTTTCCCAAAACCTTTGACAGTATTTGAAATCACATGCACAGTCTACTTCTGTAATTTTCTTTTCTAAAATGAATGCATGATTTTAAAGAGAATCATTGTGATTTGCTTTTGTTAAAGGTCTACTGCACTACTTGTAGCTACTTGCTCCCTCTATATAGAAAACAATGCCTAATCGGTGACCATTGGTCCCCCGTGATCCTCTTTTTCTTATGTTATTTGAGAGCTGAGTTGATGAGATAACCACCTGTTCAGTGACCTTGCAGTGTGATCTAATCCCTCCTGTAAACTAGTACTGATAAGCTTTAGTATACAAATGACATATTACTGTTAAAATGTTGCACTTCAGATTTCTGTACCTCACAGTACATAAATAGACAGGTTTTTATTAGGGGCTTTTGTTAAATGGCTTTTTATTTCCACTCCCCCTAGCCAAATTTGCCATTTATAAAAATATAATTTTGCCGTAGCATTTTCCTTTAAGTGTCATACATCAATACGGTAATGCTTAAGAAATAGTCCTCAAGTTATGGCATGGAAACCAACCTCTTCTTCCTCTTGCATGTGAGGCAAGAAATCCTCTGTGAAGTTACGGAGTGCCAAGATAAGATTGTGACCTATCTGGGCTGCTTGCTTGGGGCAGGTGCACTTGTCTGCTTGGCAGCAGGCATCTTCTACCAGCTGTACCATCTCACTTAGTTTGTTGTCTGAGTGAACCTCAGACACAGCTGCTATCTCAACCTGAAAACACAACATGACAACATTTTTATTGAAGTTCAGTATGTGTAAAGTAGGCCTGAGTTTGGAAGAATCAAGACCATGCGTTTATACAAGCAATTTTTCCATGATTTCAATGATTTCAATGATTTCAAGGTTAAGTGAGGTTCTGATATGAGCTTTTAGAAAAATTATGAAGACATAAATTTCTGCTAACAATTTCGAGAACTATCATACAATTCTGTAGACGGTGCCCCTAAAATTTAAATCTGGACCCCCACATTTAAAAAAAAAAAAAAGGGCTCATGCATTCAGACTGTGAATAGTTGAATCTGGACCTCCTCCAAAAAATGTTAGTGTGTAGCCCTGCTGTAGATAAGTATAACTGTAAGCAAAACAGATTATTGAATTATATGTGAAGAATTCCAGTTCAAGAGGATGTTAACAAATATGGAAAGCTACAAGCAGCTCTGCAGCTCTTGATGACTTATTGTATGATATGATAATTCTTTAACCCTTTGACAAGTCCCTACTCATTTCTGTCATCCCAAATGGGCAAGGAACTAGTTCAAGAGGTTCAATTCAACATGTGACATGGGTAGCTTATTACACTTAAAATAAAATGTAATTCAGTTTTCAATTCAATTCCTTTAGTGTTTGAAGAATAACCCCTTGTACATTAACCTTGAACTGTTAGAAAAAGAAAATGCTCAACACTATACCCTTGTACTAGCACATTAAATAGTGATACCAGTTACATTATGGGAATATGCTTGTAAACTTCTTAAAATTACTGTTATCAATAATTGTGCTGACACACAACGTCTGGGTATACAATTCTCTGCTCCAAACACAAGAAAACTTTGGGTGAAAGTATTAGTTACCTTGAGAAATTGTAATCTATTTTTGAGTCTCCACATAATGCATTCATTCTCGATGTGTTCATGAGTCTTGAATTCTGAGAAAGTTGCCTTCAGGATCCACAGCAATGAACGAAGGTCAGAACAGCTAGACAGGTCAACTTCTGATAACTGCAAGTCACAATGACAGGAAAATATAAATAATTAAAGATAAACTCCAGTACTGGTAAAAAAAAAAAAAAATTCTCACAGAATCAAACGAAACTTACACTGAATGTTCAAGATTACAAATAAATGACATGTGCCAAACAATTTTGGAAGAAAATGTATACTGGCTGAGTAATGAGCATAGAAAGACAAGGAAATCAAGGTAGTACTAGCCCCGACACCATGTGTGTTGTCCCATATATAGCTTTCTATGTGAGTGCTTGTTACTTTACCAAGACTCGGTCAAATTTATTATGATTTTGATGACTCCAGAACCTTGCAGTGCACACCAATACTTACATGCTACATGATCAACTGTTTCTGATCCTTTCCACACCTTTTCTTTCACAATGCAATCGCATTACCAGTACTAAAGTTTATCTTTAAGTTAAGGTCTGTATCCTACAAAGGGACACTAGCTTTCAAATTTGGTATTTATAATTAGAATTTGATCACGGTAGTCTTAATTTTCCCTACATTAAACATAGCCATAGTCTAGGTCTATAGTCTGTGCATTGATTTTTTAGATGAAATGACAGCATAGGCGCAAATGGCGCGCGCCTGTGTGAAGTTATCTACCGTAATGTCTCAGATCCTCATTAAGGTCGGTAACTTCACACAGGCGCGCGCCCGCTCGCTTAGTTTAGAAGTATAGATTCTAGATCTAGATCCAGCTCTAGAGGTCTAGACTTAGGACTAGGTCTAGACTCTTCTTTTTCTAGACCAAATTTTTTGTCTCTTTCGTTCGTTAAGCCTCTTAATTCTTATGCTTATTTGGTCTAATCTAGACTAGACCTATCATCATTTATGCATAAATGATCACACCACAATGACCAATGCAGCATGCAGCTGCACTACACAGCAATCGAGTTGTCTTCTGCAATGTCAATATAAAACAAACGTGCAAGAATTGTCGTGGGTGTGTGTACAGTGTTGTGGCGCCGCGCCAGGCAAGATCCTCCTAAAGACATAGCCATAGACGGACAGACATATCACATCACGGAAATATCGAGCACAAACATTACAATAACATAATAATACGTGCAAGGAGAATTATTTGAAATACACATTTCCGGTATAATAATCATTCAAAGAATGTTACCTTCTCGGAATATAACTGGACCAGTCGTTTCATGCGGCTATGTGGTCCAGAAAACACATCAACTTCGGAAGGCGCTGGAGCTGGAGAAGGAGCCATTTTGCTTCGCAGTATTATGCATAAAAATACGTAATACGTAAGGACGGTACGTACATTAATTATGTACGTCGCGCGCGCGCGCGCGTGCGCGTCATATTTCTTCCACCTTTCGTATAGTAGTCTTTCATCCAGTCTGGTTTATTACGTTTTAGCTTAACATTTTCTACTCCGAAAAATAAGGTTCTTTAATTTTGAATTTGACTGAGTTTGGAATCATTGCAATCGTAAACTTACACTGAGTAAGAAGACCTCATTTGTTTAACCTGTAAATTCGAGCGATAATGATAACGTTTGATTAAAATTGACGAAAAATCAAATTATTTTTAAAAAATTCGTCGCTAGATTGACATATTTTTTATTTGTTTTAATATTTTTATTTATGCATGCATGCTGATCACAATTTTACAATTTATTGGAGTTAGCATCAAATGAAAGAGAATATAATATATCAAATCATTTTCATTTTTACAATCCATTTGAATTGACTTCACATTATCAAAGACAAGTTGCAACTATTATTATACAGTATAAAGAATGAACACACAAAGGTGATGAAACTCAATCAAACAGAGCTTGACTCGTTTAACTGTTAACACCTTTCAAATATATAATATATGACAAATAAAATTCCTAAAGGATTGTGAACTATTTATACCATTTAAAAAGAACCGTAAGAAAAAAGAAGTCTATAGACTTCTATAGATATAGTCTATAGATTTTACTATAGTAAAATGTCTTAAATATAGATCATAAGAGAATTAAATTCATGTTCGATATAATTCAATTAAATTTAGTTTATTCATTTCCATTAACATCACATTGCAAGAACACAGGCGCGTACACAGGGGGAGGGTTTGGGGGGTTAAACCCCCCCCTTTGGTATTTTTTTTTGTGTAAACCCCCCTAAATTTCCCTAACCCCCCCCCCCCCCTTTTGGATTTTTTTTTTTTTTATTAAAAAAAAAAAAAAAAAAAAATTCCCATGGCTGACCTAAAAAAGCTGACCTTACCCCCCCCCAACGGAGCAAAATGTCAAATTTTCAAATTTCGATACAAAAAAAAAAAGTGTCCTCTTACCCCCCCCCCCCCCCCCCCCCCCCCCCCCCCCCGCTTATTCAGCGTGCTGAGTCGTTGCGAAATTTTCGGCCCGATTTATAAATGTTAAACCCCCCCCCCCCCTTGAAAAAATCCTGCGTACGTGCCTGCAAGAACACATACATTTGCAAGCAGAGTACTGTAAATAACATACTCAATCTTTCACAGGAATAAACATAAGCACATTACAATACTAAACAATAATGGGAAAAGGGAAAAAACCCAAATAAATGAGTTTGGCGAGATATCTATCCATAAAGTAGTTGAAAAAAATGTGGTGAACACAATAAAGATTTGAATTTACATAAACTTATTTGCCCCAAAGAAAACTCGTATACAACAGAAACAAACAAAAACCCATATACTTATATTTATATTTCCAATATTGTTAGGTAGAGAATTCCATACATCTGGATTCCGGGTACTGTGGTCCCTCCATTGACGACAGGTTGATGGAGTGCCTCATCACATGGTCCCCGGGAAGGAATTTTGTTTGGGTGCGTGAGCTGGTTTGTTACAGGATCCAGGGCACATGATCTTATCTCCTTTAGGGTGTAATTTATTCTTTTGAAAATCTGTTCAAATGTACCGTTATTCATTAATTATACCTATACATACATGTACCAAAATATGGTATAAAACGAAAAAGTTCTTTTCTTGTTTTTTTTAAAGATAATTATGTAAAGTGAAGTTATACAACATTAGAAGCTTATACTGTAGGTGTTTTATTCAACTTCATTCCATATGTCGTCGTTTATGTTTATTTTGTAATATTTGCTGAATATAGCATAAAATTTTGTAATATATTAATAATGAAAAAGATTAAATTTCTATACTCCTGTTTTCATAAATTTAGTTCTCAATTTTTTGTTACTTTACGTTTTACAAATTTGCAATTTCAGGCCATGCATAGAATCATTCTCTGTTTATTTGAATAACATGTTATTATCAAGGCATCAAATACGTTTTCATAAGTGAAGTGATTCCGGAACAAAGTGTTTCATCAAATGTTCCGTAATTTTAAATGTATTTCATGGTTGAGATGCTCAAAATTAGTGAGCTCATCATTATGAAAGTTAATCTTTTAGTAATCATCAATCATTCTTATTGTATGTATTTCATGTTCACTTATCATTATTTTTTCATTCCATTCTCGTTTCATCCCATCACATCATAGTACGACACAGAAACTTTGCGTGCAAAGCATTTATTATACCTATAATAAAAATAAATTAGTAAAATTAATCAATGTTCAATAATAATGATTTAGACTATCCTCTGATAGTATAAGTCCACAGGGGCGGATCTAGCTTTTTGCTAAGGGGGGGGGGGGTTGACCAAAATAATGACGATGCGGAGCATCGTCCACGAGCCGCGAAGCGGCGAGCCGATTTTTTTGGGGGGTGTTTATTTGAACCCCGTAAGTGATGTTTTCCTGGCATCTATTAACACAATGGAGACCATAAAAAGCTGTAAAAAAAGATGCGAGACTGGATTGCCGCAACTTCTTTGCCCTGTTTGCTTCCATATTGCTTGTCACTACACTCAGACCAGACTGATAAAAAAGTGAGCAACTTGAACAAGTAATCCAGGAAATGAGCAGCCCAGCTCAGCGTGCGTTGCCAGGTTAAATCTTCACAAAATCCCCACCCAAACGACACTTAAAATATCCCCAAAGTTGCCAAATTTTGACAGAAAATCCCCAAATTCGTTTTTCATAAAACTCAATATTATTTTCATTCCCAAATATTTATTTTTCATCCCCAAAGACTTCAACAATCCCCCAATTTTTTTTTTTTTTTTTAATGTGGGGATTTTGGGGATGAGAATCGGCAACGCTGGCCTAGCTTGTCACTTCGGCGGTGGCCCGTGTCCTCAAAAAAGCTGATGGGGGGGGGGGGGGGGCAAGGGACTCTGTGACATTTGTTCGCCCACCCCCCCCCCCTCCCCCCAAAAAGAAATAATAATAATAATAATAATAATAATAATAATAATAATAATAATAAATGAAATAAATACATAGAAATAGAATAAAATAAGATAAGATTTAAAAAAAATGGTCCCCGGAATTTTTTTTTGGGGGGGTTGCAACCCCCCAACCCCCCCTCTAGATCCGCTTCTGGTCCAATATATATACAAACTGAAAACCCTAACAGTATTCGACCTAAATTCGCTACAAAGTTTACTGATCATGTTTAAGTATTTAAATAATATGCTCCCTCTTTCATGTCAAAACATTTACGGGGTAACAGGACACTTTTTTTTCTTTTTTTTTTGGTCTCGAAATTTGAAAATTTGACATTTTGTTCCGTTCGGGGGGGGGGGGGTAGGGTCACCTTTTTTAGGTCAGCCATATGCATAATTTCTTTAAAATAATTTTTGTATTAAAAAACAAAAAACAAAAACAAAAACTCAAAGGGGGGGGGGGGTTTCACAAAAAACATACACAAAACATACACATAGCAAAAACTCGAGGGGAGGTTTAACCCCCCCCCCCCCCCCCCCCTGCGTACGCGCCTGACTTGGAGAGGAATTTACGAATTTTACGAATTTTTCCCAGGGCGAAGGATGCTTTATTACAAATACTATCGACATGGAAGGTTTTTGATCAAACGTAACATCTAAGTTAACAACTGTTTTGGAGGAATTGATAGAGCCATTGGCTTTTTTAATCGGAGGGAGTTCGATCTGTTATATTTCTTCTTCGGTGAAAAAACAGGTGTAGCACTTCCTTCTTGTTGTCGTTCAAGAGCAGAAAGTTTTCAGTTAACCCGGGAGCGAATGGCATGTAGACAACCTTCCAGTTTCTGTAACATTTGAAGAATTTGTCCAGACTTTTGTAACAGTAATATATAGTTGGGTTTTGTCGGCATTATCGAGGAAAAACCGTGGGAATGAATGATGCGTACCCTAAATAACTGAGTGGGGGGGGGGGGGGGGGGGGGGGGGGTTAATTTGGTACATGTCTGTCCCGATATTAGCTCTCGAGCTTTCGTGGGTTATCCTGTTCAAGCTGAATTGATTTTTGATCTGTTATTCTTGTATATTGTTGTATATTGGAAGCTTGGCGAATACAAATCAATCAATCAATCAATTTGTATGAAATATACATGTAGCCTACTGCCTATATATACATCAAACTGTTAAGTTCTAATTGTTCGTCCCTCCTTTTGTTCACAGTACCGATGGTACACACACCCGAAGACGGCTTAAGTTGGTCTGGTCCGTCGATAGGGGTGATACAAGCACAGGATCAATAGTTCACATAATATGGTTATTGATATTGATATTTTCACGAACTTAAACGAGGATATAATGCAAAAACGACAAACAAATCTTTTCATTTATCATATTTAAGATTAGTTTTGGTTTCATAAGCTGCTATATCGTAATAAAAACTACATCACTTGATGCCACTTTATCGTTCTAAAAAGTATAACCCCTATTTTGCTAGTGGTATATGCCCAAACCGGCGTATCCATAACAACCCACCCGCAATTCACGTGTAGTGTTTACACTCTTATGATCCACCTACCTACGACGCTGCACTGCGGATCCCGAGACCACGTAAACATAAATGTTAATTTAACATTGTTTTGTGCTTCGCCTTGCCATTTCTAGCGTCAGTTCTTTTTCCAGATCAAAGAACAGTTAAGACATAGCAGAATGGGTGAATTATTTGACGTACAACGGCAGAATTTCTGGACTGAATCCATCCACAAAGAAGCCTACACAAGATTGGCTTGGCATGAGAAGTACAGCAAGGAATTCGCCCGTGAGTCTCGCGAGGGAGGCCAGGCAGCGGTCGCTAGGAAGAAGCGACCTGATATGGTGCCCAAGGTGAAACTTATTCCTGTCCAGTCTTTGAAAACCAAGAAAACCAAGAAAGCAGCTGACAAGACCGACGCCTCTAAAGCTCAGGAAAATTCCAAGAAAGAACTAGAAAAAATTGCCGGCAAAGATCCTAATGCTCTGTTGGTTGAAATGAGACCCGTCACATCGGATGTTAGGGAGCAGTTGTTCAAGGGATTCAGCAAAGAAGGAACAGGACGCTATGCCTATCTACAGATGCGTAAACTAAAGAAGCCTGAGATGAAGTATGAGGTTCCGCTGACCAGTTCTTGGGAGTATGGATGGAGGCTAAATGATGTCGTCAAGGAATTCCGTGCACCTACATATGGCCGTTCACGTATCGTCAAAGACTCATTTTTCCGTACAAATGGAATATTCTAATTTCTAGAAGAATGAGCAATCAGACTGACAGTTTGAACAATTAATCTAAATACTACTAACAAGATAGGTTCCATTTCCATTTTTCAAGCCTGGTGCTTGATGTGCACATGTGCAGTGAGAGAGACGTTCCAGTTTTCATCAAAAAAAGAAAAAGCAAGAAAGAAATACAAAGTGCTGGACATTTGCATCATAACATAACCGTCGTCCGGAGACAGCAGTTCTAAGTCTGAGATGTCTTTGAATTGTTTCACAAGAACGAGTGTCATTATGCCAAAGCAACTGAGGGTTTTGTCACATCTGGTTCATCAGATTTTCATCTATTGACTACTCACTGCATTTCAAGATCATCTAAAGTCTAACCAAAGTCTTAGGGTTCTATTTCCTTTGTAACCATATTATCAGATAATCAACATTCTCTACTTGGTTTAATGTATTTCTAGAATTTCTGGATTTCAAGATTGTGAAGGTTCACTTCATCACATGCCAAATTTCACCCATGTAAAAGGCAGATGAGAGTGCTTCTTTTTTAAATGTCATTCTTCCATCCATACTAAAGCTTAGTTTGTGATATCAGTGCTACATTTATGTGTGTATCATATAAATATTTTTTTCATAATTGAAACAGTATTCTTGAAATCTCAAAATCTATGCATTCATTTTCATTATTTTTGGTTTTGTTTTGTAAAATTTGGCAAAAAAGTTGTGTGACAAAGTTTAATTGTATATCTAAAATGTCTACAATAAATGACTTTGTTAATACATCATAATGTTAACAATATATTTGATGTTTGAGATGAGTACCATCGTTGAGTAGAGATCATGCAATAACTTAAATGTTGTATAAAACTTCTATATCAAATTGAATTGAATAATTATTTTAGATATGCACCTCTAATTTATTGTTTCCATTTGTTTGTTCTTTACACATTGCAATTAAGTTGAACAAGGCCAACATTTCTTGTTAGCAATATCTTTATTGTACATTCCTGTGCCTATCATCCCTCCCCCAAAATGTCTTTACAATCTAATATTACTTCTCACATTTCAAGCTTCTTAAAGTTTTTTTTGATCGATGCCAAATTGGACTACCTTAAAAAGTAGTTCATATACATTATATTGGTAGAATCAGTTTTCCTTTGGCACAGCTTTCGCATGAGAGGGTATGTTTTTGAAGGGAATGTAGCAACTAAAATTGCCTAATACTTATTACGCAGATATTTTTGATGTATTTCTTTGACCAGCATTCCTTGAATACTCAACAGTAGGATTGTTAAGAAAATTGAGAAGATGTAAAAAAAGAATTTATTCAATCCGTTTTCAGGTGCATCTTTCTACAGCCATTGCTGCGCTGTTTAATCATCCATTCTGTAATTATTTGATATGCTGGTTTACAACAGATAGCAACTCGGGTGACGGGATGAATCTATCTATCAATCTATTTTGCTTCATTGACATTCCTTCTCAAGTTTTTTTTTATCTTACATGTGAATGTTTGTTTCATTTGGAACAAATAGCATGGAACAAACTATTGGATTTTCACTTATGTATAAAGTTTTGAAGTATTGTGAAATCAAATCACTTTCTTATTCCTCTTTTTGGAATTTGCCATTAAAATTATATTGTTCTCTAATTGCTTGGATTATGCTCGATTATTTTATATAAAAAAGAAGCTATTAGCAATACAGGAGTAGAGACTTACTAGGAGAGGAAGAGAGTGAACAAAAACAGCTAACAGGGAGAAAGTGATGTGGATAGTAAGAAAAAAAGAAGATTGAGGAAGAGGAAAGGAGAGAAATGAAAAAGAAAATGGAGAGAAAGAGAGTAGGGAAAAAGGGGAGAGAGAAAATGAGACGGATGGAGAAAAAAAATGAAAGGGGATGATCAGCATGAAGATGTGCAAGAGAACAAATGAGAGACGGGGAGAAATAGAGATCAGGAAAGAGAGAGAGAGAGAGAGAGAAAGTGAGGAGATGGAGAATAAGAGACTTTAAAAATGATATCTGAGGGGATGGGGCAAGGAGATGGGAGAGAAAGTGAGGGAATGAGAGCTAGAGAGAGAGAGAGAGAGAGAGAGAGAGAGAGAGAGAGTGAAGCCAGAAAGGAAGGTGAATAGATTGTTCCAGAAGAATGACAAATATTAACATAGCTTTGAGTGATGAAGGTGGGGACATAAAAATGAACTGTTGGATTGTTCATACAATTCTTAAAGGGCATCTGCAGATAAGAAAAATACTTGTTCTTTTCATCTTACATGAACTGATGATACTGATAGACCGAATTATGTACTTGTGTTATCCTTAATGTTGACTTTTCTTTAGAATCTGTTTATTTAATTTACGTTGGCAACAGCTATACAGGGTGAAATATCAACTAATTTCTTTGAAACATTATTATACGAATCAGGATGGAGGGGGGGTCAAATTGGACATAAACATAAACGACAAAATGGTCCATTTGAAACAATATTTATTCTGTTTCCCTGTTTCCATTCTGAACTTTTTTCTATATAGGGTTAATTTCCATTGAAGTACAAATCAATAAATACATTTAACACACATTAAAATTTCTGTAAGTGGATTAAAAGATATTTATTGAACAGCAAACAAACTATCACACACAAAATAAAATACAGGTGATAAAACACACTACATGTATATAAGTGAGATGTATTACATTTTATGACTCATTTCTAAATATCTCTCAATAATAATTTATATCAAATGCCTGAAAAAATGCCTGATTAGAAAATAAGTGATGCTACTAATTACGATATGAATCACAATAAAGTACATGTATTAATGAATAGAAAATGGACGGATGCACACCTTCATGAAAGACATGGACATATATACAATAAATTGAATTGATAAAAAAATAGTATATGTATATTGATTACATTTCAATTTGTGAATAAAGGTGATTTGAATTTAAGGCATCAAGGCATTATAGAGTAAAAGATTGCTATAAAAACTATATATCTATATCTCTTGATTTTGATAACAAAGTCTATATATTAATATACTGAAACATTCCGTTGCCATACTACTATGGACAAAGTACATTTAGAAGTATCAACTAAAGATTAAGTATATTCTGTCAAGTAGAGAACATAAATCATTATAATTATCTTGGTTAATATTTCATTGTTTTTATGCTTTTACATCTTATCTATGAATCCAAGCTGGATATGTTAGACACCTGGTTTGTCTAAATACATGTACAGGTAAATGCACTTGAATATGATTATATATTCTTTTTCCCTCTTTTGTTATACTACTGCACATTCAAATTTATCAAATGTGTGTATTACTAGAATGTATACCCACATGTAAGAATCATAAAGAATACATTTCAAGTCATTGCTAAATCTATTAACAATTCTAATTTGCAAGATAAATTAAAGTGTGATTTATTGAAACATATATTATACAATGTTAATTTCAGTTTCAATCAATGAATTTTCAAGTCTGCAAACATCTAGGTGAGGAAGTATGAAAATTAATTATCAAAAACTAACTTAATAAAGTAACCTGAAATGTCATGGAGTAGACAAGCACAAATCTTTATTCTCCAATAATGAGTTACATTGCTGCTAGTCTAGACTGAAATTGAGAATAAATATTATATCCACATTGAAGTACATGTACACAACTACATATTTTACATAACAATTAAACAGTTACAGAGAAACTCATCAACCACAAATACATAATAATTACTGAATTAATGATAAAAAGTATAAAAAAAAAGGAATATGTCAATGCATAGGGAAATTACTAGAATTATATTACAATACATAACGGAACAGAAATCATTTCTATCTTGAGTATGCCATTGCACAATATATTTTTCTCACAATTGTAACATTCGAATGCTGAATTCAGTCTTTAAAGAATATTCATTAACATGCAATAAATATCTACATAATAAATTCTTTAAAATCTGATTTTCTTTTCCTTTCTCTTTTCAATAAAGGCATACCTAAACAGCAATGATTGTCATGATATCAGTATCTTGGAATCATAGAAGTAATATTCTATTCTATTCATGATGCAACATCTTTTTTAAGGAAAATATCAAGAATATAGATCATATTTATGGCTTAAAGATTTATTTATTTTGCCCTTCCATACTGTTGGGGGCAGGAAATCCTGCCCCCAAAATTCATGAGTGCACCATAAATTTGGACCAAGCATACATAGCTTAAAATATCTTCCTTCTAAACACTAACATGGGAACATTTGTTGTTTGATTAAATGAAAGAAAAAGTTTGGAAATTGTCTGAACTCAAAGCTATGGATAACCCTTGTTTTTTGGTCAACCAAGCACACCACATGTCTCAAATGTTGAGTTCTTTCAAATGAAACCAAAATTTGAAAAATGCTCATCACCAAATTTTCCTCCTCACAAGTATCTCTTTCTCTTTAAACCTCACTTCCATTATCCTCCTCCTCCTCCTCCTGCTGCATACCGGCTTTCTTGCGGTCCTCAATCATCTTGGCGAGGGAGTCCATGTCGGGTGCGGCTGAGATACTGTTGTTGACCTTCTTGATCTCTCTCCTCTTGGCCTGGCGAGACTTGATCAATTGCTCTCTTTCCTTCTGGCCCAGGAGACGCCCTGTTTTGGGTCGGGCGGAGCCCTGGGGCGTGGCGGGCTTGGAACCGGAGGAATTTGATGCAAGTTCATCCTCATCAGGTTCAAAGGCCTGTGAGATCCATCAAATAAATAAAGAAACAAAACAAAGAAATATAAATAAAAATAATCACTTTCAAATAAAAGAAGATGGATGCACAGGATCGATCACCCACTATCATCAGTCATGCTGAGTCAAGACTACTTCTCTTATTCTTAACCTTGGGTGATGTTTGCTCTTTTTGCTCAAATTAGATTATATCAGTTTGGATACAAGACTCAGATAAAGCCAGTGGAATCTGTTGGTAGAATCTTTATAGAAATAATAATAATAATAATCTTTTATTTCTTTATTTTTTTTTTCTTTATATGATCATGCTTCCTGAAGGTAAACAAACAGCTTTTATTGTACATGGTATAATTCTTCCAGGGAGAAAACACATCATCACTATATAGTTGCAATGACTGTAAAATTTACACCAGCTTGACATTTCATATTTTAATGTGAAGATATTTTCTACATCTTTTCAACAACATCCATGAAGCACAGATCCAACCGACAACACAGCATGCAAAGTAAACACAATATGAAGGGGCCCTTCATGGTAGGATGGAAGTAGAAAAATCTAGAAAAAATGTTAGTAAAAGTTTAAGTTTCAGAAAAATAAAACCAAGAATGAGTGCAAAATATTTGAAAGTCAAGATCAATATTTGTATGGAGAGTCTTATCTGCAATTCATTCAATCATAGAGAACTCTCTTTTACACTCCCAAAACATATATTTGTATCTGTTTTCAACTAAAATCTTAACATTTTTATGCTTTCAAAATTCCACTATTTGTTCAATCTGATTCCTGTTTCTACTCAAGACAACACTTCAAAGGAGGGTTTCTTCATTTAAAAAAATAAAAATAAATAAATAAATAAAAATCCAGTTTGGTTGTAACTAAATTCATGTAGAGGAACAGATATACAGGAACATTCATTTGCACGTGGGCACAATTAATAGAGTGATTTTCATGTGATATTAAAAATCAAAATAAAGATGAAACATATCTACATAAAAGATGTCATGAACAAAAATACACATGTACACAGTCAACTTGATGTGGATACTGTAATACATGCCTACATGTAGTTGATTGGAGAAAAATAATGTCAGTGTATATTTCATTTATGACTGAGAAACGTTATTAAACAAGTAAGGTTTGAGGTAAAAGAGTGGATACGAATGAAACACTGAACTCATTTATCTTTTACAGATTATAGTGTCATTTGGAGAAAAAGGGAAATAAAGATGCTTTCTACAGCCATTGCTGCGCTGTTTTATCATCCATTCTGTAATTATCTGATATGCTGGTTTACAACTTATTAAGGTAACAGTGAAGGAAAAACAAAATCAAGAAGATCACTTTTCTCTCATCTTACTGGATGAAATGTTTGATGGTGTAGTGATTACAAACAATGGATGACACAAATTCAAAACTATAAGACACAAGTTTTTTGTGACATCAACCCAAACTTACTACTGTGGTGTAATTGGCATGTGTAGGGGAGTGCTAGATGAAAATTGGATTTTGAAAGTGAGTACCTTATTGTACCACTAAGAATGATGTAATTCAACATGTGCAGTGGCATACATTAAAATTAAAAGCAATTTGATTAGCCTATGAAATATAAAAGAATGAAATTATCAGGTACTGAACATGTAAGAATACTTCAGAGACTGGTATGAAGATTGATCATCCATAAATTGTATTAGCTGTAGGTGAAGTGCTAATTAATGATTTAATTTAAATAATTATTTCTTTAATAAAATGAAATGTGCATGGTTCATTTCAAGGAAAGAAAGAGGTGGTTTAAGGATCAATCCAACTTTAGGAAGTGATTCACAGCAGAGTTGATGCTGGGTAACAATCTTAACCCCTTCAAAATCAAATCTACCGGTAAATGAAATACTGCAAATTCTCACTAAAACCTCAAAATGAAAGACTGACCTGTGCAACTGATCTTTCACTGCTCAGACAAAATAAGAACAGAGCAATCAAAATGATTATCCTTTTTACCTCTAAATATGCTTTACAGATTTAAAGATATGATAGGGCGGCTTATATTATCATTCTTCCATATTTATACCAAGGCCAGGGTATATAAATCAGACTTGAATCAATTCATTATGATAATATACATGGTATAGAATGGATTTTGTATCTTGCTATAAGAATTTTTAAAAATTGACCAAGACAGACTTCATATTTGACATGCAGTGAAAAATCAGTTTTTCTGAAATTAAGATAATTTAACCAGTATCAAATGATGAGGCATTTTGAGCTCCAGAGTACGTAGGAGGTGGTGAAAACTAAAAGTTTATCTTTTTTAAAATATAAATAAATAACTTGAAAAGTTGTTGATAAAACACAGAAAAAAGTAACTAAAAATTGTAATCATAAAATATAATGCAATTAACAATAATTCAAACTTAAATGAGATATATAAAATTAACTAAAAATTCAAAGTGAAAGTAATAAATAAAATGGGTGCACCAAAAAAAATTGGTGAATCTTTGGAAATTCTTGCAAAGTTCTCTATTTTACATACAAATTTCTTCCTTTCTTCCTCCAAATAATGGAGACAAGCATGACAGCGTGGGTTGATGCTCTTGCTGAGCATTCCGCCCTAAAAATACAAGATTAATGATGTACAGATACCTAAAGGTGATACAAATTTTTAGGACCCTATCTGAAAATTTTTCTGTTCCTTAAATTTGATCAAGCTAGGATGTTCAGAAAGTAAATTTGTCCACAGATCCATGTTACCTATGGCTTTACTTCCTATCAAAGGAGACTGTGTAATGATTTCTTTATGCAAGTGGAAATTAACTTGGATTTAAAACCAGAATCTATATTTTGACTGCAGCTCTTTTTATGCTATTGAATGGAGTTAACTAATTGCCACGTATCAAAAAAGATAAGGGATACTTAAAGACAAACACTTATGATGATTGATAGGGATAAATATGTTGCCTACCTGTTTGATTATCATAATAAAACTTAAGACATCAGACAACCAGAAAAAAGATAGGTACATGTCTAATACCATAAGGAACACATGGATTAAAATAATTAAAGTTAGTACATGAACACCTTGGTTAATTTGAAAAATACAATGCATGTTATATGTTGACAATCAATGAAGAAACTTAAAAAAAAACTTGACTTTCCCTAAGGAAAATAGATTTAACAAGGACACATACAATTCAGCTCTATAGTGTTAATCAAATTCTTAAAGAAAATCCACAATTTCGGTAGGTGATGATGTGTCAAAAAGTCTTAGCATGTTGTCCAATAAACTATTTTATACATGGATATTCCACTTCCACTGATAGATCAGTAAAGTGTAATTAGAAGGGAGAATAAATTATTTCCTTATAATCTACCTGAAAGTGAACTTTGTCCCCGTCAAAATTAATGAATGTATGTATATTCCACTGGATTCCATGAAGAATCAAGCAATGTATCATAATGGTAACTTACACTCTTGTGTCCTGCCCTATAGCTGGACTCATGCCTCTTAAACTGGCTATTAATCCGGTCAGCTATCTTCGTCATCTTCTCATCCTCTGACAGACCAGAATCCTCCTTCTCTAGGTAGTCCTTGAACCGTTTCTTGTCGTCACCTTTGAACTTCATGGTCTGGGTGCGTTCATACCGTACACGCTGCACACGTTCCTTCACCAGCGCTATCTGACGCTCCCTTTCATCCTAGATAGGAACAAGAATGATTTGATGGATGTTTCATTTCTAGTTTGCATTACCATACAAATTGTTGATATTGAAAGAGTATGAAAAAGCAAGATTGATTTGATAAACATTTCATCTCTGTTCGAAGCCAATATACAAAGTATTAATATGAAAAATGTTATAATTTCTTTCGAGCAAGCACTGTTTCAGTAGTTTGCCACAATTCTATAGTGTGTTTACACTGCATATCTAGTATATGATAGTGAGTGTAATTTCAGAACTGTTAGTCTATTGAGATAGGATTTGATGGCTAGGTTGGTGAACTGCTCTCTTTCCTTCTGGCCCAGGAGACGCCCTGTTTTGGAGTGGGCGGAGCCCTGGGGTGTGGAGGGCTCTTTGATTTTGGTTGGGTAGTAGCTTGGAGGGGGGGGGGGGGACATGCCGGAACCATCTCTTACCTTCTTTTTATTCTCCACCATAGTTTTCTGTCTCTCTCCCAGTCCCAAGATGGTGGTTGCAGCATCCTGGATACGAGTCTTGCGCATTTCCAGTCGTTCTTTAAGCTGTGGAATGATAAAGAATGAGCAGAGTCAAGCCATCAAAATATTGTTACTAAAGAAAATAGCAATAAAGGTACATGTACACAACCAGTGTCAATTTGCAGAAATTTGAAATGTCCATATTATTACTGAAAACATTCTATTTCCCTAAAAGTATACTGCACATCTCTAAATTGACCCTGAAGAAAGGGAAGTGCGTTCAACTAATTACACAGTACTCAAATTTGCCAAGACACAAATTTAATGGGATTTCCAATTGCCAATTTGTGTTTGATTTAAATGATCTTTGGAAATGTTCTCATCTTTTTAATCACGGTGGGTTTCTGGTTTTTTTCTTCAATTGTGAAAGTTAGAGTTATGCCTATTGTCATGACAACTTGATACTACCTATCCTTTATATGCAAATGTCTCTCTGAAATATCTGCAAACACAACCAGCTACATTTATGCACATAAATTTACCAATCATTAGACATGATTTATATTGTTTATACCTCTCGCCGCTAACATAGTATTAAGAATATATTCCAGATTTTTCCACTAGTAACGGCTGCCGGAGCTAAAGCTAGGGTAATAATTTCCTAAGCTCTTTGGAAGGGCATAGAGACTTTATATCATTATGTGTTATTCGTTTTACAGGAACGGACTATTATTATTATCATTAGTTTGAAAATCCTAAATCTCCTATCTTCCCGATTTTATTCAAATCATTGATGTCAGGGTGTACTTCTATTTCAATAAATGCTAGCATTGGTATATATTCACCTCATTTGCCCTTTTCTCTCGCTCCTTCTCCATCTTCCATTGTGCGTTGCTATGGTGAGAGAGGAGCATCTTAGACAGGTTTTGCTTCTCATCCTCGGACATGTCCACATCCAGCACCGTCTTCTCTCGCATCAGACCAGGACCAGCCTAAAACAAGAGAGGCACAAGCAAAGTTAACATAAGAACATACTTGATGATCTGTTTTCATCTGTTACCTATAGCAGGTAACTAAGGTATGTTTCAGGTGACTTGTCAAATGATCAGACCAGGAAAAGCTGCACACAATTATTAGGACCAGAAGAAAAGTCATAAACCAAGACCAGAGTAGGACAAGAAAAGGAACCAAGGCATACAACTCTTTTGAAAGAATAAAATAAGACTGTGCTAAAAGAAGGGGCTGTTTTTTATGTCCATATGAGCAGGAGCAGCTAGAGAGAGAGAGAGAGAGAGAGAGAGAGAAAACAAGGGGAAAACTGCGACATAAGAAACAAACACACAAACAAATGCAAAAAGTTGTGAGGCTTGCAGTCCAGACTAGGTCCACACCAGACCAGAGGCAAGATGAGGAACAATGGTATACAACAACACTGATAGGTCAACAGGAAGAATGCCTGGCAACCTTATGTTTCTTGAGATGTACAGAATCCTCACCTATGACGGGGAAGCTAGGTGACCAATAATGTTCACCTTATTTTTCTGGCTCAGCACACCCAGTATACCAAGATAACAGAAGTCCAGAAGATATAAAGATAAAATCTTGCTTTTTTCTTGCTTGAATTAGCACACACAAGTTTCTTGTTAGTATAAAGTGCAATTTAGTACCAATATAATATATCTTAATTCTTTCATGCATATTGTGGGTATTAAGTTCAGCTTCATATATTTGAGGAATTTCAGGTATAGAATCCCATTTTTTAGTTTAACAGCTCTATTTTATATGTAAAGAATTACATATACAGCTAGAGTTAGGTGAGACAGAGAGGGGAAGGAGAGAAGCTAACATAAACATTATTATTATCACTACATGCTGTACTTGAGCTTCACTTGGCAATGTATGAATGGTTAATCTTGACATCTTTAAAACCAGTGGGTATAAATTGCATAACATGCGTACAATTTAACATAAAAAAGGAATATACAAATATATGAGGAAACTTTAATATAAATTGACAGTGTTCACATGAAATTTATTCTACTTACAAAATTACAGTGTTAAAAATAAACATGATATTACCTAGGAATGCAATAGTTCAGGTTTCAAGTGAAATTGATGTGATATTGGTAAAAAGTTAGTAAAACCGCATTTTGCTTTTATTTATTCCCTCTGACTTAATTACTGCATACCTTCATGCAATTAGGGGTTTCTAATCCATGCAAGAACATGAACAAAAATCCATGATGTAAAATATTAGCTTCCCAGACAATTTTCACTCTTATTTACTAATTTTTTTAGCTAGCATGGCTCTGTTTTTATTAATGTTTGGATGACTTCAAATAACAGCAACAGTAAAAACCAGTTACTCTCCAAATTCACCTTTATTTAGATGTATTATTTTTTCACTTATAATCTTTCATGTTTTTAAGTGTTTGCATTTCAATGGTCATGCTGTTGTAATGAAAACTAATTCAATGTAAAACATTTCCTTGGCTGTAATGATTATTCAAATACATTCCACACACGCAACACACAACCACCCCCACAATTACATAACAAATAGCAAATCAAAGTGAAGAAAACAATCACGGCGAACAACATAGCAGGTACATCTGCATTCTTTTATAATGGGAATTATTAAAAACACTGCTAAAGACATGCATATACATTTTACATTCTGTTTATCATCTCAATATTCTGATGAGAGTACAAGCAATCATAACATGAACCTACATGTACATATTGCCACATAGCTTGCCCAAGTCATAACAGAAATAATGATGAACATTCTATGAGCGCTATGTAAAACTGCAGCAACACATCCACATCCATACCAAAACCTACTGGTATTCAGATTGGTTTGAGTGATGAAGTGTTAGCTAACTGTGCATTCTTTTTAAATGGCAAATCCCAGCATACCATAAATTTAAGAACAGTTTTTGTTTTGTTTCACAAATGAAGATGATTTGGACTTGTGGATATGCAATTCATGTACAGGTCAGTTGAAGACTGGAATGGCATGTGCATACAGGCAACAATTTCTTTCATTTTAAGTCTTTAATTATACAGGGAAAAAACACCACCTCTAAAGCATAAATTTAACCTTGTGTGCAGTCTTCAATTTTTCAAAAACCAAGGGTGTGATCCCTCAAATAAAGTTGTTCACAAAATGTATCAGCAATGTTCAACACATGGAACATAGTTTTTTTTTCCATTGTAGAGATAACATGGTCTAACAAGGCTGACATACGTATGCTCTGATGACATTTACTAACGATCATCTCATCAAAGCTACATGCATAAGGTTTTAGGTTGTTAAGAGTTAAGGTGAGCGTATTAAATTACTCATCAATCAATAATGTTCAAATTAGGTATGACCAAGGGGCTAAAATTCCCTTTCACGATTGATAACCCCCCCCCCCCAAAAAAAAAAAAAAAACAAAAAACAAACAAAAACACCAATAACAGCATTTTTAGGCCAGGAATCATTGCATTCACTACATATTACACAACATTATTTTACAACATAGATTATGCAAGGCTTTCCTGCACTTTAACAGATATAATATGATTCATCAGCATACATGATTTCAAATTGATACCGCGATGATCCAAAATCTCAACCAGATCCATAAAAAAACAAAAAAACAATAGCATATTCAGACAAAAAAAAAATGTACTTTGACACATACAAGAACTGCAATTGAGACTGCCGACACTGATAATGGTTTACTCTGCCTTGCACATGCATGCATTCACTGCAGTTTCATATAGATTAGGGGTGTGGGGAGGGAACTACATGTTCAGTGTTCATATACATGTTGATCTTAGTACAACCGTTTCTTAATTAGCATCCATCTTTAGATACAGCTTTAAGTAAGCACATCATTTGACTGCTATTTTTACAAATACAATCTATTAATCATTTTTAAAAATAAGAGTGTGTTAAAAAAAATGATATGATTTTTCACACAGTACTGCAGCCAATCAATCTAAATTTGAGAGTGTTCTTTGCCCTTGTTATGGAGCCCTTATAGTTTGAGCTTTGCATTAGGGCTTGTTCTATGCTCCCAGATATCAACACTGAACATGCAAAGATGTTTGCGCCATCTTGATAGGGTTTGAAGACTTGCACTCTTGTGATTTTATTGCCTGACATTACATGTCTACAGACTTATAGAGATAGTAACTCTCACAAATAATGAGACTGCATGTCCCAGAATCTTTTATAGCATTTTCAATGAGCTTAAACAGGTGTAAAATGCACCAGAAAGTTGAAAGTCAAATTTTAAAGACATAATTATTAACTCCCAAGTAGTTTGAACACAACACTGCTTGTTTTAACAAGAACAGAAAGTGCTTCTATAAAAACCTGGCAAATTTAATCACCACATTCTTCTTTTTTATCTTCTTAATATATAGACATTATTATTAGTTACATCCAAAGTGTTAATCTTTAATATTTTAGCATATGCATCTGCTTAATAATCAATATAAGGGATTATATCATTGTAATAATTATGGCAATGTTAAAATTGAAAGAATAAACCTCTGTCTGCCAGGCAATACAAATCATTAGAATGGGGAGGGGAGGGGGAGGGGGGGGGGGGCATGGTTCTACAAAGCCTTGCCTTGCTTTTGCATGTATGTGGCTGTTTTCTGCAACAACTTCAAGCAAACCTCATCAACTCACCACTTTGTCAGCTTTGGGTGGTTCCCCAAAACTCACCCCTTTCTTGCCCTTTTTCTTGGGCTTCCGGGGTGAGGGGTCAGTGATGACAGGCTAAAAACAGGTACACATGCAGTCAGTTTTACATATAAGTTCCTATTTATAGTGCTGCATAAATTGCACACAAAAAGTGCATCTGTCCACACTTAAAAGTTATTCACTCTGTGGGTCATTTAACATGTTAGATAGCATACTTAAAGACAAATCTGAATTCATCCACACACAACAACATTATGCAGTCAAAAGACTTCCAGGAGATTTATAAACTGTGGGAGTATTGAACAAATTAGGGATAAAATATGATATATTTTGGTAGTGTTGTTGATAGGAATGATAACTTGCCTTCCCATTCCATATTCTCAAATGTTAAAGTTCAATGTTAACAGACATTTAGTATTAGGAAACTTGTAACTGAAATGACTATCATTGTTAATTAATATAAGGACAGTACTACATACAGGACATTACAGGTACATGGTACTGTTGTTGATACACTGTTTACAAAGAAAATCCCTATTTTTTTTCCAATGAGAAAATGAATGTTAGGAAGTTCAGTCTTTAAACATAACAGACGATTGATATTGTTATTGTGCTATGAACAAAAAAAGTGAAAGATTTGACATAAATTAAAGCTTACCTCGGCTTCAAAGTTCACCTAATTGGTTCCAGGAATTGATTGAATGAAATAGGATTGATGTATAAGATGATCAAGTTATAAGGTGTGAAGGAATACAAGATACAAGATTCATGCACAAAATTAAGAAACAGGTATACAGGGGTGTAGTTGTTTAAATCATTGATTGGTTCATTTCTCATTATCTCAAATTAATTCCTAAAAGCCAATAATTGATGAGAGCTAGAAGGGTGTTAATTCATTTTATTTCAAATAGAGTTAAATCCTTCTGCCTCTCAACAGATAAACTGGTATCTTGATTACTCTTGTATCTTATGTTAAATGGTACATGCAAATTTCATCAAAAGAGTTTTAGTTATGGAGAATCTAATTCTTTAAGCTAACTATACATACAGTATTCAATATGATCTGCTGAGAGACAAAAGGATGTTAACACTATGTACAATGATACGAGTTAATGCCTTGCTGAGAACTAGAAGGGCATAACTATCATCTGTTATAATTATAACATTGAATTAATGTCTTCTGACTTTCATTAGATACTGAAAATTGAAATCAGAAAGAATAGACATACCATCATGAAATCAAGAGATCATAATGCATTTCCTCATACCTTCTTCCTCTTCTCCTTCTCTCTTTCAAAAGAGACCTCTCTCTTCTTCTGTTCTTCTTGGGCCAGTCTCTCTGTTTCTGCCCGTTCCTCCGCCGCCTTGCGTCTCTGCTCTCGCCGGGCAGCCAAGCGGTCTTGCATCTTGATATTGGAATAGATTACAAATATTTGTTGATTCCTGGCAGTGGCTCATATTAACATTACACTCTTTTAATCAACATTTGGAATGAATATAAGTCTTTAAAGGCAGGCTTTACTACTTCAGCCAGAAGGGATTAGACCACACAGCGAGCCAGCGAGGTCACTGTGACATGTGGCTATCTCATAAACTCAGCTCTCATTTAACATAAGAACAAGAGGATCATGGGGGACCAACAGGCACCGATTGGGGAAGTTTTCTATATAGAGGGAGCAAGTAGCTACAAGTAGGACAGTGTGCCTTTAAGATGCATATGAGATTTAGGAAATTAAATTAAATTAAAAAATGTAAAGATTAGTAAACACAATCTGATGATTTTTAAGGGACCCACAGCATTTTACAATACCATAATTTCTTTCCACTCCTCATCATATTTGTGTTTGATTCCATTTATCAAAGTAATCTCAATAAAAAAATGTTATACACAACACAACACAAAATATAAACTTAAATTCTGCATAAGGTATTTCTATCATTAAAAATGCATGTTAAATTGTCATGCTGTACATACATTCAGTATATACACTTTAATCATATCCCCGACAAATGTTCATGACACAGAGAGACTGTTTTGTGAAGAGATGAGGAGATGACTTACCAGCTGATTCTGTTTGTTCTTCTGCTCCACTGCTGCCTCTTCCTTCTGAGTTTTACTCTTCTCTGCAGCATGAATCAGAGCCACAGCCATCTCATCTTCATAGTTTCTATCTTCCATTCTCTGCTTCCTGGCGGCTATCTTCTCCATCGCCTGACGACGCTGCTTCTCAAGCTGAACTTGCATTGCCTAACAAGCAAGGATGAAAAGAAAACACATCTACATTTCATTTCATGATCATTTGTTTGAAAGGATTTTGACCTGATGAAATAATTTGGTATATCTCACACTTTGTGAAAGAGTACCTCAAGGACCATGCAATAATATTTTGCTATCTCTTGGTTTCCTTGCGTGAGAGCATTCAAAAGTGAAAATCTGTTTGAATGTGTAAGGGCTCACGTAATGCACTGCATACCATACAGAATGCTTAAATAAGGACAAATCAAAATTCTTTCACCCTGCAATCAAAGTGAAATTTAGATCAAAATGACGTTATATATACATTCTAATAATGATATAGAATGGATTTCATAGAACACAAGGATACGTCATACTAACTTTGAAAATATTTCACTTAGTTACACATTTGTATCTTTATAAATGAATTACCCTTTTCTTAGCAGCAAACTGAGCCTCAATTTCTGCCATCATAGCCTCTGCATCAAACTCCTCATTTGGACGACGTTTACGCTCTGAATATGGAGAGATAGAAAAATAAGAATTGAGCCCAGTCTACAGAGAGGGTGGTCCCTATCAAATATATGGCCATGTTGACACATACATGTAGGTGATGAAGCATTAGAAGCATTACTGTCTGTTTACACAAACAACACCAACATAATCGAATCTTACTACCCCTCCCCCTGGGTTATCATTTTCGATGCCAATTTCAATTTTTCTAATAACACAAGTTTCAATAATCTTTCTATTCTTTGTAACGTCTGCCTTACATACTTTCCTCTCCTTTTCTCCATCTCTCCATTTCTCTCTTTAACTTTCCTTATGACTACATCCCTCTGTATTTCTCTTTCATCTACACCCATTACCTCACATTTCCTCGCAATACCAGACAGTTTGTACAGAATATAACCAAACAACCCCTCAACTGACAGATGAACAACATGATTTACACAAAAAATGTGGGAAACTGGGTGGGGACGATCAAAAGAGTTTTATGACTGCACATCTTAAAATACTATTATCATTCCCCATTCTTACTAAAACACATAATTCTGGGCCCAAGAAAATCTTGTTTCAATAAAAGCACAACATTCAGAGGATTTTTTTTTTAGAAAACTAAAAGCAAGGCTGTGATTTTTTTTGGTAAATGATATGAAGATTACTATCTCATGAAGACAAATTGGCAATACATTGCAGTCATGACATGTCATATAAAAGAAAACTGAAAACCGGTAGTAATAACATCACAATATCATGACTGAGCTGCCAATTTGTCTAAATCAGGTATTAATCTCCATATTACCAAAAGATTCACAGATTTAAAATAAATTCTTGTCTGATTTTCCTAATTTTTTTTTGGAGGAGTTCTGCATATCTGTCTGCTTTTATCAAAAGCAATTATTTGGTTCCAAAGATGTCTTTTAAGTTTCTCCTTCCATTTTCCATGTTTCACATCAAATAGTCACTGACAAGTGCTTCCACAAACAGCACTGCCCATAGGACACTTCCCAAATAAATGTAAGAGTGTTTTGATGTTATACATCTTTCAACATAGTTTGAAAGAAATACTAAAATATTACTTCAAAACATAGAGCCTCATTACTTTTAAAGGGGCAATATTTCAAGAGTAAAGGAAATTATTTCTTTTGGTTCAATCTGAAAGGAAATCACAACAATCCTAAATCATTTTATTTTTACCATTAGGAAGTTTGAACTTAGCATAGCCCTAAATCTCAATTTTCAGCCAATACCCTAACATTGGTTACCACATCAACCAACTACTCATCTACACCTTTGGCAAGACACATCAAACCTGACCAAGACATAAAATATCACACACTCTATACAATTTTGGAGGTGAGAGAGAGAAGTACTTGAACAACACTAAAAGGCTTGCAGATATCAAATAGAGTGAATGGGAGAAAAACAAGGAGAAATTAAAGATTAGGGAACAAATATAGAATACTAAAACTTTTTTTATCCCAACTTCAAAACCACATTCATCATCATCATCCATGCAGTTGTTAGTCATACTGTACACAATGGACATAGGGGAATAAAACAAAAACACACTTTGAATTAGTAAACTTTCACATTGTCATGACTGGTACTTACTTTTGTCTGTAAAATAATGGAAGTGACAAAGTATAAATTAATTAGTGATGCACAAACTGACCAGTATGTTTTGGACATTAACAAACGGCACAATCCCTCCCTCCCCCCAAAAAAAGAAAGAAAAAGAGAGTGAACGAAAGAGTCAAGGTGAAGATTATACTACTATTCGCAAAGAGGTTTTCTAATATGACTTAATGATAAATCTAACAGCCTTGGACATGAATTGAGTTGAGATGGCAAGTCTAGTAATGTATCATTTAAGATGTGAGTTGAGACTGAATCAAGTCATTGCAGTTTTGATATAGTGTTAAAAGTTACCTCTTACTTTATAGTCAAGTCAAAAGGTGGTGGAAGATTATTCTAGCTGCCTCTTAATCTTAAGTCAAGTCAGCTCAAGAACTAACTTAACCCTAACAACACTGGGTACTATTAATACCCCACTTCAAGAGTGTGTGTCTCTTTACTGGGCCATTGTAAAATTGTACTAATGTCAGTAATTGATGCAAAGTGAATTAGTTTAGATCAGGCCTTCTCAATTGGCAGCGCGCGCGCCACTCGTGCCGCTTGCGGTCAGTCAGAGTGGCGCGCGGCTGTACCAAAAAATCAATTAAAAATAAATAAAAATTAAAAATTAAAGAAAGAACAAATTAAAAAATTATATTTTGAAATAAAAAACTCAGCAAAATCAAAAAGTCGCAGTCGAAGTTGAGCCCAAAATGTAAGCAAGCCATTTTGTTTGTTTGATTTTCACTTCATTTTGACATTTTCCGTGCTTATTGCACCAAAATAACTACATATAAATTAACTTCCAGTGTAGATTTTAGCCAGGAATTGTAGTAATTATTTCACATCAATATGAAATTATGATTGATGTTTTATGGAACAAAAAGGTGTTAAAAATGCCACATCTGGGCCTTAAAAACGCCCTAAAATCCACTAGCTTCCGGGGGCTTCGCCCCTGGACCCCACCCAGTATCGGCTCGGTTGCTATGCTCCCTCGCATTCACCAAACATACAGGTTGGCACTTCAACCTCAATAAATTTTTGTTTCGGCGCTTCTAATAATCTAGTTGAGAAGGCCTGGTTTAGATCATACAATATAAAAACATACATTATAGTTTGACCGAGGTAGCTTTATGTATCATAAAATCATTTTTACTTATAACAAAAGCGCTTGTTAATCAGACTAAATTCTTCAAGTAAGACTGTACATTTCTGATTCTCACCGTTCTCAATGGCTTCCTGCATTTCCTGTTCCAGGTTCTGAAGATCTTGCTCCTTCTGCTCCAGCTCCTGGTTGACATCTTTCATCTCTGCCTCCTGCCTCCTCTCCCTGGTCTGCTCCTCTTCAAGAGCCTGTAGTACGAGCAGAAATCACAAATGCAAATCTGTTACAAAGGGCTTTCAAGATTCTAAGAATTACACACAAAGAAGTCAAGTTGTACGTATGTCAGTAATACACATATAGATGTGTTCTGAGAAGAAACAGGACTGGAAGTTAAAGACATAGAGAATTCCATGTTAGAAAGAAGTCCTGGTCCATCATATTACAAGAAACTGGAAGGACTTGACTAGAGTAAAAATAATTAAGCACTGTGCACCTTGTTGCCAACGACACCTTTGGTCATTTATACCCCCTACCCCCTGACAATTACCCCCTTGTTCACTAATAATTAAATAATAATAATATCACACTATTTATACGGCATAAATGTAAAACATGATTCATATTATTTGATGAACATGGAGGTATTACCTTCTTTCTATCTGCATACTCCTTCTCTAGCTTGGCAATCATTGCATCTAGTTCCTCTGCAGTTCTGCCACTCTCTGCAAAAACACAAAATGACAAAATAAAACATAACTCTTGCATATTAATAAGTATTTCAATGGTTAATCAATTCCACAAATCAAAATATGTTTGAGTATATTGAAGACCTTGTTTTTGAATGATTAACAAGAGAAAAAAATCTATAGTGAAATTTAAACATCACTTCGCTTGTTATTTTGACATGTAACTGCTCTGGTTAGGTAATCAAGTTGATCGAACTGTAAACTTCTATTTGATTTGATGCATATGGGACTTTTCCTTCAACTTACCCATAACATAAAAGTCACTTCATTTGTCCAAAGATCTTAAATCTGGGTAAAACCCTTAGGCAAGAGCTGCTCAACGCGGTCAATTACCAACACCAAAACAAATCCTAGCTTCAACTTTGAACCAAAAACTATACCTAACCCTAATCCTAAATCCAAAACCTAACCTAAACCTGATTCAAACTTCAACCTCAAAGCTATATCTTTGATGAAATTGAAAACCTTGGCAAATAATCACAGCAGCAAATGTTGATGCAACAACAAAATGCTGGGTCATCGGCTTTACAACTGCCTTTCCTTTTGACCCAATATTGCACTCACCATTCTTCATAACCTCTGCCTTCTTCTCCTCAAGCTCTTTGTCCATGGTCAGCAGGGCGCCCTCTCTAGCCTGGATCCTTCTAGTCATCTCCTCGATCTCTGTGGTCATCTCAAGGGTGACCGTAGTGTGGTCAAACACAGTGACCGCCACATTGTCCAGCCATCCCTCCCGCCGAGCTCTGCGCTGGGTGACCTTCATCTGGTGAAGGAACTCTTCATTCTATGATGAATGATTGAAAGGGAGGTAAAGGTATGGACTTAGTGTAAATGGGGAAGTCTTCAGTAATCCATCCTGAATGTTACTGTCATGCATCCAGGACATCATCAGAGTTGTAAGTATACCTAAGTAATGTTGACAGTCCTAATAGGGCTTGGATCAGGCCTAATAACAAGGAAATTACAATTGTGACCTATAATGTTAGTTTATGTTTCTTTCTCTTGGGAAGGTATATGGGATACCTTGGACTTGCCCAAACATGCCATTCCTGCATGGTGTGACTATCCAGTCTTAAGAAAATGAAGAGAACTTACTTCGATCAAATCTGGTCCAGAAATCACCAATAGACTCTTATAGCCTAAAGTATCTGATTTATCAGTGATGTCTAAAAAAATACATTATCCATTTTAACTGTGTCAAACTCTTTCAATAGACTTTACAAGAGCTGCATTTGAGATTCAGTCGTGTGCAAAGAATTCATTTTGGGAAGGCTGAGTTCAGAAATGCTTGAATCCTTGAGATATGCAGACTTGAATGAATTAGCTGTGACTAAAGACAAAGCTTTATTGGATCATAAAAACAAATGCATTTGAAAACAACCTCTTTTGTACTATCCTCCTTTGTGTGTCAAACAACTTTTCTATATTCTGCAAACAACTTGACTTCCCGGATACCATATTTATAAGCTTATTTACATGAAATAAAATAAAATAACAGGGCCATTAGAATACCTACCCCTACACAAATCTGAATAACTATGAAATCTGTAAAATGAAATAAAAGTATTGGAAGAATTCTAAGGCTTTTCTAAAGCATTCTAAGGCATAATGCTACAATATGTATTTTGGATGCAAGAGGTGATAGCTTTTCTAATATGATGCAATATGGATAATGAAAATAAGAGAAGCATATATATGACATGGAGAGAAGTGAATGTAGAATATGTAGAGGACAGGCCCTAGCTCACATCATTGGTCTGATGTGCACGTTACCTTTATGACTTCAGTGGATTCTGAGAAGAATAATTCTTTGAATGAGTGTCCCACACCAGACGCTATCGATGCCATACTATGTCGCTTATCCAGGCCACCTGGATGGCCCTGGGGTTTGCTATTATCCCCCTGATGGATGGAATGTGAAGAGGATGGTGGAGATCGAGGCAGGGGTGTGAATCGCAGAGGAAAGTAATGGTGATTAGAGATATAGTTTGATTATAATGCTGCATGAGAATAGCTACTCCCCTCTGAGAAGTAATGAGTGCTATAATAAACTTCTGCAAATACTGTATCATGATTGACAGAAAAGACATATTATTTGCAGAGGCTATTAGGCACTACAGTTACTCTCAGAAGGGTCTGTGAAAGAGCTAAGCTGAACATGAATATTCCATTTATATTGTGGAGGGGGGGGGGGGATATTTTATATACAATCATTTGAGAGAATAGAAATCTCACAATGGGACATAATTATATCACAATTCTTTTGTTTTATTATTTTTGTTTTATTACAAAGATTTAAGAAGTAAAGTCAATTTTGAAGAAAAAACACTCTTGCTTTCATTTCAAACATATCAATTGACATATTTTGCGTCATTACATATTGTTTAAAAAAGGTAATTTCTCCTAAATGGAATATTCATGTTCATCATATTGAGCAAAGATTTATATGTGAAAAGTTATAAACAAGTGAGGCAAACTTATAATGTATAATGCTTAAATGGCTGGCAATAGTGAAGTAAATAATACATGCAAGTTTATTATCTACTTTGCAAACAGATACCTGCCTTCAGCTTATAAAAACTACAGGTAAGTTGTGAATGAGATATACATTTATATGAGGATATGCACTTTTATTAAACTTCAGGAAAATTCCATTAATATGCAATAAGTATGGCAAAGTAGGAGCACTATGAAAGCATCTGTAACTGCATGTATATATATTTATAGGGAAAGCATTGAAAGAACTATGTAGTAATACATATCTAAGAAAACAAGCAAGAAGCATGATAAAAATGTTTGACTGTGTTGCATTGCAAAAAATGGGGATAATCTTGCTCAACAATTTTTGACAATGAATTCAAAGCAAAGCAGCTGATAAAAAAAGGATATGAATAACAAAAACATAATGCAACAGAATATGATAATGCATTACAAAAAAAAGATTTTTAAACATTTACTAACAAATGAGAGAACTAGCTTTGCTGGTGTGCAAGTGAGATCTAAATAAGGGTAGAAGTGAAGTATGATAATAGATGGGATAACTAACCGGGAAGCCTTCTAGAACATGATGAAGAGCATTGACCTCTACACTCTGTTTCTGTTGAAGCTCTGATAACATCATGACAGCAAGCTCCTCCTCAATCTCTTCTAGTGATAAACGCTTCTCCTCAATCAAGGAACGCCGCATCACTGGTGGGTAGAAGAACAATTTGGGAGAGGATAGGAGATTTTATAATTTTGGTCTTTGTCCTGGGAGATAAGATTTTTAATGACATTTAAGAAGCTGTGGAATCTTGTTTCTTCTATGTCTGTTCATATGTCTGTCTATCTATCCGACGGTCTGTCATTCTCTGTCCCTCTCTCTCTCTCTCTCTCTTTCATTCGGTGATCATTAAAGTAATGTAATATCTATGTGTACATAAAACTTTCACAAGTTCCAAGAATGGTCTACGTATGTACACTTCAATTCTCTACATCATTAACACACTGAATTTATCCAAATTGTAAAAAAAGAGAAAATTCTTGCAGTGACAATGGCCATTGTGAACGATTCATGACAGTTGTCTGTGTTTACAATGTTCAGATGCTATAATATGCTTACTTTCTATCTTGATGTTTATAGCGCTCTTGAGGAGTCGATGCTGCTGCTCCTGATACTCAGAGACCTGTGTGAGATGTCTGGATAGCTCCTCCTCACTAAGCCCACTCACGTCTACATCACCAAACTCCAGATCAGAATCCTCACGCAGCTGACGTCTCTCCTCTTTCAGGGCTTCCAGCTGGGCTAACAGGTCCTGGGTCAACACATGCATAATTTGGTTTTAGCATTATTGATTACTCCTTCTATTTTGTGCTTTGCTCGCAGGTAACGATCCAGTTAAAAACAATGAAAAAATTACCTAACAAACAACATGAAATACCTTTAAACATGTGGACGACATGTATGCACCTTTTCTATGATATGGTGGTAGCCTAGTCTTGGATATTACATTTAACACATATCTTGATAAAATAAGATATAATTTTAATAATATGATAATAATTATAATACTAATAATTTTGTTTACCAAGGGAAGTCGTATCACCTTCAACGCTGTTCTTCCTGAGAGCCCTGCAACTACTATTACCCTAGCGATTGCCAAATACCCATTCACACCTGGGTGGAGAGTGCTTAATGTTGGTTAATGTTGGTTAATGTCTCGCCAAAGGACATTAGTGTTAAGCTTAGATTCAAACCCTCAACCCTTGGATTAACAATGTTTTAATAGGTTCCTCACATTTCACCCTGTACCCTTCTATTCAATACAATTAATTTCGACTTCTTTTCAAAGAATTAATTATATAATGTGACACTTTTAGTATATTTCATATTATGTTCTAATTTTGTCAATTATGTGAATACTTTTTTTGTGAAATGTGAAACAAATAAACTTGAAACTTGAAACAATGTTTGGATTTTGAAGCATGCAAGCTAGCCTACCTTGAGAGCTAGTTCCTCCAGCCTTGTGCGTTCCTTGGAGTTAGCCATGGCACCATCTATGAGAGTGACCAGGACATCTCGCTCACTGCTCTGCTTCTTATCTACCTCATCCATCACCGTAGAAACCAGGGATACCGGATCTTAGGTGCAAACAGAGTCGTGATAAGATGATTAGTTTCAAATCATTGCAATACATGGTCCCATACATTACGGACCACATCTATGAAGTTAGTGTAACTAATCAGTGTATTAAGATGATGGCCTTCCTACAGCAGGGTATAAGACCACATATCCAGTAAAATATTAATGCTGATATCAATAAATGTTCGAGCCACCCTTATACCTTGTAACGTATGGGATATTAACTAACCTTGGACTTTCCCTCATACATACACATAGATAATGTATGCATGGCTGTGTTAGTACATACTGAAGGGAATGACAAACTATTATACATTTTGGCATCAAGAATTAAGAAACTCTAAGAACAACACACAAAAACCCTTGCTCTGATATATGACTAGAAAGTAAAAAAGGGGAAAGTGATGGGCAAAATGCATTTCATCACAAGTCACTTTGTAAAATTTAAAGGATCTGGACATATGTTTACCTACTATAATGTTTACAATTAAGTTTTTACCAAATCTTGATGATGTATTTTAACATGTGTTTGTGAATTTAATTTTTTTTTTTACACAAAATTGAAATGGAACCAATTTTGCAGAAGAAATTTACTACATAATATCGTTTGTTAGCATACATCCAAAATTATCATATTTCTTTTAAATGAAATGCATAATTCATAACTTCATTACCATTCCAGTAAAATGTTCACACAAAAAAGAGGTGAAAACAGACAAGGCAAAGCCAGGCATTAAAATCCAATCTGTGAACATACCTTGGACAAGCATTACACTAAACTTAATTTATGCAATAAAAATAATAACTAATGGAAGTGTCAAATGAATTGGTGCTTATCATCTTGCCTTCAATTTGAATTACCTTGATTCATAACAAGAACATCTCCCTTGGCTGATGTAGTTGATCATAAGGTAGATGGAGATGGTGCACACATGATGGAAGCAATGCACATGAGGTGATACAATGAAATAAGTTCTCCCACTGAATGGATCTTATTAGAAGGTTAAAGTGTTATAGAGGTCATGTCTATCTAGTGAGCTATCTAGCATTCTGTCTAAATGCAGCTTTAATATGGTGTTAATATATCTATATATATAGAAAAGGTTACGTCATGCAAGATTGAATTCTTGTTAGTTAGAATGGGTCAATGTTATCAAATGCAAGTGTTAGATTCAAATTGAGATGTCTTTATTATGACGTATCAAAAAGATTCATTTAGGACTTTTATAATCTTATCGTTATATGTGTTCAAATTATAAACAAACAACTAATTCAGGATAAAGGAAGAAAATAATATAGTATTAATGACTGCTTTGAGAGAAATAGTTGTTTTATACGCTCAAGGGAAGATTAGAATTGTGCTATTGCCCAAGGCGTGCCGAGGGCAATAGCCCAATTGTAACCTTCCCGAGAGCGTATAAAAAGCAACTATTTCTCGAATATTAAAGCAGTCATCAATACTTTTATATGCCGAAAACAAAAGAGTCAACTAATGACACCGCCTTGGCCTTTTTCTAGTTTATCTGCACGGTTGTTTTTTATGAGTGTATCTTTGAGAGTAGACTAGATCTAGATTCTAGTCTAAGCAAGATATTTTTACAATTTTGGGGGTGGGCCGGCCCTGTGGGTAATAGGGAGAAGAACCTGCGCTTTCATATCACACCTCACTTATTGAGTATCACCTTCAGGATCACAACAGATAAAGGTTTGAATCTCGAATTGAAAAAAAAAACTTGACTTTTTTTGCATGGTCGCGCAATGCACGTAGACTGTATAAAGACTGCATTGCGTGCAATCTCTATGGGAAGAATTTTAACACACAACATCGGGTGCGCGATCAGACACCCTGACTACTAGACTCTAGATCTATTTTTGTCTACGTCTATGCTTTTTCAGCAACTAAACGAACATGTTTATGGATAATTTCACGTACCCTTTTTGTTGTTCTTGCTATCAGCGAGTCTTGCATTTGATAAGTTGAAATCTTGGAAGAGTTTCTTTAGCCATTTTTGTCTTGTTTGGAATTGTCTTGTCTTGTATGAAAATACCGACCAATTCTTCGCACACGTACGGTATCCTTGATCGCTCAAACCATTTTAAACATGTAAAGCTATGGGTAACCATGGTTACTGGGATTTTAAAACTATTTTTTAAAACTATTACATGCATGGGTTTGGAATTTTACCGGGAATTTTACCGGGAATTTTACCGGGAATTTTACAGGAATAGTTAAAGTTTATGAATGCAATTTTGACCAATCAGATGGCTGGATTTCTTAAGTGAGGTATATAATGAAAAATAATGTGACACAATTGACTCAGTTATCGTCAACATAATTGCAACTATCACATGGGCAAGCATTAGTATCAATAAATGAATAGTAGATTACTAGAAAAATGTGGTAATAATTACTAAGCAATATATAATACAGGCAAAAAACAACTAATTCACATGCACCTAAATATGAATAAGCAGCCGTCTACAAATTGGCACAATCCTTGCCTCTAACGAAGGTTTCAATTTCTTCAGTTTCACCCTTGCAGGAACAATTACCCCTAGCTCATATTTGATCTAAAACTCTTATATCAGCCACAACAAAGATGGTAGGTATAGCATTTAATAAAGTGCATTCTTGCCTTCAACATTTGTTTAATGCAAATGTAGATGATGCAAATGTAGATGAAGTAAAAATCTTTTCTGAACTTTAAGCAACTTTAAGTAGATGTAAATGAGGTGAGTATGAGGATATGAAAGTGCAAACTATTCTATCAAAAAGGAAACCATGTAAATGAAGTGAATAAAACAATATTGATCAGTCAAAAAGAATGCAACTTTCTGATGTATAAGTTGGTGCATTAGTAAATTGTATATAGAAATAAATAAATGGCTTATTAGAATCAGTTAGTGTTGACAAATGCAAAAGTCTTGAATTCATATGAAAAGTTCTACTTTATAAAATGAATTATTTACCCTGGATTACTTTTATTTATTTCCTTAGTAAATAATTAAAACTAAAAAAACACAATATTTTCATTCTTGCTCTTTGGACAAAATTAAAAAAAATATAGTATAAAGGTCATGAAGTTCAGAGTAGATTGAAAGTCATTCAAAGAAATAACTGAAATTTTACATAACTCTCCCAAATGCTCTAATGAAAGACAGATTAGTTTGCAAGTAATTGTAGAGCAATTCTAAAAGTAAATCTTAAATAAATCTCCTTACTCCTAAGAAAAACCTCCACTAAAGTATTATGAGATAGTGAATTATGATCACATTCCCACCACCGCATGTATACATGTAAGCTTGAGAGGAATGCCTCTTACCTGACTTGGTGGCATGTGCTGCATCCGCTTTGGCATTCTCCTTCTCCTCCAGCAAGAGCTGTTCTTGGATGTCAGACCTAGTAAGATGCTTGGCCTGCTCCCCTTTCTCATCACCAGCCATCTTGGCTCTCCTAGCTGCCAGCCTCTCCCTAGCAAGCTGCTTTTGACGCTCCTTGTCCTTCTCGTAGCTACGGATGGAGGTGGAGTAATAGCAAAACAGGATTAAGTCGAGGTGAAAGCAAGGGGGAGCAATTCACATTCAAGGACACATATAAACTCTTTCTGCACTGCTTTACATACCATATCGTCTGGAGCCAGAAAGGCATTCATCGTATAGTTTAGCAGACTTTAACGCCCTTCTGGCTCTCGATTAACTGACAATTGAAGTTGAAGAAATTCCCTCTGGTGAGATTTGAGAAAATTTATGGAAGAATAAAGTATATTTCCCTACATTTGTAATGCCTTTATAAATCATGCTTATATAATTAGATAATTGTTGCGAAAAATGTAAAAAATGCAATTATTTATAGTTTATCCAATAAGTTTGATCAATGACCAATTACTGCTACATACATGTATTGGTCTAGATTTACATACATGTACGAGTGATGCATGTATACATGTTTGTACACTATGTGCTACTACCAGATCCATGGTTCATGTATATCAATGTACAAATGAATCAAATTTGTATTTTTCTTGCTATTGTACCTTTTTTACTTCTGGAAAATCCCAGTAAGAGTGATAGATATGATGACAATGACAATTACAACATGCTAAATACTACATGTACATTTCTAGCGATCTATATACTTGTGTATTTACAGACATGTCTCACAAATTCTATTTCTGTGGACTTACTTGGCCTCTCTGGTCTTCTCATGCTGCTGTGCCAATCCAAAGAGGGCAGCAGCTGCCTCAAACTTCTCTTCATCCTGCAGCTTGCGTTGGTCCCTCCTGAGCTTAGCCAGGGCCAGCTGTCTCTCCTTCTCACTCTGCAGGGTATCGTCCTGACTCCTCAACGCAGCCAGCAGAGCATTCTTCTCATCCTCAAAGTGGTTGTTTAGTCCTTCAAGAATGTTCTAGCATCACAAGAGAGAAAGATATTATATACTTACATGTAGCTCAATATTTATGAGATGTCAGCTCATAAACTACCATGCATAGAGCTTGTCTGTCATGTCGATGTTTGAAAATGAGAAAAAAAAAGGCCGTAGACTACTGTACATTTGCTTGGGACATTTACTTTGTATGCTTAAGTTTGGAGAAAAAAATATAAAAAGGAGCATGATATTACTCCAAGATGAAAACAGACCGGATATTTCATATATTACTACTCAAAATACAATGATGAACATGGGAAAGAGATAGATCAAAAGAAAGACAAAAGCAGAAGAAAGCAAGAGAGAGAGAGAGAGAGAGAGAGAGAGAAAGAGAGGGAGAGAAGAGCTAGAGAGGGGAAAAAAAGAAAGATAAAGAGGCAGAGATAGAAAGAAGAAAGAAATGAAGAGAAAGAGTGAAAAAAAGAGAAAGAGAAAAAAACAACATTGAACCGTTGTCAGAGAACATGAGAAAGAGAGAGAGAGAGAGAGAGAGAGAGAGAGAGAGAGTAATGAGCCACTTACATGTCTCTTCTTTCTGTCTTCCAAGATTTCTTTTCGAGACATCTCATGTTGAACGATCTCATCCAACACCTCATCATTGGCCTCCAATCCTTGGGCCTCACGTTCCTCCTTCAACTGCTTCTTTCTCTCAAGACGCTGCTTCAACTTCTCCTCCTGCTCTGTCTTGGTTGCCCCTAGCAACCGAGCCAGTTCTGAAAAATCAATTCCAAATTTTATGTATGATGGGAAGATGTTAACAAGTTTTTAAGTCACGAAAGAATTCAACATTTTTTTGCAAACTTTCTTTGTTATATTAATGAACCTTCATAGATTGATTACCAATACATTACAATGTCAATAAATGTGGATGAAGTTAACAGTGCTACTTAGCATTTAGATATAAAAGCAATCATGAAAGGAATTGAAATGTTTGTCATAATATCTTGGAACACCCTTCCTGAAAGTTTATCATTAACATACAGAAAGAGAAATAATATTGCTAATTTCTAATAGGAATAATAATAATTTTTCACACCGCAGTATGAATAACCTGAAAATTATAACTTGAGGAGAACGCTAAGTAAAATAACCTACCATTGTCGCTTTACACTTAATCCCAATCGCCTTTTGGACTAATTTTTATTACAAAAAATTAATTGAAATTTAGAACTGCAGTTTTGTGAATGTTTGATTGACTGTTGATTGACTGTTTGATTGTTTGAGTGAGGGTTTGAATGATGTTATTGTCATTATCATCATCATCATCATCATCATCATCATCATCATCATCATCATCATCATCATCATCATCATCATCATCATCATCATCATCATCATCATCATCAAAGTCCCCTACCTGCTTGATCCTTGATGCCCTGACTGAGTAGGGAGTTGGCCTCATCAAACTTATTCTCCTGTCTCATCTTACGTTCCTGGAGCTTGAGTTTCATAAGACGAGCCTGACGCTCACGTTCAGTGAGCTTGGCCCACTCTGCTTCGCCTGTCTGCTTGATCAAAGCCTACAGATACAAGATTAATAGAAATAAAAACAATAAACATTGTAAGTTTGAAAGTAATCTATCAACGGAAGGCTCTCAGAATTAGTAGGACTGGACAAAGTCACTGCCTGCAAAGAACTAGCAATAGGGACTTTTAGATTCGCACGAAGACAATGGGGATGGCTACGGTTGACATCCTTTTAATGCACTGCCTTGAATGGACGTCACACGTATCAGTCCACGCAAATCTAAAAGTCCCTAATAATGAGTCTCCAATATGGACTTGAGGTTGCTGTCCACCCCCCCCCCCCACCCAAAATAACAAAAAGACATAAACAATTCCCTAGTCCTACCAACAACAGAATTGCAGTGGTCTCACCTCTGCCAGTAGTTTATCTCTCATCACATCATATTTGCTCTCCAAAGCTTTCAAGAGTTGTTCCTCAGTCACCATCTCTGTATCAGACTTGGTCACCAGGACGGTGGCAGCCACATTGTCATTCCATCCGTTGGCTCGGGCGATGAACTGCACCTGCTTCAACTGCTTTAAGGTCATTGCACTCTGAGGGAAGAGGTCAAGAAAGGTCAGAGGTTAAGAGAATATTGGAGAAAAACATTAAGTTTGTTTCACAGCGACTTTCAAGAGATAAAATTCCAGTGTACATACAACTCATATTCTTAATCATATGTTCTATGCATCATTCATGGCACATTCAAATACATAACATCACATTTGCTTGTTGGATATAAACCTGAAGAAATATCAATGCACTTTTTTGTGACATCCTATATCAGTAGATGTATATATCTTCAAAAATATACTGTAAAATCTGGGGTTAAATGAGTAACAACTTAATGTTTGAAGCACCTTCAGTTTCCCTCTTCCTTTATCTTCACATGATCTGTACACTGTATGTAGACACCTCACATTGATCAGGATCAAGGATTCTACTATAACGATGGAGATGAATAAATGACAGGTGCAGTATAGGCCCAGGATATATGGCTTCATTGATCTATGCATGCACTCTTCAATTACAAGTTCTACTAATCCAAGTCTCCCTTTAAATCCTGATTTTGCTAATCTTCTGTGGCTCTTAGGAGGCCATTTCTTACCTTGCTCTCAAGATCATCCATGAGATAGCCAGCCTCTTTGTCCTGTTTCTCTTGAAGGTCAGCGATGAGACTGACCTCTACGTCCCCGTCAGTGGCCTCTCCACCCTGGATAGCTTTCATCCCAATGAGACGACTTTCAAGCAAGACAGCTACTCCTTTCTGCGTGTTAGAATCCAAAATCAAAATAAATTCAAATGTTATAAATGAAGATCTGGGCCCCGTCTTATGCACAATGGCATCTATATACATATCAAATAGGAGACTGTAAACTTGAGATTGATTCAGATCAATTGCAACTCTTTATAAGATGGGGCCATGGTCTAAGTAAAAAAAAAAGAAATAATAAAAAATGAAAGAAGACAAAAAGAAGATGAAAGACAGAAGAAAAGAAAGAAAAGGAGTTTGCTTATTAGTGAGTTAAGGCTTCTGGAAATGTATCAATCAGATCTGATTATTTTCCAGGTACTGAACAATAATGTCACTATGTGAAAGACACAAAAAGGTTTGAACCTGTTTAACGTTTAGCACAACCAGAGAGATCAATACCTGCTCAACTCACATCTCTATATGAAATCTGAAGACTTCTTTTTTATAATCAGGGTTCTTTTTTTTCTCTTTTATGTCGCTTTTTATTTAGTAATATTGTATACTTTCATTACATGGTGTAATACATCAGATTTAACCCTAAAAGATTTCAAAATCATATTTCAGCTTCTCAAAAACTTGTTATCAGTACCTTCTATAATTTACCAAATCATTAATTGGGAGAAAAGAAATGGAACAGAACAGAAAAGAGAAGGAAAGTGAGAGAATAGCGTTATGAGAGAGAGCAAGCAGGCATGAGAAAGAAGTCAACTGGGGGAGAAAGAGAAAACGGAAGGCGAGATAGATAGAGAAAGAGATGACTGACCCGGAGAATATCTGTCTGTTCGTCCTCAGTCTCCTTGGTGGGTCCACTTTCCCTCCACTGTCGACGCTGCTCCTTCAGTTCACCAAGTTTCTGTTGACGTTTGTCCTCAGACATAAGCCCTGCTGTTTTCCTGAGATCTCCCTGGCTCTCATCTTGCACCAGCTGCAAAGGAACATAAGATGAAAGCATGAGAGCTTACATTTTCTCAATCATCAATTTTTTTAAAAAGTTTAAAATGTTTAAATGATTGCTGATTAATATTACAACAAATTTCAAATTCAGATTTAGAGCCCTTGAACTGTTATGCTTCATTAAAACTGAACTAAAATGTCCATGGACTAAATGGGATTCATTAGACACCTGCACGGTGTAGGCCTTTTTGCACATTCATTTTCAAAGAGTTAAAATATCTGGTTCCTTTCAACTTAGTTGGATATTTCTTTGTTCTACTTAAGATTCTGGACAAAATAATATCATCATCACATGCTTAATCACCAACGTCACCTCTTCATCATCACCACTATATCCATCTAAATCACCATAATAAACATCATTATAAACATCATTAGCACCATCATAATCTTGCTCCTCCTCCTCCTCCTCCTTTTATCATCATCACCACCATCTATCATCATCACAAACCACGATCTATCATCCTCCTCCTCACCACCACCTCTCACCTGCATGAGGAAATCTCTCTCAGTAGCATGTTTCATCTTCATTTCCTGGATCACAGCCTCCTGCAAAGCCTGCTTGTCACAAATGATCACTGTCATCATCATCATCATCATCATCATCATCATCATCATCATCATCATCATCATCATCATCATCATCATCATTATCATCATCATCATCATCATCACCATCCTCCTAACCGTTATTACCATCATCATCCTCCTAACCGTTATCACCATCATAATCATCACCATCATCATGATCACCACCACCAGCACCACCACTACAAATACCACCAATCAAACCCCCATCACATCTCACCTGCATGAGGAAATCTCTCTCAGTTGAGTGTTTCATCTCCATCTCTTGGATAACAGCCTCCTGCAAACCCTGCTTGTCATTCTCATTCTCTGGCAGCATCACAGGGGTCACAGTCTCCTTGGTCTCTGTGGCAGCTGCCTTCAGGCGACGTCTCTGAGCCAGACGCTCCTTGGCCAGCTGCTCTTGTCGCTTACGGTCTTTCTCCTTCCTATAAAGGCCATATGACAAGATTATCATGCTGTTATCATACAGGAAACAGAGGACATAACTGCAATTTCTGACAAAAAGACCATTCCAAATAGCAGCAATGAAAATATTGAGATTTGTTTGACTCTGACTAAATAGTGCATTTGTGAATAACCAGTATAAAATAATGATGATAAGGTACATAACTGGTGACTTGTGAAACAAAGTTGAAAATAAGGCTTATGCCACCATCTCGGGTTGACTGGTAGTTTCATTCCTATGTAACTTACGCATCATCTGCTTTCTGTGCTAGCCCCATGACAAGAGCAGCAGCTTCAAACTTATCCTCCTGCCTTGCTTTTCTCTGTTCTCTTCTCAGCCTGGCTAGCTCTGCTTGTCTCTCCTTCTCACTCTGAAGTCTGTCGCCCTGACCTCGCAGAGCGGCCAACAGGGCTGCTTTCTCCTGCAATGCAAATTAATAAAAAGCACCACTGTCATCTATGTCATCTTCATATCATCTTCATCATTGAAATCATCATTGAAATCACCATTCTTTTGATCATCAACATCATAATCATCATCACCATGACTGTCTACATTTACATCATCTTCAGTATCCTCCTGCCTGTCAGCCTGTCACCATGTCCTTTTGATACTTTACAAACAAAAGGTATACAGCCTTTCTATCAAATTATCAAAATAATACTGGCATTTAGTCATCTAGTCATCAAAACAAGACTGACACTCCATTTGTTGGTACTTTGTACTTTAAAGGCAGTGGCTTTGAAAGTTGAAAACTAATTTAGGCTTTAAAAATTTCCTTATTAAAGTCAACTTACATCTTCTAATCTGTTGTCAAGGTCCAGAAGGATATTTCTTCGTTGTTTCTTCAGTTCTTCCTCCTCCTGTTTGATCTCCTCTTCCTCCAGATGATCTATATCTTCCTCACTCATTCCTAAACGATTGAAAAACAAGGACAGTGGTGTGATCAGATCTTAGGTCTAAATTTCATTGTACAACAAGAATTCCATATTGATTGCCGAGAGCCAAAATAGTGTTAACTCTATGATGTATGTTGCACTTTGATGCTTTGATAGTAACAGTGAATATGACTTAATGTATATAATCCTTTTGAGTTACAAAATTATTTGCATTGTACTTGGATGTGTTGTGGGATTGGCATAACTTTACTCTTTTGACTTAAACAAATTTTTAAAATGACGTTGATATATTATATATTCAAACAGTTTTTTAATATTTTTAAATCTTATATTTTAACTTTTTAAATCATATTTCAACTTGAGGTGCACTTGGCAGAGGCTCGCTTTTCTTTTTTCCGGTTTTGATGAAAACATACCTCAAGACTGTACGATTCTCCTCTCTTTCTATTTTTCTTGTTCTACTCTGTCCTTCTCTACCCCTCTCCTCTAATCTTTTGTATATTCTCTGATCAACTTGTTTTCTTTATTCTTCTTCCTTCTATTCCTCTTTCTATTAACATCACTCTTGGACTCTTCTCATGTAATCAAAATCAGTAACTGTGCTTCTGATTAACATATTTCACACAATCTCTAATTCCCTTTGCAAAACTTAGCCATGGCTTCAGCCTTCAGCTTGAAAGCTATCAACAAAAGGCAGCTATTCAACATCCATGGATTGAGAGGGGCAGTCTCATATAACATCCATGGGTTGAGGGGGGCAGTCTCATATAACATGCCATTATCTTGCAAATTAAGGATGGATCTAACAACCACCTAACAGTGACGCAAGGGCATCTTTTTGGCTCAAAGCAAGTTAATGCGATAGTGTCTTTAAGATTGACAAACACCAACTAGCATCATATGAATATATGTAATACCTTGAGCAAGTCTTTGCTTGCGTTTCTCAAGCCTCAACCTTAGCTTCTCTTCCTGTGCCTTCTTAGATTCTCCCATGAGAGCCTCGAGGGCGTTCTGTGATTTGAGAGCATCTCCCAGGAGGGCAGCTGCTTCATCCATCTTGCCCTCCTGTCTCAGTCGCCGCTCCTCTAGCTTGAGCTTCATCAGACGTAGCTGACGTTCTTTCTCTGATAGACGAGCCCATTCACCTTCACCCATCTTGGTTATAGGAAACAACATTAATGATAGAGTAAGATCATTGATCTTCATCTATATATCTCTTACTTAATGTAATCTGCCTATCAATTTATCTATCCATCTATCAACCTATCTATTGATCTATGATCTACCTATCTATTCATCTATCAATTGAGTGATCTGTCTCTCTACATTACTATCTACTTTTCTGTCCATAGCAATAAATCACTCATGAATATTCTGCTGTAATAATGTAATGCTGTTTGACATATTACAGTTTGCACCATCACCATATTTATTACAATGTTTTGCAAAGGTTTCGAAAAATGTTTACATGTATTTAAGAACAAACATTGTGGATGGGGCTATTTTAAAAACTAACAAATTTAAATTTCAGTGAGAGAGAAAAAAATTTAATGTCTAGCTTATTAACAAAGGTACTGACGATCTTCCTTATACATCTGGCATTTTTGAAGAATATTATCCTTTATATTTTTTTTTATCAGAACATCAAATAAACTCTAAGCAATAACATCATTTCTTGAAAAGCCAGAAATTGAGTAAGGAGATTTCATAATCCCATCGATGATAAGTGTCATATGTGTGATGCATACCTGTTTCATGAGTGCATCAGCAAGTAGCTTATCCTTGAGAGCATCATATTTAGCTTCTAGAGCTTCCACCAGCTGACTTTCATCAGCCTGAGTACCAAGGTCTGTACTGGTGATCACCACGGCAACGTTCTCGTGTTTCTCCAGTCTGATGGCCTCCAGGGACTCCTTCTGAAGCTTCTTCAGCGCTCCAAGCTCCTGCAGGAGAAAACAAGAGATCATCAATAAGCAAACTATTATTTCATTTTATTTATTGCTTTTAAGCTATTGAACGTGTTGAGTAATTACACTGAGTTAGACAGTACCACCTGTGTGCTTAGAAACGCCTGTATTAAGCGCCCTATAAATGTAATTATTATTAATTATTATTACTAGAGCAGTCTATGGTTTACAACTGCCCGAGGGTAAGATATCAATCTGCTTTTTGCTTCAATCAATTAATAAATGTCATTTGGTTTATCAATATCTTAAACAATATGCTTGCTTTCCCAGCATCCTAATTAATAAGCACTATTATCACTCATCAGTTTCAATCAGTTTCACTCAGCCAGTGAAACAGCCAGTGAAACAGAAAAAGAAATCCAAATTTGAAATTATAGTTTTCCTTTTACTAAATTTGAGTCATACAGAATCCCTGAGTGATAAACATCAAAAATTCACCCACTTTTCTTAAGTTATGTGATATACAAAAAGCAAATTATTAATTTTTGGGAAGAAATAAGAAAAAGCAGTTGCCCATTATATATTCAAAATGTCAAATCTTTCTCTTCTCAATTTTCACAACTGAAAATGAGTACCCTGGTGAGATTACTGGTAACATACGATACATTGCACAAAACGATCCCATTAATTTAAGTACTTTCCTGACATTTTGCTGAAAGTTCTCACCTTATCAGGAAGGGTCTGCATGATTGCCTCGCTCTCTTTGTCTTGATGAAGCTGTAGATCAGCCATAATGGACACAATGACCTCATCTGCAGTGACCTCTGAACTTGTGGACTGTAGCAGCTTACGACGAGACACTAGCTTCAGGATGGCTGCTTCCAAGAGGAGCTTAAAATGCTCCTCTTTGTCATCTAAAAGAAATATTAGAATAAAAGAATAATCAAGGGGAACAAATTCATACGTAAATTATCATATTATTTGTAATTGCATAATATTTGTTAAAATTGTTGTATCCTTCAGATTTGTACTCACACCTAAAATGGGTAGGTCCAAGGAGAACTTGTATAACTCTGTTTGTGGGATAAATTCAGTATTAAATATCACATAATGCCCTCTAGACAAAACCCATTCATGCTTAAATGTGTCTCCGTAAAAGCAAGCAGTAACAATACTATGAAATACCCTCCTGACTATTATAAATCATCAATGGTTGTCAATACGTGTATTCTCTGGCATAGTCTGCAAAAGGTTGCACATGTATTTTGTGGTTGTTCATTAGAAAAGTGGTTCCTCTATTTGGGTCTAAAAATCACCAGTTTGTGGTTTTCAACTTTGCTTTGTGTGCAGAACCTGAGATCAAAGCCTTTTATCTAAAGTTGACTCTCTCGACCTTGGTGTAGAAATTGGATCCTTGGTAAGAATAATCTGCTGTGTAAGCTACAGGTGTATGATGCAGCTTAGTTTAATCAAGGGTAGAAGTAAAATATTTTCTACAAGGCAATACATTCTTACTATCATTATTCTTATTATTTATTCAGAGCACTCACTCAAGTCGAGTTGCTTTCTCTGTTTCCAGATCTCTTGTTGTTTGTCAGCTCTAGACTCATTCATGAGATTCTCTGCAATAAATCTCTCCTCTTCACTGAACTCATGCTGGAGGAGACGAAGCAGAGCTGCTCTCTCTTTCTCATGCTTGATCTCAAACATCTTCAGTACAGCATCCTAATCGCAGAATACAGGATGATTGTTTAAAGGTAAAATATATTCATGAATAAATGGTATAGAAGGATGCAACATATAACTACCAGAGAAAGATTAACAGATTACTTTGATCTTCATCTTCTATGAAACATAGGAGACTTAGGTCCTACAACATATCTCAGGGAATATTAACATGGAGGACAATTTCCTGTATATACCAAATTCCTAACTTCAACTCTGTACCAGACACTATACCTGAACCCAATCTTAACCCCAAACCTAATCCAAAACCCAATTGTGATCTTAAGCTTAATACTGTACCTTGGGCAAAATAATGACCGGAGTAATTAGCGGAGTGAATGTTGGGTAGTTCTTAATCACAAACATAAATGCTAATTAGATGCTTTATAATATTCATGTGCATTTTTTTCCATTCTGTCTCACTACATACTTCTCAAAAACATTTACCCCACATACAAAATAACTTCTCATACATCTTTACTTAATTTGACGGATACAAGAAATAAAAGTGGGGGAAGGTAGTCTATGCAACATGTTAAGGCACGTACACTATTTGGATCAGTAATCCAATCAGAATTTATGCTTCATGTAATATCCCTGTTACACTACTAAGACAGACATACGACCTACATGAGACTGAAAATTGTGTGAAAAAATGAGATAACTGTAAATGGCCCAAATGTTGTTGGTTAGTTAAGGGTCGGTCTGGTAGTGTGACTAGAGTATTATGAATTAGTTTACTTATCACTCAAGATGAACGATAAATCTTGTTCCCGTAACTAACCTGCATGGCAGCCTTGTCCCCATTGTCCACCACATCAAGCTCTTCCTCCTCTTCTTCCTGGATGGTTCCAAGTTTCTTCTTCTTCCTCGCAGCTTCCAAACGCTCCTTGGCTAACTGCTCCTGACGTCTACGATCCTGCTTTAGTCTGTACAGTGTTCAGAAAGCATTCATTATTATTCAATCCTACAAATACTTCAATCAATTGATAATCACCGGTTTATGTATTTGAAAATGGAATGAACTTTTCCCCTCTCTCTGTTTACCTTTACAACTGTTCTGGGCATCCCCCATCCTGGTTGGTCGAAACATTTCAGTATTTAAGAATAAAGATATTTCTTTTCAAAAGCTATATTACAGGTTTCATGCTACAGCCTTTAGCATTTTTAACAAAAGTGTCAAAGTAACTTTTCTTGTTCTGTCTGTCATGTCTGTCCTTGTTTTGCCTTATTTGTCTGATTTTTAAATGTTTTTTTTTTCTCTGCCTGGCTTCACTATGCTTTTTTATCTGTATGAATGTCTATATATATATTTCTTTGGTTATCCTTCCTTATAAATCACTAACCTCTCATCAGCAGCAGCCTGATGTCTCTCTGCCAGACCTAGCACCAACGCCGCAGCATGGAACCCATCTTCCATCCTTGCCTTACGCACCTCCCTCTTCAGCCGAGCAAGCTCCGCCTGACGCTCTCGCTCAGTGAGGTACTGGGCATCCACTCCCCGGAGTTGAGCAATGAGGGCGTCCCGCTCGGCATCCTGACGCTTCTGAATCTGAGTCAGAATATCAATGTCTCCTTCATCCTCCTCGTCTTCAGAGATGCCTTCATCGTCACCTTCTTGAATGGGGTCTAAACCTGAAGTGAATGAGACGGACAGAAAGAAACATTATTCCTTATTGGGGTCTACACATTTGAGAACAATTTAAAATAAGAAAGAATATCTGATATCCATTTATACCAGTCTTACCTTCTTGAATGGTAAACATACTTATAACAAAATATAAATTACATATTCATGATAAATATAAATATTTCCTACTGCCTTCACTTATAACCAATTCAATTGAATAAATATTGTTTACACTCATAAGTCTTAACATCAGGCATTCACAGTGTTTCCATTTGTTCTCACATAAAAACAACTGCTTGGCAGTCAATTTCCTACACTTAAAGGGAGTGGGTAGTCAGTTTCCATGTGCAGAAGGCCGTAATTCGCTGACACCAGACTTGGTGGAAATGCCATTAATGGGAGTACAAATCTGAACACAGAAAACCTGTTGGCAAGTCAAGAATTACCCCCTAGTCTCTCGGAGCATGCTCAGAGATTCTTCGGGCGAAGGAAAAGCAAAGCATTACATAATGGTCATAAAATCCAAGGCTATAACCCTGGTGATTGACAACACCTGTTATTGGGTAAACACCCGAACGGTATCAAATTCCCCATGAGAGCTGACTTCTACGTGACTTTAAGAACTGAATTCCCAACTTCAAACCAGGGCCCAATGTAATACCTATTACCCTAATTCAAAACCCAAACCCTACTCGTAACTTGATATGCATGACAAAATAAAGCCTGGAGTAAATGTTGCCAGAAGGAATGTTGGACAACTATACAGACATTAGAAATGTTGATAAAAACATAGAACGAACCTTGTGACAACCTTCTTTTTCTCAGTTCCATCTTGTGCCTTCTCTTCTCTTCATATTGGGTTCTCTCTGTACCCATCAACCTTTTGATACCTTCTGATGAGACTACGATTCCTAGCTGCTCGGAGATCTCGGATGTCTTCCCTGTTTTCAGAAACAAACAAAAAAGTACCTGTAGAAATGTTGTCTGCATTGAAAGATATATAGCGTAGGCATGTGTATTAAATGTATGTATTAAATCCACCAGGTGGGTTTATTGCCTTCCCAAACGACAGGAAAGGAAAATAATGTAGACGGCTTGGTTACTTCATGTATCCAACATCTTGAATGTGTTCTTGTAATCATGTGATATCTTTACAAAATGAATGTTAATGCCTTGTTAGAAGATTCTATCCCCATTTATTCATGCTTCATGTCCTCATTTTCGTTCATTTACAATCAGGAATTAAGAGAATGCAAGTTGAAAACAGAAGTAGAAAAACTTTACCATCGGCTCTCAGCCTTCGTTCTTGTTGTTTGAGCTCATAGAGCATCTTATGTCTCTCCTCTTCACTCATCTCGTCCCATATCTCTTCTCCAACCTTCTTTATAAGGGCAGCTTTCAGGATCTTTTCTCGCAGGGTGTCATACTTCTTGTCCAAGGCCTACACAAGCGAATAGAAAATAAACGATTCATGATATTGAGTGAATTTTCAAAGGGAAAGGTTATTAGCTGTCTAGGGGACATTGATTGACTACACATGAATGCTCAGAAAGCAACCACACATATACACTTGTTTGTATGCAACCAGGGGATCTACAGCTTCAAGTCCAATGTGAAAATGTGTCACCATGTTATGTTTCAACTGGTCCTCCTTTAAATTCTAAACATAGCATCATCATCATCGTCTCCAGCAAAATTAGAATTCCATTCAGTGAAATGGTAGACAAAGAACTCGTCATGTATTCACACTTTTAAAATATAAAATTCAATGTGACGAGGATCGTACCTCTGAAAGGCAGATTTCACAATCAGACTCGAAGAGTAGGTCCATTTAAAAGAAAAGAAAAACTCAGCTGCAAAATGAAATATGACATAGTTGCAGTGCACTTTACAATCATACCACACTCAGCTAAACAAGTACACTTAGGGGGCATTTTGGGCACTAAATTACTTTGTTTTCACTGCCTCTTGCTGTTCATATAAAAAAGTTTCATTTTACAACAGCACTGTTTTTCAAGATTATGATTCACAGTCTCATGTATAAACGAAGCATCCCCAGGGTGAAAGCAATCAAAGATGGACTTTACCTTTAAGAGACTGTCTTCATCTCCTACACCTTCATACTGTGTGAGTACAACCAAGGCATTGCTCCCCTGTTCGTTGTGACGAGACCAGATCTGATCCATTCGAAGACGAGAAAGCTGCTCCTCGTTCTATAAAAATGAAACCAAATTTCTTTCTTCAGTCATGTGGATATTAAAACAACAAAATCAGCATTAATTGCTAAAACTACGCAAAGTATTATTTAACCTCCTCCTTACATTCCTTCAGTAGCGTTGCATTGGGAAAGTATGAAATGTAGAAACCTTTTGCTTGTTTTATGAAAGTTTTCATTAGCTGGAATAAATAGCCATGTGATATTGAGATTAAATCTGGGCCTCATATGTGGGTACAGAAAAAGGAATTAAATACACAACCAAAACCACATAACAGATTTTGTGATATTAGAACTGATTAATCAGCATCAGTTTATAAGTCAATACTTCTTCCCTAAAATCATCCAATTATATTTGAATGAATTCCAACAGCTGATATATATATTGTACATTACATACAAAACTTACTAGGCAATGTTATATTATATTTTCTATGATTTGTATAAATGTACATTTTCCATCCACTTACAGAAAGAGCTGTGTTGAAGACTACAAGTGAACTGTAGTAACACTTTAAACTTTTAAAATGATAATTCCTTTAAAATTTATTTTACATAAATGTTATATATTGTATTAAACTGAACAGGCTACTCTGGATAAACATGTGAAATGAATAAATCAACAAATACCAACTGAGTTTCAAAGTGAATTTGAATCTATTAGGAAGAAAACTGACCATGGTGAAGATAGTTGCCATGATGACTTCACTCTCCTTTTCTTGCTCCTCCTGGAGATCAGCCAGGAGAGTGGTAGTCACCTCCTCCTGCTCCACCTCCTGGCTCTCTGCTTTGAGCTGCTCCTGCAGGGTCCGATGACGCAGGATACTCTTGATGGCTCCAGCCTCCTCCAGGATGTCACGGTTCTCCTCTTTCTCTTCTGCAAGGCAAAGGAGGAGATCATTACATTACATTATATTAGATTGAATTACATTTTGTTGATGGATGCAAGTGATGGCTCCTGCCTTCTCCAGGACGTCACGGTTCTCCTCTCTCTCTTCTGCAAGGCAAAGGATTAGATCATTACATTACATTATATTTATAGATTGAATTATATTTTGTTGATGGATGCAAGTGACGGCTCCAGCCTCCTCCAGGATGTCACAGTTCTCCTCTCTCTCTTCTGCAAGGCACAGGAGGAGATCATTACATTACATTATATTAGATCGAATTAGATTTCGTTGATGGATGCTTGTGACGGCTCCAGGTGCCTCTATAAAATATAAAATATTACAATCAAACCAGTCATATCCAAATATCTGTATGAAAGGGCAGTGAAATGCAAAAATAAACAAGTTGAATTCAATCATAGGACCTGCCCTATCCCAACCCATAAAGATTTTGAAGTACAAAGCAAATTCCTAATCTTCGTTCCTGCCCTCCCTTGTGAACAAGAGGCGTCCCAATTCAAATTATAGCCCTCTCCCTCCTGCTCAAAGTACATACCTTTCTTCTCCAAGTTAAGTCCCTCGGCCTGGGACCGTAGATATAAGAGACGCTTCTGGCGACCCTCTTTGCCCATCTTCCTGGCAGCATCTCGAACATCCTCACTGCCTTCATCCATCACTATGGTAACAAGGAGTTCCTGCTCTGCTCGATGCTTGTGATCCATCTCGCGAAGGACAGCATCTCTCCAAGCCTCCACATCACCTGATAAATGATGGCAAGAAAGGGCAAATACATTGACGTTATCTTCTTGTAGTATAGTAGGATAATACCATTACTTGGGTATTTAAATCTTCTAAGTATTGGAAATGTCACCAGCTACAGAGTTGCTAAATATGGAAGAGTTTTATATTTTGGTCAAACAAAAATTGGCGGTATTGTGAATGAAAAACAAATTCGGAGCAAACCTTTTGGAGGTAAGCTGGGATCATCAAAGTCATCATCCATAACCTGGCCTGATTTCCTCTTCCTTGCTGCAATTCTTTCTCTGGCTAGCTTCAGTTGACGTTCCCGTTCTGCCTTCAGTCTATAAGATACAAGTTAAGTAACAGGACATATGCTTTTAAGAGCTATCGATTTAAAATATGTCAATTCAATAATGTCACATTCGTATTAAAGTACTGTTTCAATCAAATACATAAAAAAGAGAAAAATTTCGGCTGAAAAATCAATTCCATTTTGAGTAGATGTGATGAATCATATGAAACCTTCCCCTTCAAAAAAATGAATGAATTATACATTATACACATCCAATGATTTTTTTTTCCCTGTACCATAAATGGTTGTATGGCTTGCGCAAATTTGTTGACAAAATAATTAATGGATCTCACTTTTCCTCCATGTTTGCTTTGTTCCTTTCAGCCAGCCCAAGCAAGATGGCTGCCTCATCAAAGTTGGATTCCTTGGCTGCTCTTCGTTTCTCTCTCCTTAGTCTCAGCAGCAGCTCCTGACGTTCCCTCTCACTCAGGTACTGGTTCTGTTGTTGTCGTAGCAACATCATGATGGCATTCAGTTCCTCATCATGTCTCTGCTGTAGGTCCTTGAGGATGTTGCCTCGCTTTGCATTTTCCTCTTCCACTTCTGTTAGGAAATATGAACATTTGCATCTATTACGCACAGAAGTCATCACTTGCATATCAGAAATATTTACAATAAAACCTCTGCACCTTAATGCTCACCAATCTATGTACAGTATGATGGTTTCAATTGTATGAATAAAGAGCACAACGTAATTAATGCAGTTAATCATACAGCTTTCATCTCAGAGTAAATCCAGAGGGTGGGGGAGGGGGGGGGGGGGTGACATAATGATCTCAAAATCCTTGCAACAACAAGTTCAAGTTCACTTTATTCAATATTTTCATCAAAAATATACAAAGGTAAACAAACATACACAAGTTAAAAAATAATATCAATTTATAACAGGAGAATAACACAAGCAGAGAAGACAAAAAGAACAAGGGGAACAAATTTAAACATTTTCATTAATGAAAGTATTAGGAGACAAGACAGGAAAGCTGGGCCTTATGTTAAAGTCTATGTAAACAACACATTGTGTTCACTACAAAGTGTAGACAGTGGTTAAAAGGAGAATTATTTTACCAAGATTAAAGATGAATCTGGATCTTTATTCTCAATAAAAATATCAACATATCAAATTCTCCTTCAGTTTACCAGATGAAATGAAAGAAGAAAACAAAAATGAGTATTATAGCTATGCATCATTGTAGAATCATTATTTAAGTATCATTACAGTGTCTCTGATGCTTGTATACTTCATCTAGCAACATAAAGATAGCCTCCTATAGCCATGAAATGCCGGGCAAAACCACCACTGTCACTGTCACTTTTCAACAACTGCAAGGGGTATTTGAAGCAATAACAATTAATGGCTGTACCTGCATCACTCTCTGTATCAGAGTCTAGTCCCATGGCCTTACGCTTCTCTCTCTCCATCAATCGCTGCTGGAGTTTCTTCTGGAATTCCTCACGATTCTTTCCCATCAACTGCTGAAGCGCTTCCTTGTCCTACAAAACATGATTTTAATTATTACTTGATGAATTTTTTTGGGGGGATTTTTACATTAAAATTTCAAGAAAATATAGTGAAGGTTTCCCCCTTGGTAATGGGAAGGGAATTATATAGCATCTTTTGGTTGCTGGTTTAATTTGGAATATAAAAAAGGGATTTGCAACAATGAACGCAGTTGGCATTGAATATCTTCTTTTGAATGACTGTGACAATTCATCCATGAGTTCATGTCTCTACTTCTTGAAATTACAGAATAGTAACTCTTTGTCTTTGCTACAAAAAAGGTTATATGTGAAAAAGAAACTTAATATAATGGACTGAACCATTTCATCTTTACAAACATGAAAATATCTCTTATGATGACTGTGACAATTCATTCATGAGCTAATTTAAAGAAGAAAGGTGTAGAATAGTTTGAATTTCTGACTTTTAAATCATAAACCCAATAGCTTGTCAGCCAATCAGTAAATGGCATCACTATCTACCCACCAACCAATCCCTCCCCCTATCCACAAAGACCAAAAGGATTGTTTTATCTTTGTCCAAGACAGCTTACCTTAATGCTATCTCCGAGAAGTTTGGCTGCCTGTTCAAACTTGCCCTCCTGCCTGAGACGTCTCTCCTCAAGCCTGAGCTTGATCAGAAGGCGCTGTCTCTCCCCTTCAGACATCTTCTTCCATTCTGCCTCTCCGTACTGCTTCATCAGGGCATCCATCAACAACTTGTCCCTGTTGAACAATGGTAGATGGAGATGATGGTGATGAAAAGAGTCAATTCACAGCTTAAAATTATCTTTGTAAGCGGCACCGTAATTGTAAAAGTGAAAAGAAGAAAGAATGGATTTGCCTCATAATAAATTAGAATCCCTGTCAACGTAGCTATTTTAGCGTTTTTAAAAAGCTGAATTGCTCACTGCTCCTGTGTATCTCGATCTTTCACTGGTTGAGACGAGAGCATCACAGGTTTTCAATTAACACCACTAAAAACCTTCCTTTCTAGGCAATGCTGGTAAAGATTTGTCTGTAATAATAATAAAAATAATAATATTAAATTTTTATATGGCGCTTAATACAAATGTCTCTAAGCACTTTACAAATATACTATTACCCTGGTCATTGGATTCATTGCTTGCCCGCACACACTGTGTGCACAATCTTTACTCCCTGGAGAGCATTCCAGCCAGGCGTTACTTGACGCTCAAAAACTATTTGACCAACAATGACATCCGCATCCTACCGGGTACCCATTTGACACCTGGGTGGAGAGTAGCAAGTGCAGGTTCATTTTTTGCCAAAGGATATTAATGCAGTGTTCCTTCTTCAGGCATGACAGTTTTCATGTTTACAACTCTGCAACAAAACAAATCGAAATGGACCAAAAAATCGAAAGAATGTTTGGTGAATTACCTGAGGACATCATATTTTGCTTCCAGAGCTGCTACAATCTCCAGCTCTTCAAATGAGAGCTCAAAGGTGCCAAGGATGACAGCTGAGATGCCATCCAGGAACTCTTCATTCAATGCACTGTACTCACGACGCCAGATAGCTAGCAGATCCTTGCAGTTCTATAGGAGTGTATACATGTACTAAGTTATAGATGATGAACTCTGGGATAAATCATCAAAGGGAAATGTCAATGGGTCATGCAGATTTCAGTGTAAACATGAACATTTTTAAGATTTGAAAGAGTTGCATCTTTCGGATGGTGATGTTAAAGGTAGGTCTCCATATAATCTTATTTGATTGATACATGTGTGTAAAGACTAAATCACACATACACACATTATTAGTGGGGAGTATACTAGTTGAAAGTAGGGGCAGGAGGGGTGTCACTAAAGTTTGATATAATAATAATAATAGTGAACATCTATAATGCACCATGTCTGTCAAAAATGACACTCCTGGCGAAGTTGTGTGGAAATTGTATAATTGAGGCATAACACCTCCAATAACCTCCAATTATAAATCACAGCTGGCAAATTTTAAATTGTTCAAGCCTTGTCTGCAAATTGCATAATTGTAGGTCTTTCCTTTTTGTATACTGAAAACACTGTTGAAGCTTGGCAAAAACTGGCAAAAATGAAATCTTACAACCAGCCTTGGCTTTCATATTAACAAAATATGTCCATCAACAGTTTAAATGGTGTAGCAATAACCCTGGTTGTAATGGAGTGCTTAACATGTGCGGTATCTCTAGCTGGATTCTCTCCAGTTATCTGGAATGATGAAGGATGAAGATCTGTCATGAGATTGGCAGAGAACTCTCCCCCCCCCCCACCCTGCACCTCTTCTCAGCCCCAAGACAATTTGGCTATGTCACTGGTTTTGCTATAGAATTCTCACCTTGTGTTGCATCTCTAGCAGGATTCTCTCCAGCTCTCTGGAATGATGCTGCTGAAGATCAGCCATTACATTGGCAGAGACCCCTCCCCCCTCTCATTAAAATGATCTAACATTACCCCTGGTTGTAATAGAGTTCCTACCTTGTGTTGCATCTCTAGCAGGATTCTCTCCAGCTCTCTGGAATAATGCTGCTGAAGATCAGCCATGACATTGACAGAGACCCCTCCCCCTCTCATTAAAATGATCTAACATTATCCCTGGTTGTAATAGAGTTCCTACCTTGTGTTGCATCTCTAGCAGGATTCTCTCCAGCTCTCTGGAGTGATGCTGCTGAAGATCAGCCATTACATTGGCAGAGACCCCCCCTCATTAAAATGATCTAACATTATCCCTGGTTGTAATAGAGTTCCTACCTTGTGTTGCATCTCTAGCAGGATTCTCTCCAGCTCTCTGGAATGATGCTGCTGAAGATCAGCCATGACATTGACAGAGACCCCTCCCCCCTCTCATTAAAATGATCTAACATTATCCCTGGTTGTAATAGAGTTCCTACCTTGTGTTGCATCTCTAGCAGGATTCTCTCCAGCTCTCTGGAATGATGCTGCTGAAGATCAGCCATCACATTGGCAGAGACCTGGGTCAGGGTCAGGTTGTGACCCCCACGGATGTCAAGCTGTCTGTGGTAAGAACAATCAGAATGATTTACTGTCAGCTAGAGCACCTGTCTATTTCAGAACATGCAGGTAGAGTAGGGGGTGGAGGGGAGTACAAGTTTAAAGGATATTTTGATATTTCATTACTTTTTCTTCTCTTTGATGCTTAAAAATACATCAGCTCATAAGTGGAGTTCCTCGCAATATGAATAAGACTTAGTTGCATATGATTGGCTTAGAGACAACGTTCAGGGTGACTTAAGTGGAAAATGAACATTACAAATTCAAATTACATTTTCAATGCCACGTACACATAACTACAAATAAATTATTTAAATAAAATTATGTTGAAAGTCTGAAATACGCACAAAATAATATATTGATATTGATAGCTTTCATTGTCACTTTAATCAACTTAAATTTAATTCAACTTAAATCACGGTCATCATCATCACCCCCATCACCCCCACCATCATCATGGCCATCAATATCATCATTACAGGGGCGATAGTGAGCAATAAAAAACAAATGACATCCATCAACATTCCCCCCTTTTGAGTAAGAAAATTGAGAAAAATCGGGAACAATTGGGGTAAAATCAGGAAGAAGAAGAAGAAGAAAAAAATAATAATCAGGAAACCCGATTTAAATCAGGTAGTTATCAGGCCTGCATCATCATTGCCTATCATCATCTCTTAGAAAAAAAGTACACATTTCAACATTACATACTTGTTGGCATGGTACAACCATGTCCCCTCCAGCAGCATCTTCACATGGGCATTCTGTTTGGTCCTAATGTACTCAATAGGGCTTTGTCTCCAGTTTGAGCAGAGTGTCCTCAGCTCGTTGATGCGCATTTCCTTGGCCTCTCTGCTAGGTCTCCTGTTAGCTGCTGCTCTCCATGCAGTGCTCTCTTTGCCCTGTAGCATGTAACTCATCATCTATCAATCAAACAACAATCAAAGCATAGGCAAATGTTATCTTTTGATATCTTTACAACTGATTTAAGGCTTTTTCAGATATCACACAGTAAATGAATAGCAGCAGCGTGCAGCAAAGGTTTTGCATATTTCCTGGACTATGTGATGTAAGATACAGGATTTGAAGCATATTACACTTTACATCATTATTTAAAAAAAAAATGAAAAAATGATGTGGTTTTTATATCTGAGTGGGGCTCTATGATTATATATTTTTCCCGCACCATAATGCTGAACAAAAGGTTTTCTGACAATATAGTGAAGAAGTGCTGTCCAGTATTTCTTTATTTTGGGGGGTCTAAAAAAGTAAAATATGAAAATAAAGAGTAAACAACATCATAATGATTATTGAAACACAAACCAAATCAAGAAATTTTTACCTATTCTTGAATTTCATTGAAAACAGAATATTTCTTATAAATTGCTTTAAGATTCTTGATTTCTGCCACCCCCAAAAATACAAGCCACAAAACTTAATGAATATATGGAAGAATTTTTGTTTGAAATCAACAAAACAAGCATGTCTCCTGATCTTGTTGCCACAATAACGACATATGAACTCACACTCCTCTCATGGATTTGTTTGCGGAGTACTGCCCTCATGATCTCAACCTGCAGGTCCACAATGCCACGGTTCCTGCCTTCCATGGGGAAATGCTCCCCTGAGGGCTTCTCTGGGCGCTTGGACGCACCATCCAGATGAAGTCTGTGCAGACCAAGCAGCTCATGCAAGTCACGGTCATAGTCATAACTGTGGTTTGGCAAGATATAGATGCAGAAAGGAAAATAAAGACCAATAATAATCATTTAAGTGGATTCTTACCAATATAGTTTTCAACCATTGGCCTGATTTTTGAAGTTCAGTCCCACTTAAGATAAATTTATTAATTGTTCAAATACAAAAAATATAATTATACATGTTTTTACCCTTCCTTCTAATACAAATACTAAAATGTGTATGAAGTAGACTGCAAAAAGTTGATGGCATAAGAATGCGATAATGGAAACGATCGACTGACAGGAATGACATCTGACAGTTAATTTTGATAATACCAAGGGTGCATTCAATATAGCTCATACAGCCACTGTAATGTCCCAAAGCTTGTTGATATTGAACTTGCAATAAATTTAGTTAATATAAACAGATTGAGATGATTACCAGGATGATTTGAGGTCCTGAGTCCTCTCAGAGATGCCCATGGCCATGGCCGAGTACTCCAGCTGAGCCGGCTCTAAGGCAGCGATGAGTTGCTGGGTCACATAGAAGACATACTCCGTCACCATCTCGGCTGCAAACAATGGACGACCTTGACTGCCCTTCAGCAAGGAGAGGACAAAGTCTCTCTCAGTCACATGGCGCTTGTGAAGGTCGATCAAAAGTTGGCCTGCTGTGGCTCTCCCTGTAAACATCATGCAGAAGAGACTCCACTCAATCCAATTTACAATGAAATTTATGGATTTTTGTAAGATAGGTTCTAAGTAAATTTTTGTATAGCTTCAAGTCAAAAAGCATAATTCTTAACTACATAACATTTACTGACAGGCAGAACTGATATTTGCACAATAGGAGAACATGGATGGTTGGGACTAATAACTTGGTGTCCTTATCATCATTTTATGTTGTTGCTAATTACTCAGTGATTACACATTCTCTACCAAATCCTTTGGCAGGAATCTTTCACTCGTGGTCTGGAATCCACAGTCTAAGTTGTATTTAATTCTGTGAACATTTATTTTCTGTCAATACAATAATTCATTTTCTAAACTAAAAAACATATGAGCTACAGAAAAGTTTTTAACTCTCATCTCTTATTAGTGATTTGACACCTAGCTGATATGTGGATATCTACTCCATGTCATTAGAGATTTAGGGCTTAGATAGCATTGCAATTTGGTTTTAGGATAGGTTTAGAGTAATGGCAAGTCCAGGGGTGTTTCACAAAGATCCTTAGGTGAACTTAACTCTAAGTTGGACTTAAAAAAAATGTGGAGAGCCATTTGTAGTCTTAAAATGAAATATATTCAAAAGCGAAAAATCAAGTATTTTAGATTTTTTATAAATTCCACATCAAGAACATGAAATATCCTTGATAATAGAAAATATGAATATTTGAATCAACATGTTATGCCTTTTAAAAGAACTTTTACAAAATATTTTCATAGATGGTAACAGCTTTCCATTTAAGTCCAACTTAGAGATAAGTTCAACTCTGGATCTTTGTGAAACACCCCCCCCCCCCGGATTGTGAGAGAGACATTGACCAGGGAGCAATGACAGAGCATACATGTGTCATAAAACCTTTCTCTCATCTAACCTTGCATCTTCTGCATGTGTTCCTCTACAAAGACCTGGTACATCTCATCAGATGTCTTGCCGTCAGCTTTCATCTTCTTCTCCCGATCTTGGAGTTCCTTGAGGTACTTGAGATGGGCTAATCGTTCATACCCCATCATGGAGATCAGAGTGCTGGGGTAGAGCTGGTAGGAGACAGACAGCTGAGTGATCTTCTCAAAGTCACCTTCAAATAAAAAGAAATTGATTTCATGCATTAACATTTTTTTTGTTACCATCATGAAACAATACTAGCTACTCTAGCTCTTCAGTTCAAGAAACTTTTCAGGTCCAAAATATCAACTACATGCATTTTTCACTACTATCATAGGAAGGAACTTAAGGATTGTTTAGGTTGTGGAGTTTTTTAACATGTATGCACAGTATAAATATGACTAATGTTGATGATATTAAAAAATGATTAGTTATAACCAAAGACACATTTTCAAAAGGTAGAGTGAACAACCCTTACAAAGCTAGTTGTGAGCAATTTGAATACCGGTATGCTAAATTTATCAATGAAATTTCAATATCTGAACCTCTACAAAAAAGACACAAGACCATGGCTCTTGCAAACAAAATACTACAAGATTAATATTATATTGTTGTATATTTGTAGTATACCTTTGACTCTATATTCAGCTTCTTTGGTCTTCACTCTCAAGACCTGTTCTTCATGCTCACTCTCTCTCATAGATGACCAGATGCTCTCACCTACAAGTTAAAACATTTCATAGAATGATTACACACAATTTTCTTTTTACGAAAGATATATACTTCAATAATTTCATTATACATAATAATTGCTTATCCAATTCTAATGATTTCATTTTATTAAAAAACCAGGAGTTATAAAAGAATAAATTGTATGTCCTCATGGGGAAGCATCTCAAAGAAATATTATTCATCTTGTAGAAGCACTTTAATGTTCTGTTAATCTATCTTTAACTTACCGACATGTTTCTGAGTGGCTTCCCATAGAAGTTTCTCTCTCAGAATGTCATATTTCTCTTCCATAGCTTCCATGAGATCCTGGACTGAGACTGTATTTCTCTGTGTACCATCTCCTTCAAAGGCATCGTATCCATCATCAAACAACAGTGACTCTACTCCAAGCTGGACCCACCTGTGAAATAATAGGTTATGGGTTAACAAATGATGAAGACAGACAGTGAATGTAATTGAACTATATTCAATATTCAAGAAAGCTCAACATTGTTGAAGGATCAATTTATCAAGAAAATTTTTCCATCTTCCACATCATGCAATAAGCAGGCCATTACTGTGCATTAGAACTTTCACTACAGAATTAAGATGAAATGACCACATATGTGGCAAGAAAACATACTCTTCTCCTATAGAGTATTAAACATCATTTTAAGTTGACCATCATACGTTCAAAATACTTTACTAACAGTCTCTGCTCACTTATCCACCTTTACTGAAAGACTAGGTTATGTGACACATGGTAATGTTCAGGAAATGTATAGTGTAATGGTACCTGTTCAATTTCCGCTTGGCTTCATTCCTGAACTTGTTACTGTATTGCTGCTTTTCCTGAGCTTCAATAGCCTTGATGAAATCATCCTAAGAAAATAAAAAGCAGATTGAGAATGCATATAAATGTAGATTATATGTACAGTAAGTTATATTTCCATGCATTATCTGGTCATAATCTGGCCGAGTAATATGTACTGCACCCAGAAAACAAATTACTGTACACATGACTGGTGAAATCAATGTTAATTAGTCTTGACATGACCACACATGAAATATACTCACAACTCAAATAACATACCCTTGTATCACTTTTATGACCATTCAACATTACATAAGCATTGTCTAAATTCATGACTTTAATGGATGCAGACCATGGGACGCCCTCCAAAGAGATGGAAGGACCAGGTTCAATGCAATGTGGGACTATCCACACAAGAGGCAGAGCAACGAGCCCAGGACAGATCAGACTGGAGCATGATTTCTCGTAGGGGAGCAAGGGGACACACCATCCTATGCACCTAAGTCAAGTCAGGTGTCTAAATTCTACACTACCTCTAGATTCATGACTTTCTTTCTCCTCTGCATATCCTGTCTCTTCTTCTCCTTATCCAGCTTCTCTCCCATCGCAATGACTTCATCGTATCCACAGCTTGTCCCATGAAGCGGCCAGTTGCAGAGCCACATGCGGATCTCATCATAGCTGATGTCCTCGTGATGGTGGGAGCGGGATTCAAGGAAGGTTTGCCATGTGATGGTAGTGAAGTGCTCCTGGTGAGTGGCTTTCATCAGAAACAGACCTTCCTTTACTGAAATTCTATCTGCATCCTGGAAGATAAATTTAGGTATAAAGTAAGTTGAGAAACTACATATTTTCTTTCACTAATGCATCCATGATATCAATAACTCCTTGTTAACAACAACTTTTTTCCTTCCTCCTGTTGTATTCAATCTGCATCATTTGAACTGTGTCTTCCGTTACTTTTTAACCTCTGACTGTACATGTAGAATGGTGCATGAACAAAGAACAGCTAGGCCTCATATACAAGCAATGGTATTTTGCTATACATAGCATGCGTTTCAATTCTTTTCCTAGCTGCTGATGTAGATAACACCTTGATAATGATTTATGGATTTAATGGTAAATAATATCAATGTATTCACGTCTATCATTTCTTGTGAGATAGTTTTCCAATTGCTGTTTGCAAAATAACAGTGTCTTATTAAGCCAAAAACTTGACAATACACAAACCTGTCAAGAGCTAAAACTACTTCATAAAATCAAATACACTGGCTAAGATCTATATGACTAAAACATAGTTACAGTAACAAAATCAAAATTAATTAGAATCCAATCAAATTGTTCTCACTTTACAAATGTTTTTCGCTGCTCAAATTACTTGCACAATGTCCCTGTTTAATTAATATGCACACTACATGTCAGAGGCTAACCTTTGTATCTAGAGCTTTGAAGTCCCACCATGATCCCTGCACAACCTGACGTCTACGCTCCAGTTCAACCACAACATCTACAAACTTACGCTTCCTACATCTCCCATCAGCTTCTTTGCCACATACATGCTTTATGGCCTCATGTACCTGAAAAAAAGGAAAGAGAAAAAGAATGGAGCATAAGCATGGATCCATGCTATATTTTTTTTCACAAAGGGTCATGACCAAATATTTAGGGTTGGTATGCATGGACCCTAGCTATCACAATTTAAGATTATGGGGGTCCAAAGTTAGAATTTGGGGGCTAATGTGTTTTGGGCACCAGTAAGTGGTGAGTAATGGCATAATAACATATGGGCAACGTTTCAAAAACTTTTGTAAGTACAAGTTTATGGACATTTCATTGAAACGTTTAAATCAAGTTAAAACTCGGAAATTAGAATCTAATACAGTTCAATGGGCTCTCAGTGAACTTGTACTTATGATGGTTTGATTAAATGATACCCTGTTATTACTCATAGTGATCAATGTTTTGAAATTCTCTCTTGAAGTATTATTTTGTATTAAATATTCATCTAAAACATTCTAAATTAGAAGATTTTGAAGAGAAATACCTTGGAGAGGCTTATTAAGATACCCAGAACAATTGAGACAACTTCTCTGGCCCTGAACAGGTATATCATAAATAATAATAATAATAATAATAATAATAATAATAAAAATGGTACTTATAAAGTGCTTTCCACCAAAATCTCTAAGCGCTACATATCATCAACTAATCACTTTTCCTCAAAATGTATCAAGGGTATACTTACTTGATCTCTTGCCACAGGCATAAAATAGAATGCCTGGTAAAAGTCGAGAATCTCATTGTATTCAATGTAGCCTTTCTGTCTCGCATCAAGAAGGTCAAATATGGTGTCAAATTCAGATTCCACTCCCATCTTGATGATAAAATGTTATTGAGAGATCAACAACTTCAAAGAGGTCTCTTTTTCACTGCTAGTTTATCCTTTGCATCTGAGGGAAACCCAAACAAAAAGAAATGAATATTATATTTCAAATTTATACCTGTAGACCTGTTCCTCTTTCACTCTTGTATTACATCAGACTGCATTCTGAATTTCAAATAACATTTTTTATCATGAATCAAATGTAAAAACTTACTAAAACTATCACGACATATATACTATAAAAACAGTTTGTTGAATAACAACTGATTGTTTTCTTTCTTTAATCAGAAGAAAATTGGTGATTTCGTATTTTTTCAGAAGACTCTATAATCAAATTCAAGCTTTACTACCCTAGATCATAACAATTTACATAACTTGTTGTCTTATGTCATAAGGCACAGAATTCTATTAGTTTTAGATCATCAATCAATACTCTTTTTGTTTTTACTCTAGTCAAACTTCTAAGTGTATAGACTAAACCAGTAGGGGCGCTGGTACAAGAATGAGGATTGTACGCATAAACGAGAATATATTCTTGTAAACTGGGACAAATTGCGCTCTGGGGATCTTGCGTTACAAAAGCGCCCGCTTGCGATGCGAGAAATGGATTCCCCTTGAGAAAATAACCAAGTTCACTGTCTATACTTTTATGGGTTGTCCGTCTTCCAAGAATTGATCGCTCATAATGTGAAAGTCTCTGTACAAAGTCAATGTCAAATGCATCAAGAAAATCTGTTTTTCGCATCGCCAACGCGCCGATCTAAAAAATTAAACTTCTGCGAACGACCCTTATTTTTGAGGACGCATCGGTCCACGTTTACGAAGACGATCCTCGTTTATGAAGACGATCCTTATTTTCAGGCCAGCGCCCCTACTGCTAATGATCTTGTGACTTCAATTCAATTCAATTTTATTTCGTCCAATAATGACATGGAAATTCATTATGGGATTTTACATGTTGCGTTTACATTAAAATCTTAAAAAGACATCAAGAGCATGATTGAAATTAGACAGAAATATACCATCTGATTTGGGTCATTTCTTTAATAAAACTGACATTTGTTGTCATTCCCCAATGGTCTAGTGGAGCCAGACGTAGTCTCAGTGGAACAACCGACGATTAGAGAGACTGCAGCTTTCGGTCTAGGTCTAGGCCTAGATTGAAATAGGAAATGATACAGTCTAAATTCACTAGACTAATACAGTTTGTAAAGTCGCATAATCTGCAATTTTTCCAACCTTACCTTGATTTCACGTCACACCTGCGCTGGCCTCGCTAAGCACGTAGCACTGCAGTTCCAGTGCAGTTCAAACTTCAGAGCAGAGGGCTGGAATTGGAGTTAGTCTATGCTGCACAGCTCCAGACGACGCATGTACCGTGACCGGGCCAGAGACGGGTCGCTGTCTAAGAGTGAGGGCCTCAGCCTTGCTCGATCGGCTAAAAACAGGACTGGAGCTCGAGCTCCTGTCAGACTCGATTCAATGAAATCTGTTGTAAATTTGCGTAGATCTTGACCTAGACTTTTGTTAATCTTAAAGTCATGATAGTTCGACAATTCTGATATCAATATCAATCAACTGCCCACAGGCCTCACTCATGACGGATATTTTTATTGATTGACACCATCACTCAATGGCGAGCGCTGGGGTATGACGTCATTGTCGCAAAGGCAACCGAATAGATTAAGCTGCCAATCAAATGATTAGTAAACATATGTTAACATAGTTTTAAGCCGTCATTTCTTTTCAAATTATTTAAAAATAATGTATTTAAAAAACAATATTATTTTAGTTTTAAAAAAAGAAAAGAAATTGAAATCTTTGATTTTTTAGAATATCTAAGTGACTACTTATGCAAGAAATCCTAATATGGCTGCGCCCATAGATTATGTCTACTTTGGTTACCCTATCATACAGTGTGGTCCCACTAACTTACATTTACAAAAACATATTTCCATGTTTAGAATGGATTTTCGGAAGCAGGTTTCATTCTACTTGGGGAAAACAGCTGGTAGACGATGGAAGGATATAATAAGTGATATCATCGCGGTAATTGGAGGGATAAAACCATGTTTTCTGTATGATTATTCAACATGCGATTCAAAATCACTGGACAAACTTGCTGCTGAACTGGAATCCATGTGCAACTCGAAGTGCCAACCAAAGAAAGTCGAGCATTCCACATCAGTTGAAATTGATAATGGTCGTGTTGATAAACAGGATAGTACGGTAAATTCGGGGATTAGAACAACTGGTGTATTGAATGTTAAGGACGACATATTTGTCATCAACAAGCAAATTATGAGAAGGAAACTTGCGCAGTTTGTTTCAAAACTGACTGATGAATATGCAAGGTCAGAACAAAATAACCTAAGTGAACGAGTTTGTACCTTCATAGATGTTAGTGGGAAACTACCAAATCCGACCTTGGCAGACAGAAAGATTACTGAGGAGATGATGATAATATCTAAGGACATTTTAAGACAAGTTGAAGCTGGATTTGCTGACCCTAGGCATAGCTCTGGAGATCTGATATTGACGCTTCAACTTGAAGACGATTGGAATGTCTCTACAATTTTTGGCCTTCTCCTTGGATATCCAGTATTGTACTGGTATCAAGTTGATATTCAGGACAACTGCCTAGCTCACACTCCTCTCCATGTGTTCAAATGTAAATGTGACTGTGTGGTAAAACCGTTTACATCCGATTCTGTGAATGTTGGCACATCTTGTACCATTTTTGAAAACGGCAATCATGTTATTTACTCTTTCAGTATTCCCAGCAGCTTACTGGACTATGCAAGCAAGCTTATTTCAGAATGGAAAGATTATATTTATCATGTCGTAGGTCTGTGTGAATACTTCACTTCTGTTTCTTTTGAATGTTCCACAGTAACTTTACCAGCAGTTGCATTGTGAATGACACGTTTTGAGTGCAAAAGTGTGGTCACATTTCGAGAATAACATATATTGAATCGATCAAATCATTTGTTCATTGTAAGTTCAGTAGGCCACTTGTAGACTGATTACTGACTTTACTTAGTACAGGTTTAATTGAAATGGCCTCTGAATCTTTCAATTACATGTACCGGTATATAATTTATACCAATGTCAAAGTTGTGGAGTTGGTAAAACAAATAATGGTTTGTTAAAGCTTATCTGCCCTAGTTTACAGGAGGGATTAGAGCGCCCAGCAAGGTCACTGGACAGGTGGTTATCTCATCAACTCAGCTCTCAGTTAACATAAGAAAAAGAGGATCATGGGGGACCAATGGTCACCGATTAGACATTGTTTGTTAGATAGAGGGCGCAAGTAGCTACAAGTAGTGCAGTGGGCCTTTAAAGCCATCACTAACATTTGAGAAAATATGAATACATAGTGTAGGTAGTCAAATATCATGCAGTTGTCATCTATGAATTGAAGCTATTGCAGGAAGCAATTACCTCTTATTCTCTACGATAGTTTTGTCAATCACTTTGATCTTCCACCACCATTTTCTTTTCAGACTGATTTGTAATTGTAGAAGTGATGAGGAAAAATAAAAACATTATCTCATTTCCAGCCTGATTTGTTGATTGTAGAAAATATGGCATGAATGTTTCATGTATTGTCATCATTTGTGTTATTGAATGAATTTATTATAATTTTTTTTTTTTTTTGGGGGGGGGGGGGGGGGGTTAATATCTAAAATTGTGCAAGTACAGTTGTACACATATATGCAGAATTGTTCTTTTGATGTGTTTTCCATGTATTCAATATAAATATTTTACAATGAACTCAAATACAAATACATGTAAGTAGTTTTTTTTTGTAGTTTAATTGTCAGTTGCAAAATGCAAGTTCCGATAACACATTAATTTTCATTCTTAGCTCAGGAAAAGTACAAGGACACTTTTTAAATATTACACATTAAATACCATGTAGTAATGTACAAGACAATAATTTCTCTTATCACTAAAAAGATTAAACTTATTGAAAAGATTAAGGCCAAGTATAAATGATTCCTAGTTTTTTTTTCTATCTCTTTCTATTTCCTTGGTTCTGCCTTCCTCCTTTGATTTATTTCTCATTTTGGGGTTTGAAAAAATGGAAATTAAAGTGTAACAGTCAATAAAATATAGTGATACAACTACATGTACAAGTAATGTACATGTAGTTCCAATGCAATTTTATGTCTTGGAAATGACAAAAACTAGGAACCGTGTTACTTGGCTTCGAAACATTCATTTTACACAATCGGTGAGAGAAATTATTATTATACGATTGTGTTGAAAAAGAAAATTTCTGAATAAAAACTTTTCTCTTTCACCTCCACAAATATGTAATTCTGCTGTCATTTTCACAATGTACATGTACATGTAAATGATTCTGAATGATTCAAGGTAATTCAAATATGAGCTAGTCTGGTTAAATTCCCTCTGGTATCTACAAATTGTGTACATTAAAGTTTTGATTTCTGTTATCCGATGTTAAATTTAACAATTTAATTTATTGTATGTGTATACTGTATAGTCTTAAAACTTGCACATCAATGCTTAAACAATATTATTTCCTTTGTAAAAAGTCTTCTCTTGAACCAAATTAAATGCTCCGGAATAAAGAAAGCAGAAACCCCACATTTAAATAAAATAACATTTAAATGCAATACATGTAAAACATACAAACCCAACAAGATGGATGCCCTGAGCTACATTTAAGAATAAAGCTCTATAGATTACATGTATTTTAGGAAACAAAATTCAAATGTATCCATAACATAATGCAACATGAAGTACATGTACCATATACCGGTAATTACATTTATTTACATCATCATCCGTTTGTGCAATTGAAATATAAAAAAGTGGTTAAACAAGTAAAATTCACATTTTTATAGCTTTATGCCATTAATTCCCATTCCTATATAATCTATTAATCTATCTTCTTGTTTTTCTTCATCTGATAATTGTAAAGATCAGTGGTAATACCACAAAAGGCTGAAGTCTTGTAGGAGTTGTGTTGTTAGATAATTCTGAACGTATTTGTCCATCAGAACAGACAAAGTGAACCTTACATGTATGAATAAAAGTAAGAATACAGTGAAAAGTGTACTTAAATTGAAAAGTATGTCAAAAATCTTGGGAATCAAAGTTGAAAATGCAAGTATAAATAATTCTAAAAAAGAAAGACAAAATCTAATACAATATCTTTTTACATCAAGCTTGTCTGACATGCAACTTGCTTGCAGTTATCTTGAAAAACATGTCAAAAACCAGCTCTCAATTCCATGAGTAAAATTTAGAGACAAAGTCTCAGAAGTTTGGGCTCAAGTAAAAGAATTATTACACAGTACATGTACCAAAATAAACCAAACCCTTATCTTTCAAGTAACAACATAAACTCTTACTCAACAAATGCTCACAAAAGTAAGGTCATTCCGTTGAAAGCATAAATAATGATACACTCACTCTTTGATTATGTCTCCTTTTATTCTGAACAAGATTTTGGAAGATAATCAAAACCTTCAAATATGTATCATAAAAGAAGTACTCGTAGCCAATAAATTACGATAAGAAATCATATTCCATTACAGCTCATTACAGGTTTCTCATGCAGGGCTCTACACTAACAGGGTTCTAATGCATGCACGTATGCCCCCCACCAAAAAAAAATCCTCTGGATCCCAAAGCTTTTTTTTTTTGGAAACAAAAAGTTGTCGTTAGGAGGCATATCCATACAGATTATAAAAACTTCAATCTTAACCCCCCTTCCCCCCAGAAAAATGTTAGTGTAGAGCCTGGCCTAATGAATAAGTTTGAATCCAAAACTTCACATCTGTATTAAAAAAAAAAACACATTCAAGATTTACCCTTCATGTGATTTTCACACACAAAAATAAGATTACATTGATCCTCCTGCAGATAAGAGAGATGCATGTACATTTAGAGATAAGAATTTATTTTCATGTTGTAAATTAAAACAGATTCGTATGTATTTTTTGGTGCTTGATTTTACAACAACGACTCACATTTACAGTTGTGAGATGAATGGAACATCAGTTATAGTTCCTCTCAAAAAGAGTCACTAAAAGAGTAAATCTTGAATGTGCGTGTGAAGAAATGCCAATATCCATCTTGAATATAATACAAACAGTTACTCAACATCTGTATGGTACTCAACAGGAATGAATAATTAATGTATAACAAATACACAATACAAATTTTTCAAATAAATAACCTAAACCCATTTACAGCCTAAGTTATAAATCTTCCTTTGGTTGCTTTTTCGCATACTTAGGTTTGAGTTCCTCGATACGCTTTACAAAGTCATTCTTTTCTATGCACGATTTGCAGTCTTCTCCCCAATCATTCAGAACCTTCTTCAGATCCTTCACTTTGAGTTTCTTCAGATCGACAGCATCCAAGTCAATTTGTTTCTCTGAAAAAGTGAAATGAAAAAGAATAAAATATGGGTTATTATATTACTTCCAGCAAACATGATTTACTATGCTTAAAATAGACCCTCAATTATGGAAAAGGAAGGATCGGGGGGGGGGGGGTGTATGACACATTCTCCTAGTTTGCAGGCTTAATTCCTTGTCAGACGTTGTACGTAACAATGTCTGCAATGAGAGACTATGCATGGGCTCTGTACTCTATTTGTCACAGCAAGGGACTGACAGAGCTAGACTACTCTAGGCTTAAAGATAAATTTGAGTTCTGGTCATGCGATTGCATTGTGAAAGAAACGGTGTGGAATTGATAAAAAAAAGTTGATCATGTAGCATATAAGTATTGGTGTGTACTGCAAGGTTCTGGAATCATCAAAATGACAAGAAATTTGGCTCAGTCTTGGTAAAAGAAACAAGCACTGTACACAGAAAGATGTAAATGGGACTACACAAACATGTGGCATAAAAATGAGGCCAACATTTTTAAGCTGTTACATGCAGGCCAATTCGTGAGAAAATATTTTGCAGTGAATCAGCTGGTAAATAAGCAGGGGTTATGAGCAATAGTTTATTTCTGATTTTTTAGCCAGGGGTGGGGGCCCATGCCCCCTGGATCCGCTGCTGGTAACATAATATGAAGGCATTTGAAGAGCCATGATTTTTAGGGAAGAATTTTTTGGGGAGGGGGACGCTATCTATCAGGAAATAAACTTGATAACGATCTAAGAAACAAGCACAACTCATGTTTGTCAGAATATTGGATATTAATGTGAATCTGATTTGTTCTTTGCAACATCTTTGCGGCGATCAGGAAACTGACATATGATACAGTACTTCCTCATACAAAAAAAGTAGAAAAAACTACTATGATAGAAATAAGCAATAAATACATGTAAAACATTTAGTGTTCAATATCCTTCTTAACCCCAAATTACAAACTGGTTAATACTGTCTTAATTCATCCTAATATTGCATTATTCATTATGGTATACATGTTGTAAGCATAATCAAAACTAATCAGACAATAGTGATTTGCTTGTGTGTGTTTAGAATTTTATTCTTATCCATCCCTTTCATGTTCTAACCAAACCAATATCAAATTGATCATTTATTTTACCCGGTAAGCTGAACCATTCATAGTGTGAGATAAATTTTCTCCTCTAAAGGGACAAAATTGGGCAGAGTTTTGAACTACATTGTAACCTCCGTTCTCACACTCTCTTTGTACTACAATGGTAAGAAACACTTGACATCTATAATATAGTACATGTACAATTACACTATTCACAGATGAGAATGGAGGTGAAAGCAAAGGAAGGGAGGGGGGGGGGGGTGCTGGCTCTCTTAGATAGAGATGGCAAGGTATTGAATTGTGTTTTTTTTTAAACACAACAAGACATGCAGTTCAAGGCTGATAGTGTATTTTGTACACAGTATTAAGAGATTTACAATATAATAATACCATCATCAAAAATACAAAAGCAATATATTAAAAAACAATTGTAACATCACACAGCAATATCATAAAAGATCAAGATTTCACATTTACTGAATGATCACACTTCAGCTCACATGTAGCTGTTTTTCTTGTTGAGTTTATCACATATAAGTTCTATGGTGGAAGAGCATGGGGTGGTGGGGGTAGGTAGAGACCCCCTATCTTGTGATTAAGATTTTATAATTGGCTTTTGGTCATCTTATTCATTTATAAAAAAGCCGAAACTCGCCATACTTCAGCCCACACATCTAACTGTCTTGTTAAGTTCATCACATATCATCTAAGGTGGGAGAGAATATTGGGTGGGGTAGGTGACTCCATTTCTTATGATCCAGACTTTATAATGAGTTTTTATTTATTAAAAGCCCAAACTCACCATACTTCAGCTCACAGATCTGACTATCTTTCTTGTTGAGTTTATCACATATTCTCTCTGGTGGTAGAGGTACTGATAGTGGCTTGACAAGGTCATTTAACATGCCTGTTGCAGCATCTTCAGTTCCTCCCATGTAGTAACACTGGCAGGAAAGAAAAAAGATTTAAATTAACATTCACAAATTTTCTTGCAATTGTCATGATGCACTAAAGATTATCCAGCAGGAAAATATATACTGGAAGAAGCAGATTCAGCTCTGGTAAGTTAACAAATATATATAAACAAGAAGTATGAAAAAAACTGGAAAAATTATTAAATGAAAGTAGCCTAATATTACTTTTTATTCAAAGAAAATTATTCAAAGGCCTATATCTCAGATTCGTAACATATAACATTGGCTGAGACAAAAGCGAACTGGGTTACACAGCTCAAAAGAGACAAAGGAAGAGATTAAAGAAAGGGAGAAGGGGGGGGGGGGGAGGCAGAGACAGGCATGAATAGAGCTACAAATCTGATGCATCTGAGCAAATGCTTTCAGATACCGGTAGAGTACATACATAAGATATCTTTTTCAAGTACTTACAAATCGGTTTTCTTTTCCTTTGGCATCCTTGCAGTACTTTCGAATCTTCTTCTCTATCTTGTCTTCACTTTTTCTGTCTTCATTTGTCATCAGGCTTTCAAGGTGTTTGACAACAGAAATACACACTGCGTATGAAAAGAAACATAAGACAAATGTGAAATGTTGAGCATTTTTAGATTTAGTTTCCTCTCATAATTATTACTACAGTGGATTAGGTCTATTACCTGATTTAAACAGTCTGTCCTCTGCATTACCTACAACTAGTACAAGCATACACAGTCTTGGTACTTGGTTGGGTGGTCTTCCAAAATACTTGTCTGAGTTTTAACTGGAGGTTTGAAGTTTGAAGTTTATTTATTCCACATTTTACATAAAAAAACAGTTTAATTTTTTTTTTATACATGCGTATAAGAATAGATTTCACACAAGCAAATTAAAAAATTAAAGATTTCAATCAAGTATAATGTACGGAAAATAAGTATGAAATTTCGAAATATCAGGCAAGGTAAAAACGATTGTAAAATGTGGGGAGCCTTAATAAAAAGCATAGCTTGTATGTGAATAGGCTACCGTACTGAGTAACACAATATAGGTCTAGGCCCAGTAGGTCTGAATTTAAAAGGTATTATAGGAGTGTTATAGAAGTATAGTATGAGATTCTAGAGACGTACATGGAGAGTGAATTTGAGAAGAAAAGAAAAATAGAATAAAGAGTAAAGAAAAAAATATGATAAAGATAATAGGAGAAGGTAAAGAAGAAGAAGAAGAAGAGGAAGAAGAAAAAGAAGTGAAAGAAGAGGAAGAAGAAAAAGAAGAAGAAGGAAAGCGAATTGATGAAATCAATGGCATTTTAAAGTAACAAAAAACTAAGTCTGTATAACCACCTGTACGATTGGGGGGACATCAGGGAAGTCAGTTAGCATAGAAAAAAACCCAATCCAAACCCTATATCTTAAACTGCAGACACTCATCGATCTGTAATCAACATCCCCTTCAGGACTACCTCACTCCCTTATATCGATGATGATGATGAAGATGATGATGATACCCTACCAATTCCCTCTTTGTTACATAGGGTCTATCTCAATAGCAAAACAACAGCGAATAGTAGACGTTCAATGGCAGGTCATCTTTTATTTTTTATTTTGTCCTCGAGTCCATAGTCTAGGCCTATAGTAGCCTATTACTTTTAGAGCACAGGGAGCATGGTCATGATAGACATTAGCTATTATAAAGTCATAGACACCAGTTAAAAAAGTAGTCAACAAATTACAATACTTTTCTTGACTAGGATCTAGATCCCTATTCCTACTTGGAATAGCAGTCAGAAATAGATCTAGATCTACACCCTATACTCACCATCACATTCTCCTTTCTTTATTTTGGCTTCTGCAAGAAAGTTCATCAGTATAACTGATAGAAAGACAAGTGCTGAGCACATTGCCTGTGGAGAGCACTTCATGATTTCGGGATACTTGTTCCACTGGCACTAAAATAATGCGATTATGTCAAGCTCACGGTTTACTTCAATTTCTTGAACGGCTTCTGGTCACTTCTAGCCCGGTGAGCTCGGGGTTTTCTGATTGTCAGAATACGGTGAAGACGTACCGGTGAGCAGCTGACGACTGTTTACACGTGTACATTTCTCGTACATTTGGCGATCCTTGATTGGTGAACAGCTCTGACGTAATATATAGGTCATTTATGTCGCTCAACAAAATGGCAGCCTCCATAGGAATTTACTTTGGCGGAACAACTTCTTGTGTCGCCATTCACAAGGTATGACTTTTAATAAAATGACTTATTTAAAATAAAATCGAGTATTTGCATGGAAGTATTGGCTATTTGATGTGATACTGTTGTAGTGATGATTTAGAAAAGGTAGTCGGTTCAGTTTGTCTAGATGCACGTGTGTAGATCTATATCTCAGTCCCGTACGTCTAAAACTGTGTAGGCCTAGAATAGATCTAGATCTATTGTACTAGCCATCTACATGTACATGTAGATCACACATAGACTCTAGCTGCATTACTATCCTGGCTATGTATAAAAAGCTGTGCTATTGATTCTCATCATTACAAACACTACTGTACAAAACTCGGCGGCTGTTTAGAAGTCTATCCAAAATTTGACCCATCATATTAACTAGATCTAGAGTAAAGGAGGGGATAGAGTCTAATCGACCAGCTTCAGTTTTTGGCCGATTGATTGGATGCATGGTAAAATCCCTTTAAAATACATTACATAATAGCATATCACATATCCCACACATACCATACCATGCCAGAGTCACTGAAGAACCACATTTGCAATGGAAAATATATCCTAAAATATCACATTTTAGCGATGTATTCGACGGTCCCGCTACCCGAATCTGAAAAATCGAGTATCTTACCCGTGTCTGTAAGAAATATGGGTACCATAAAATGAGCTTTATTCCAAGTATTTTTCAGATTAAGAGCCCGATTTCGAGCTGGTCGCAAGCTCTAAAGTATCTCACGGCATGTATTAAATCAATGCAGCCGGACACCGCAACTCACACACGATATCTCTGTCTAATTCAGATTCCAATGTCCGATCACTGCAGTACTAGTGGGATACCTGCTCCGCCCGCTAGTACTATAGATCAGCGCGGAAACGCATGGCGCGCGTGCGCGCTTCCTGAAAAGGGGGTTTTCGGCCACTTAAGACAAAATCCTATTTTTTGGACTCTTTACTTCCTATTTATTATCATTCTTGTTCAAATCAAGAAGCAAATATTATTATTATTTAAACAAAAAAAGAATCCCAGAAAAAAATCACGAATTGCCATGACAATATTCATTTAAATTTTCACTGTTTTGGAGCCAGTTATCAACCTAGCGATTCAGTTTACGACTGCATGTACAAAGTCAATGGGAAGCGCGCGCGCCGTACATTTCCGCGCTGATCTATAGCACATGTGGGCGGAGCAGGTATCCCACGCCGGAGCTCCCGGGTGCTCGCCTGGTCGAAGACTAGCACTGCAGTGATCGGAAGTTGGAATCTGAATTAGACAGACATATTGTGTGTGCGTTGCGGAGTCCGGCTGCATTGATTTAATACATGCGATGAGATACTTTTGAGCTTGCAACTAACACAAAATCGGGCTCCAAATCTGAAAAATACTTGAAATAAAGCTCATTTTATGGTACCCATATTTCTAACATACACGCGTAAGAAACTCGATTTTTCAGATTTGGGTAGCGGGACCGCCGATTACATCGCTAAAATGTGATATTTTAGGATATATTTTCCATTGCAAATGTGGTTCTTCAGTGACTCTGGCATGGTATGGTATGTGTGGGATATGTGATATGCTATTATGCGATGTATTTTAAAGGGATTTTACCATGCATCCAACGGATCGGCCAAAAACTGGAGCTGGTCGTTTACCCCCTCCTTTACTCTAGGCAAATTCATGCAAAAAATTCAATTGACTTGAAAACACATCAGGCAATTAGTCTGAACCGAGTCAGGAGCAAATTTGAAGAAATTATATTTTTAATTGTTGTAAACCAAAGATATAAGAAAAAAACTGACCAAGTATCTGTCCTAAAAATCGTAAATGTAAAAATGTTCTTAGACATTCGACAGCTGAAAATGATGTGCACGGTTGCGTTCCGTGCGTTCTCGAATACCACGAATGGTCCGTGGTGGGAAGCTAGTGGGCTGAGGGTGTTGACGAGACCACAGGTCATTCAGAGATTCGAAGCGTACTATTTACAGGGACTCAAAAGGTCCACAGGGGAAGGTAACGGGCTAGCTTTTTGCCAAAACGACGCTAGATTGGCGGCTGGCAAAATGAAAGTAACTACGATCAAGAACATCGTCAGTGTTCTTGACTTTTCAGTGAGCTAATTCTGAAACATTGACCAATTTTGCATGATCCCGCAATGCACGTAGACTGCATAGGGATGCGTGTAATCTCTATGGGAAGGATTTTAGTACACAAAATCAAGTGCGCGATCAGACACCCTACCCATAGAGTCCTACTCCCAGGCCAAATTTTTATATAGGTAAAATCACTAAAAAGTAAAATGGGTGAGAAATGATATCAATATCATTTTGTAGGGTTAATAATGCCAAAAGTATATTTTATTTTAATCGTTTTACTTCAAGGGGGTGAGGTGCCGTATTTTCATGACTTGCTTGAAGGCCTCGTGTGCTAGCGCTGGGCACCTCGCTTTCTAAAACATTTTTTTGTTTGTACTCTCACTGCCAACCCAGATTTTCAGCATGTTTCTGTTAAAACCAAAAGGTTTTAAACAATCAGAATAGAAACACCAAAGTTTTTTATTATCACAACCTTGGTGCTTAGTAGGGAAATCCAACCCAAATAGACAACTACTCTAAAAGAAAGCAGAAAAATTAGGAAAGCAAACTGATGAAAGTTTCAATTAAATCTGACTAAATATAAGAAAGTTATGAATTTTTGAAAGTTGTAATCATTATACTGTATGTATGGGCACTTCAAATTGGCTGAAGCAGTAATGTCAATGTGATGTAGTGCCAGACTACTTTCTCATCTGTTCCAACATCATTTCATTGCTCAGGAGGGTCCATTCTTTTTAGAGGACCTATAATATATTAATAATTTGCTATCTATAATATATTTTGAGTAGTGCCCCAAGTAAGAAGGAACTTACGAGAAAAACAGAAATTAATGATATTCTTGTACCATTACACAGAAAATGGGAGAGTTATATCCACATCCTACGTCACAATCCTCTGACCCAACTACTAATTTGAGATTTGTGATCTCATATTTTAAACATTCTCAACTTACTTCCTTACGATTGGTCCAATTCATTTCAAACTTATGCTATTCTGCTTCTGTTATTTTTCTGCTTTCATACAAATCAACTTATAGTATTAGTATAAATTCAATGTAAAGTTAAATCTATAATTATGATTTGTTTGTTTGGTTTGCAGGATGGAAAGACAGAAGTAGTTGCCAATGATGCTGGAGACAGAACAACACCTACTGCTGTTGCATTTACCGATAATGAAAAGGTAAATTACAGGTGACTTTGCACTACCAGAAGCTGCACAAGTGTAATTTTTCTTAAGTGGAATCAATCTATTGGACCAAGCTATGCAAAAAGTGTGTTATTTACACTTTCTAATTCAAATTTTGAATAAAAGTCAAACAATGTAAGGGTTAAAGGTAAAGACCAGTATTGGAAACGCCCCAATTTCAAAAAATGAAATGGAAGCTCTTATTACCAATCATGTGAAAGAATATGTTTTGAATATTACATGACGATAACAATTTTGACGGGAAACTGCCTACTAATTGATATATTTGGTAAATTAGTATATCTCTTGCCTGTTGAGAGATACAAATGCATGTGTCGCGCATGTATGTGTAGTCCCATATACATCTTTCTGTGTACAGTGCTTTTAACTTTATGAAGACTTGGCCAAATTTCTTATAATTTTGATGATTCCAGAACCTTGCAGTACATCTATGCTAGATGATCAACCTTTTCTGATCGATTTCACAATGTTTCTTTCACTATGCAATTGCATGACCATAACTGGTCTTTAGCTTTAAGCAACTGTTTAAAATTTTATCAAGATCATTATCAGGGCTTTGTTCAATGCAGTCAGTAAAATATTCTTTAAGGATAAACCAACTACTAATTTGGACGATATCATACATTTTCTTTAGTATAGAAATGAAACTATGCTGCAGTTTGTGGAATGACCATTGTATTGTGACCCTTTTTTAAACTCACATTTCAATATTTGCGACCCTATATTAGCTTTGGTGACATTCGGTCCAGATTTGTAATACCTTCGGTATGTCAAAAATATAAGATTAGGGTTGCAATTGGTTTTAGGGCTAGCATTAGGGTTAGGTTTTGGGTGTAGTCCAAGTTTGAAGATCTGAACTTGGTTAGTATAAGAAATTAACTGTGGAGCAATTGTCAGATTTATGTGTCATGGAATTTTTGATGTGATATGTTTTTATTTGTCTTTGTCAGATTGTTGGCTTGTCTGCCAAGCAAGGGAGAATGCGCAACCCAGTCAACACAGTCATGCAAGTCAAGCATATCGTCGGCAGGAAGTTTGAGGATCAGGTTATTCAGGACTTGAAGAGACAGTCTCCATTCAAGGTTGTAGAGAGCAAGGGACTAGCTGGATTTGAAATTGAAGCCAACAATAAGAAGAACATTGTGTCTTCCTTGGAAGTGGCTGGGCTCGTCTTCAGGAAGCTAAAAGGTTTGAAGCTCTCTTTCTTCTGTGTTCTCTATCAAGTTCTCTAAAGGCAGGAATAGATAATAAATTATTTCTGAGGAATTGCTACATGCATTCTTTAAAAAACCCATTTACAATGAACAACAGAGATGATTGTGTAATTAACATTTTCATGTGACTACATTTTCAAACTTGATCTCTGTGCTGAAGTTGATAATAAAGCTTAGTTCCTGTTTTGTTGCAAATTATTAAAATGCAGTGATTCTGAATGTAGAGCATTCGTATTCAGCAGATTATAATTCACATGTCAATGAACTTTAGTAAGTTGCACTCACTGCATTGTACATATACTTGACAATGCATATGAAGTATCACAGATTAGATTTGCAAGTGAGTGTGTGGACTGTGGAGGAGTGTTGATTTTTCTCTTGTTTTTGTTTTCTTATTTGACAGAAATTGCAGAGCACCAGGGTGGAAAAGACATGAAGAACACAGTACTGACGTGTCCTGTTGACTTCTCTGATGGCCAGAGGGCAGCAGTCAGGTAAAGTGCTTCTTGTTTAAAAATAAACTCCAGTTCTGGTTAAAAAAAAAGAAAATTAATTCTCACAGAATCAAACGAAACTTACACTGAATGTTCAAGATTACAAATAAATGACATGTGCCGAAAAATTTTGGAAGAAAATGTATACTGGCTGAGTAATGAGCATAGAAAGAGAAAGACAAGGACATCAAGGTAGTACTAGCCCCGACACCATGTATGTTGTCCCATATATAGTTTTCTGTGTACAGTGCTTGTTACTTTACCAAGACTCGGCCAAATTTATTATGATTTTGATGACTCCAGAACCTTGCAGTGCACACCAATACTTACATGCTACATGATCAACTGTTTCTGATCCATTCCACACCTTTTCTTTCACAATGCAATCGCATTACCAGAACTGGAGTTTATCTTTAATATTCTGAAAATACTTGTGGGTTGAGCAAAGTCCAAGAGATAGAGGTTCATCTTTCATCACAGCACTGATGTACATATACATATTTCACTCTGTACCCAAGAAGGCAGCAAGGAATTTGGAGTTGAATCTCTAAGGACATTTATGTCTCAAGTTGATCCCAAATGCTGGTTTTTAGCTTGGTCCAAGTCTTGTACCTGTAGATCGCTAATGAGCGAAACCCCAGTTGCATGAAGAGCTACATCCAAAGTGCATAGGGCATAGTTATTGAAAATATATAATTTCAGTACATTGTGACAGAGTCATATTATAGTACGATCTGGAGCAGGTAGTCACCGTACTGCCACATTTTGGTGAGACATTACCACTAGATATGTTGGATTACAAATTAAATGCACACTAATTCATACCGGCAATTAATTGCATGTCTGTACATGAACTTTTGTGCTACTAGGTTTTGTTACATACTAATAAGAAAAGAATATTCTTTCTTTCCAGTTTTGAGTTTACCCTTCTTGCACTAAAATGAAAGCTATTATTAGGTTTGAATTGTAGCAGAAGGTAAGAAGGCCAAGGTGTTTCAGTGGAGTTGCTTTAGATACCTAAAGTGCTCATCTTGTTTGTATTACATTTCTTTCATTGATTACAGGAAAGCAGCTGAAGCTGCAGGTTTCAAAATACTCCGCCTCATCAGCGATCCATCAGCAGCTGTATTAGCTTATGAAATTGGAGTGACAAAACCACATGATCCATGGTGAGAGCACAGATACATTTTTTCCTCCTGTTTGTTGATGTTTATATTACGTTAAATGCTAATATCCCAGCCACACAGCAAAATTGACCAACGATTGACAAAATCATGAACCATAATAGGACATTGGATTTTTTTGTTGATGGTTTGTTCTCGATGTGGTATCAGCATTGTAAATGTGATTGGGGTACTAACAATAAATGAATTGCTCAGCCAGAGCTGCGGTGCTAGTTTTAAACACAGAGACTGGGTCAAAGGTTACTATATGAAAGTCTCTACTATTATATTTCAAATGTATTAAAAGGGACCAATAACATATGAACAAAGAATACATTTATACTGTTTAAGTCATTCCCCTTCCTCTCAGTCCTATAAGACATTCACATTACCATAAGTATGAAAATAAGAATAGGTTTAGTGCTTGAAGGGTTTTAAAAAAGCAAACCTTTTGTGCTTCTCTTTTAAATGAGTAAATGATTACCACCAGTCAATCCTTTTCCTTTGCAGCAATGTATTAGTATACAGGTTAGGTGGGTCATCAGTCAGTGTGTCAGTGATCAACGTCACAAATGGGCTGCAGAGGATCATAGCTTCTAAGACAAGTAGAGAATGTGCCGGTGATGACTTCACAAAGGCTTTAGCTGACTCCTGTGCTATTGAATTCAAAAGGTATTGTGGTTTTGTATATTTGAAAATGACCTTGAATCTGTAAAGACAGATAATTACTACCCTTTCTTTCTTTGTTTAGTGCCTGTGCTTAATTTTTTAAAAGAAATTTATGCACATAGAATAAAAATGAGGTGGTCTCTATTGTATTAAGTATTACTATTTATGACCTTGGATATGCTTGCCATGAATATGTCAAAATTTCCTGTTTTTCACATTAAATGTTCACCCCCTTGTTCTATCACCCAGCCATTCATGTTTTGTAAAATCAGAATCACTTGGTTTGACAACATGAAACCTATGAAAAGGTGAGAGCAAACTCCCATGATGGAAGACAATGGATGTGCATATAGCCTCCAAACCCAGACCTTGGATGGCACCAGAAACTTTGTGGCAAAAAACTTTCAAGGATTGCAAAAATTTATCGTTGTATCAATTGTGTCTCGATTTTTTTGTGACTCCCAAAAGTTCTGGTATTACAGTAATCTATGGAATATTTCCATTTGATTTGGGTTAGAATAAAGCTTGTTTGTAATCGCTAATATTTGCCTGTCCTTCTTTTATATAGACAATCACGCATGGACATCACTGATAACAAGAGGGCAAAGGGAAAACTCTACAATGCCTGTGAGAGCGGTAAACATGTACTCTCCACCATCAATTCTGCAACTATATCGGTAGATTCACTCTATGAAGGAATGGACTTCCATAGTAATGTAACCAGGTGAGAACCTTTCTCACTCATAGATTAATGGAAAATTTAGTCATGTTTAGAATTAGACTTGCATGAATTTTTGAGGTTTGTTATGTAGTTGATTTAATATATCATTTGATCAACTACTGATACAAAACCAGTTTAGTAATGTATGAATCAAATTTATGGATGTTTCTCCCAGAACTTCTAGTAATGAAATATGTAATTGACATGACATGTACTTTGTCTATGGATGGAATCTACATGGCAAGCAGTATGTTTTAATGTATATGCACGGCCCTACGGAAGAACAGTCCGCGGGCTGAGGTAGGCCTCCGTGTTTAAATAAATAAATGAAATGAAATGAAAAATTATCTGGTGCTATGCTGAGTAAGCAGTAGAGCTCCTTAGTTCGGACATAGACCACTTTACTCTTTTTTTCAGATTCAAGCAGCATAATTCTTAGGAAACAGAAGTTGCATATGCTAGATGGAGTTTATTTTTCAGTAGACTCAAGAGATGACATCATTCATACTAAATGAAATCAATTTATCACAAGGGTTTCTAGGAAGATAATTTAGATACGTCTATAAATTTTAGTACATTAGTTACATAGTCTGTTTAATATCTTTCTCATAAAAAAAAATCTTTGAATAACAGTTGTTTTCATGTATCCCTCCTCTTTCAAGGGCCAAGTTTGAATCTGTCATAAATACACCACTTCAGAGATGTTTGCAGGTGATAGGAACAACACTCGAAGAGAATGGTATGACTGCAGCTGATATACAAAAGGTACTTACTCATTTACATAAATAATGATCTTAATATATCAATTATGGGGAATATTTTGAAATTCAATGTGTATTTTTATTAGCAACACTTTTTGTACCTCTGTTGTTCGTAGGTTGGACAAACTGATAAGCTTTTGAGGCTGTAAATAGAAACCTTGTACCAGGAAGTATGCACAAAAGTAGTAACAGTTTCATAATCTAAGTATCCAATGGATTAATGTCCAGACCCAAACTTAATAATAATAATGATAAAAACGTTACCTATAAAGCGCTTACCACCGAAGTATCTAACTTAACTTTAACTTATATGTTTAGCCTGAATTATGAATATTTTAGACATTATTTTAAACATTAGACAAGACTAAATTTAATGAATTGAATTAAATAATATGAAATTTATTGAATTGAATATATTACACAAAATAAGTAATGAATTAGATTATGACTAATATAACCAACGTTTTCTAAAATTTCAGGTGATAGTTATAGGAGGATCAACTCGCATTCCAAAGCTTCAGAATGTTTTGAAGGGAAGATTCCCAGAATCAGAGCTTCTCTCCTCCATCTCACCAGATGAGGTGGTAGCCATTGGTGCTGCAGTGCAGGTATGGCAAATGGCACACAAAGCAATGAACATTTTTACTTTCTTCATGATTTCTTGCTTCATGATTTTATGTAGAAAGTCTCAATTAAAAAAAAAATTCTCACAACAAGACGGGTTCATTTTGCCGGTGCCCAAAGTCGATTTACATTATTGCGTGTTCCTTGTTATAAAACAATTGGTATGTTTCTTCAGAAACATGTGAAAAAAAGAATATTTGGAGTAGTTTTGTGTAAAATCTTAAAATGAATAACATGACAATACAGTTGTATAGCAACAGTTGTCAACTTTAGATTTACTTATTTGATGTTTATGACTTATTTGTGTATACTATTTGTTTACGGTTTACACATTTGACGCCTTTAAAGTTAAAGAAAATGTCTGCTACAATGCTTTTAAATATCTAGTGTGTTGTATAAACCTATTCAATGATAAGGCTAGATTGAGGATAGATCTGTATATTTCATCTCTATGTGCATTGTTTCCAATTTACAAATTTGATGCCTGAATAGTCCAACTAAGGAATTGTTTGCCATTGCTTAATGTACAATGTATAATTGAAAACCTATCTAATGTCTGAATTCCTTATTTAAGACGTAGTGTATTTCACAATCTGATGTAATTAACGTTGTTGAATTATATTTAATTATGTCATATTATTTTCGTTCAATGTACTTACCTTGTTAGGCGCCTTGAGCATCTCTTGGGGTGGATATGTGCGCATTATAAATGTTGTTATTATTATTATTAATATCTTATCAATTTAAATTGATAATGTGGCTTTACTGCATTCTGATCCACATGTTTTATTTTCCTTTGTTCAGGCTGCTTTGCTATCATCTAGAGAGGACAATATAGCTTGTAGTCCATCTGATTTGCAGACACCCTGCACGGCAAAGTCCATATTCATTAAGGTAGGTACCACAAGTGTACTGGACAAATACAACTATCTTTTCATCAGATATCAAACTACAATACAGCTTCTTTTCCGATTGTGTGAAAATTTAAGATTCTGTAGTCATTAATACTAAATAACAGAAGTAATTGTAAAGTTGGTATAAAGTTATTCGTCTTCATATTTCCTGTGGACCATCTAAATACTTAATTATGATTATTTTTGTATTATATTTGAGTGTCGTGGGAGGGAGGGGGGGGGGGGATGGCTTTTTTGTATACCGGTATATATATATATTATTTTATAGATAACATGTACTGTTGGGTTAGGCACGCTTTTCCTAGCTTGTTTTAGTGTGGCATTGAGTGGAGAAGAGATCAGAGCTCATATTTGTAAAACCTTCATATCATTTGCCTACTATCTAGTATCTACGCACTAGGATACACCAACAACAATTCTCTGAGTGAATAATAATTTGTTGTGAAACGAAGTATGATTAATGAATATGAGCCTAGGTCATTTGACTCCTTAGCCCATTATAAAATATTATAAAATTATGCACCAATGATCATATGCACTTGTTATTGATCCTTGTTAGGTTGTGAACGAGGACGGCACATCACTTCTCCATCCCATCGTACCCAAGCATAGCTACATCCCTCTCAGACAGCAGCATTATTTCACAGTCCCCAAGGACCAAGACTCCTTGTCTCTCCAGCTTGTTGAAGGAGAGCCTGCCAGCTCGCCAGATGAGACAACCAAATTAGGCAAAGTGAGTCTTACAGTAATACTGTAGGCCTAGCCTAGCCAACCCTCATAGCATAAAATGGTTTATCTTTGGTCCAAATTAAAAAAGAATAAAATGATATTTGTTTGCAGCATCCCAGGGGGTGATTTGAGAGGGCCAAAGCAATTTCCAGGTTCAGAGTATGCATGGCATATTTTTTCCCCAATTGGTAAAATGACCTGATAATTACCAGATTAAATCGGTTTTATGATTTTTTCCTGATTTTTTTTTCAGATTTTTTTTCTTCCGGTTTTACCCTGATATTTCCTGATATTTCCCCAATTTTTTTACTTAATAGGGGGGAATGTTGTTAGATCCCATGTAAAAAAACACCTATTTTTTTTCCTGTATCATTGACATCTGTATTAGCAATATGTTATTTCCCATGCTTGCACCCTTTGCATATATTTTTTTCCTGAAGTTTGCCATGCTTTGTGATAGCACCAAGGGTGTATTGCATTGGTGTTATCCCTGGGTATAGTCTTTGTTATTAGAGTGATAGCCTGGCTTTACTTTGTGTAAGATTTTACAGCTAGTGTTCACCTTGGGGGTTTCTTAAAAGTTGAAAATGTAGATGGATCCCCTCTCCAAAAATGTACCATTTGGTCATTTGTCTGAGAAGAGTATGTGAAAGAGCTTTTTTTCTTTCTTCTCTTCAGATAATCCTCAGAGATCTTGCGTCTGAAGAACCACAAGAAGGCAAGGTCACTCTAGATGTTCATTTAAAAAGGTGAGATAAATTTTATCTTGATTAGACTCTGTGTTTTATACTCAGTTTAAAAAGATAAACTTCAGGTGTTTTTAAGGTGCAGTTTGTCACATGTAACTCAAATTGGACTGTTGGAATTACTAGTTAGTGCATGTACAAATCTTGAAGGAAGTGAAAACAGGTTTAACATCATCACATTCAGAATTGCTTGGAGTATGGCCTACCAGAGATCGATTTGGTTTTGGTTAAGAATTGATGATGACGTATGTAACGTCTGTTATTGAGTGCCTACACTATTGATGTCAAGTTTCCAAGCCCAAGATATAATGATCTTAATCCTTCCTGTGCAACAAGCAGGAAATCCTAATAACATAAATGTTATTGGAACGTCTTTCCTGTGGCATTTTTTGAAACTTCAACATGTACATGAAGCTATGGAATACTTTTGATACAGAATTATGGACCAAGGAATTAAAACTAAAATATTTATATTTCTATGATGACGAATGTGACAATGAAAATTCAGCATATTTTCTCTCTTGTTTTTGTTTTAAAGCCCAAATAGTATCTTGAAATTGATAGCAATTTCTTTAGAAGTGTTATTATATGAACTCTCAAAACGATCAAACTGTTTCAAATGAAAGTATCTCTGGAAAAATTAAATATCTCCTAATACAGCCAATATTCTCTTTTTAGAAATCATATACAGTGGTTCATATACTTGACTTACAATCCAAGGGTTGAGGGTGTAAATCGCAGACTGGCACAATCGTCCAGTCCACTCTCCACCCGGGTGTAAATGGGCTCCTGGGGTACAAATAATTGCAGGATCCTCAGGAAGAAGAGTATTGATGTTAATGAGGCTTCTCTGGGTAAATATCATTAGTAGTATTTATCATTTTTGTTTTCATATTATGACAGGGATGGGACTGTAGAGATCACATGTAGTGAGAGTGTATCAGGGAGTATGGATAGCCTTGTCATATCACCTTCTGCCAAGAACTCAGAAGACAAAACAACCAAGGAATAGACTGTGATGGACTACACTATGATGATTTGTTCAAGTTGTATTAGAAATTTGATATGGAGAGTACTGCGCACGGATTGTTGCCCTTTGAAGTTCCAGTTGAAACGCCTGAAGATCCATGAACACCTATGAACATTTCGTGTGCCAGAAGTTCCACATTGGTCACAGCTTTAAGATTGTGTGAGCACAGACTTCTGCAAAGGGTTCAGCATGGGTGAGAGTTTCAAGATCTTGTGAACAGTAGAGTCTTACAGGGGTTTAACATTGGTCATAGCTTTGAGAATGTATGAAGATTGGTGCCTGCAAAGGGTTCACCATGAGTTGAGAGCTTTATGATCCTGTAAACATATGTGTCTTCCAGGAGTTCTGCTCTAGTCACCCTGTATGGGTGGGTAGGTGCTAACGTTCTTGAGCTGATTTATGCTTCTTTCTTGGAAGAATATTTCATTACATATGGTGATATGTGTTTATGATGTCCCATCTAGAATGCCACCCCAGCAATCCCCAAAGGGAGTCATGACCATAGGTTCTGTGATCCTGTGAACATGAGGGTCTGCCAGAAGTTCTGCCATGGTTCCCATGCAAGGATTGCCAATATCCTAGAGATGACTGTGGGTATGCTTAAATAAGGTGCTTTTATTTACCCTTGTAGAGTGGCACATTAACAGGTATTTTCCACTTAATGGATGTCATGACCAGTTGAGTAAATTATTCTCAGAATACTTCTACTTCTACTTCTAAGACGATACTCAGCAGGATCCATAAGTCAGGATGTATAGTGCTGAGGAATAAACTATCTAGTTCTTGGTCTAGATGCTGGGTGGAAGTGCTCCCTTGAAGCCCTCCACCAATAGTAACACCATATGATAAAAAAATCCCTGATATGTGTAGTGGGTGAAGAAGTATTGAATTAAATCTATGCAACTATGCTTTTATTATAATTTGAAACTAAAAAATCGTGTTGATAATCTGTTGGGTGGCCACAAGAAGGACGTAAGAGTTGTGAAATCTCAATGGCAGTGATGGGTTTCTTGTGGGCAGCCAATGATTTGTAAGTCTGTACGAGTTATTTAAAAAAAAAGAGTTCATGAACAGCTTAATTTTTTTTTAATAGATTAAATAGATGAACAGAAACCAAACATATAATACAATTTATAAATCATTTCCATTGTGTTTATCTTTCTCAACCTTGAGAATGTATTTTTAAGGAAAAATAGCATTGACCTATAAAAAGTGCTCTTATCGTCTAACAAGCAATTTTCACTGTGCATGCATGTAAGGACTTTTTACGCTTGGCTGCCCAGTTGAAAAGTGTATTCTGGGACACAACTACACTAATTAATATTCAATGAAAAATGATTAGATTCTTCCTGGTTCTCCAAATAAATCTCAAGTCTCCTACAAAATTATTTGTCGTGTTTGTACATTATGAAAATGAAAAGGAGACATCCAAGCTACACTGTTATTATAGTAACAAAAGAAGTGTTTTTTGTTAAAAAAAAACATGTTTAGAAGATTCATGGCTCCTTTACATAATATGTTCTCATTTACAAGAATATTTTCTAATGTTAGTACTGTTTTCTATCTGTTCAGCTTGTTCATACAATATGCATTATGCACAGATGCAACGGCATTCCACTGGTATTTTTTTGAGGACTTAATGTTGATGGAATACATACAGAGTCTTTATTTTCAGACTTTGTATTTGTCATACCCAGACATCAGAATTCAATTAGATGATAAGTTTGCTATCACAGAAATAAGTATTGTAAAAGAATTTATGTAATTTTACATACCTGTATTTGAAAATCTTTGGTTGCCTTTTTTATGAAGAGGATTGTTCTTGAGATTAAACTAGAGCAAATATGTCCGGTCGTTTATGATAAATGAAGACTACCTACAAACGCTACTTGAGTTGGTGTGCCGTCTACAGAATGAGAGACAGGTTTAGTTCATATGAACAGCATGGAACCAAATCACCGAAGAGGTTCATCTGACTTGGGATGTCACCTGAAAATAAGTTCTTTCTTCACAAAAAGTTATCAGTTTGGGTAAGTTTTCGCTTGCTGTTGCTGATGCTGTATGATGATATGGTAAAATAGGATTTTACGTTGAAGGAAGAGTATATTAGCATAAATCTCTATTCTTGGATGTATTTCGTTCAGACTTGGGCATATATTCTTCCTTGTATTCAACCATACAGCATCAGCAACAGCACCAGCTCTGTCACTGTATTGAAGAAGCCTACAACATGGCAAGCGAAAGCTTATTCTAATAGTGGAACAGGTATTTTTTCTTCTGATTGTGAAGAAAAAAAACTAATTTTCAAGCATGAACCAAGAAATGAATAAACAAGGACATAGCACATTTTGTAAAGATTCTGGCACAACAGATGTAACCAGTAGTAGTAATACTGAATACAATGAGCAAGCCCTCCTATCAATGACTACCAAAAATACAATAAGAAAGGGTCTCAGCTCTTGTCTTCAGGTTTTTATATACATTCTTCTTTAAAACAATCACTTGTATGCTATATTAGGAAATAAAACATAATGAGCTTAGAAACATAAATTTCTTTTAACTGTTGTATTTCTTTGAAGAGTGAAGATGGGCTAGTGCTGGAAGTAGTTTTAGTCTAAATAATGGAAGGATGTGAAAGAATGGTCTTTTTAAAGGGGAATTCAACCTTCATGGAAAGTTTGCCAGAATGAAAACACAGTTAACACTGTAAAAACAGTTAGTGACTGTTTTAGAAAAATCAGACAAATAATTAGTTCCTCTTGAACTGAAGAATGCATAAGATGAAAACCGAAAATGAGAATTGTGATGATGATGATGATCATAGTAATGATGTGATCACATGGATAATAACTTTAGTGAATGTTACTTTCACAAACATTTTGAATGGCTGAATTTGTAAGAGCTTAGTAGCATGATATCCATAATACTGATAAAGATGAGATTGAGGAGGTAGACAGAAAAGGAGCACACTCATTCATATAATGATAATATTGTTGATGTCACCAATACTGAAATGTAATGCCGCTTACGATGGCATTGATGATAACACATATTGCACAAACATAAGATGTTACAAGCTCTAAACCTAGCTTGTAGAATGGGTTTCCGCTGGTTTCTTGGACACAGTATGGAGAAGATAGACTAATTGATTGAGAGACTGGACTCTGGAGTAGAGAGGAATTGGTTAACATGCTCCTGAATCTTGTAAGCCTAGGGGTACAAACATGTTTGGATGGAAGTTGGGGCAACATAGTTAAATAGAGAAAAGGAAAAAATAAATTAGAGCTTCAGAGAACTTAACTTACATATTGGTCTATTTAAAAGCACATTACTGATAATGATATTGATGTTGATGATGGTGGTGGTGAGGTTGATGCAGATGATGATGGTGGTGAGGTTGATGCAGATGATGATTGTGGTGGTGAAGTTGATGCAGATGATGGTGGTGGTGGTGAGCTTGATGCAGATAATGGTGGTGGTGAGGTTGATGCAGATGATGATTGTGGTGGTGAGCTTGATGCAGAAGATGATTGTGGTGGTGAGCTTGATGCAGATGATGATTGTGGTGAGGTTGATGAAGATGATGATTGTGGTGGTGAGCTTGATGCAGATGATTGTGGTTGTGAGGTTGATGCAGATGATGGTGGTGGTGAGGTTGATGCAGATGATGATTGTGGTGGTGAGGTTGATGCAGATGATGGTGGTGGTGAGGTTGATGCAGATGATGGTGGTGGTGGTGATGGTGAGCTTGATGCAGATGATGGTGGTGGTGAGGTTGATGCAGATGATGATTGTGGTGGTGAGCTTGATGCAGATAATGATTGTGGTGGTGAGCTTGATGCAGATGATGGTGGTGGTGAGGTTGATGCAGATGATGATTGTGGTGGTGAGCTTGATGCAGATGATTGTGGTGGTGAGGTTGATGCAGATGATGATTGTGGTGAGGTTGATGAAGATGATGATTGTGGTGGTGAGCTTGATGCAGATGATTGTGGTGGTGAGGTTGATGCAGATGAAAGTGGTTGTGAGGTTGATGCAGATGATGATTGTGGTGGTGAGCTTGATGCAGATGATGGTGGTGGTGAGGTTGATGCAGATGATGGTGGTGGTGAGGTTGATGCAGATGATGATTGTGGTGGTGAGCTTGATGCAGATGATGGTGGTGGTGAGGTTGATGCAGATGATGGTGGTGGTGGTGAGGTTGATGCAGATGATGGTGGGGGTGAGGTTGATGCAGATGATGATTGTGGTGGTGAGCTTGATGCAGATGATGATTGTGGGGGTGAGCTTGATGCAGATGATGATTGTGGTGAGGTTGATGAAGATAATGGTGGTGGTGGTGAGCTTGATGCAGATGATGGTGGTGGTGAGCTTGATGCAGATAATGATTGTGGTGGTGAGCTTGATGCAGATGATGGTGGTGGTGAGGTTGATGCAGATGATGATTGTGGTGGTGAGCTTGATGCAGATGATTGTGGTGGTGAGGTTGATGCAGATGATGGTGGTGGTGAGGTTGATGCAGATGATGATTGTGGTGGTATGTAGATGATTGTGGTGGTGAGCTTGATGCAGATGATTGTGGTGGTGAGGTTGATGCAGATGATGATTGTGGTGGCGAGGTTGATGCAGATGATGATTGTAGTGGTGAGCTTGATGCAGATGATGGTGGTGGTGGTGAGCTTGATGCAGATGATGATTGTGGTGGTGAGCTTGATGCAGATGATGGTGGTGGTGAGTTTGATGCAGATGATGATTGTGGCGGTGAGCTTGATGCAGATGATGATTGTGGTGGTGAGCTTGATGCAGAAGATGATTGTGGTGGTGAGCTTGATGCAGATGATGATTGTGGTGAGGTTGATGAAGATGATGATTGTGGTGGTGAGCTTGATGCAGATGATTGTGGTTGTGAGGTTGATGCAGATGATGGTGGTGGTGAGGTTGATGCAGATGATGATTGTGGTGGTGAGGTTGATGCAGATGATGGTGGTGGTGAGGATGATGCAGATGATGGTGGTGGTGGTGATGGTGAGCTTGATGCAGATGATGGTGGTGGTGAGGTTGATGCAGATGATGATTGTGGTGGTGAGCTTGATGCAGATAATGATTGTGGTGGTGAGCTTGATGCAGATGATGGTGGTGGTGAGGTTGATGCAGATGATGATTGTGGTGGTGAGCTTGATGCAGATGATTGTGGTGGTGAGGTTGATGCAGATGATGATTGTGGTGAGGTTGATGAAGATGATGATTGTGGTGGTGAGCTTGATGCAGATGATTGTGGTGGTGAGGTTGATGCAGATGAAAGTGGTTGTGAGGTTGATGCAGATGATGATTGTGGTGGTGAGCTTGATGCAGATGATGGTGGTGGTGAGGTTGATGCAGATGATGGTGGTGGTGAGGTTGATGCAGATGATGATTGTGGTGGTGAGCTTGATGCAGATGATGGTGGTGGTGAGGTTGATGCAGATGATGGTGGTGGTGGTGAGGTTGATGCAGATGATGGTGGGGGTGAGGTTGATGCAGATGATGATTGTGGTGGTGAGCTTGATGCAGATGATGATTGTGGGGGTGAGCTTGATGCAGATGATGATTGTGGTGAGGTTGATGAAGATAATGGTGGTGGTGGTGAGCTTGATGCAGATGATGGTGGTGGTGAGCTTGATGCAGATAATGATTGTGGTGGTGAGCTTGATGCAGATGATGGTGGTGGTGAGGTTGATGCAGATGATGATTGTGGTGGTGAGCTTGATGCAGATGATTGTGGTGGTGAGGTTGATGCAGATGATGGTGGTGGTGAGGTTGATGCAGATGATGATTGTGGTGGTATGTAGATGATTGTGGTGGTGAGCTTGATGCAGATGATTGTGGTGGTGAGGTTGATGCAGATGATGATTGTGGTGGCGAGGTTGATGCAGATGATGATTGTAGTGGTGAGCTTGATGCAGATGATGGTGGTGGTGGTGAGCTTGATGCAGATGATGATTGTGGTGGTGAGCTTGATGCAGATGATGGTGGTGGTGAGTTTGATGCAGATGATGATTGTGGCGGTGAGCTTGATGCAGATGATGATTGTGGTGGTGAGCTTGATGCAGATGATGATTGTGGTGGTGAGCTTGATGCAGATGATGATTGTGGTGGTAAGGTTGATGCAGATGATGGTGGTGGTGGTGAGGTTGATGCAGATGATGATTGTGGTGGTGAGCTTGATGCAGATGATGATTGTGGTGGTGAGCTGCAGATGATGATTGTGGTGGTAAGGTTGATGCAGATGATGGTGGTGGTGGTGAGGTTGATGCAGATGATGATTGTGGTGATGTCGGTACTCCTGCTGCTGTTGCTGATAATCACAGTATCCTCCAGTTCATCTCGAAATACTTCTCACACCTCGCTGTGAGATTTCAAAGTGCACCTATTTTCAGTCTATTATCATTTCCATTCCCATTTAAAAAAAGATGTTCAGTGCAAGTCCTTCTTTCTTTGTATGCTTCCACGGCTACCGTTGTCACCTCTGTATCTGTACACATCATCCCACATGACGTACCTCTCTGAAGCAAATAACTTCTGGTACAGAGGTACAGAGGAGAAAAGGAGTATTGCAAGTGCATATGCTCCCATACAGCCGTAGAGCGTTCCATCAAAAGAGCCTGTTTGGTCCACACTGGTGCCTGATAAAATGATTAAAACATTCAATGTAAACAAAAATATTAGAGAAAACACATGTATAAGACATAGATATATATATATACATCATAACTTTGCCACTTTAGTAGTTAACACATATGTAATTCATAAAGCAATTTGTAAACAAGAAACATGATTGTAAGAATAAACTGGAAATTGAGGTCCCTAATGACGATAGGAATTTCTACTCATTTGCCTCTAAAACTAATACGGGGAATTATTATTTTGATACATTGCAACGTATAGGAGTCGTTAGCGATTTAAGCTGAAAGTGTGGGGGAACAGACGTTACGAAAAAGGCCATGTGTATTTACCGGTACAGTTATACCAATATACCTAATTGGTTTAATAGAAAAAAAAAAAGAAAAAAAAAAAATTGTGCAAAAGGGTGACCCCCCAAAAGTGACCTTACCCCCCTCTCACTGAACGAAGTATCGGTCGGCCAAAATTTGAAATTTGCAGGCCCCCCCCCCAAAAAAGTGCTCTTACCCCCCCCCCCCCCCCGCTTATTCAAGGGCTTGCTGAGGCGTTGCAAAATTTTCGGCGCGATTTAAAAATGTAAACCCCCCCCCCCCTTGAAAAAATCCTGCGTATGCCACTGGTTGTGATCATGTTATATCTAAAAGACATTTATTCTTCAAATTGTGGTTTTAATTACCGTAAACAGTTCCCAGAATGGTCCCAATTCCAGGGGCGATGAGGGACGTCGTCATGGGCGTGGCGCCACGTCCGGGGAAGACTTGAGCCGACACGATGTACGGTGAGGAATTGATGAGAGAGAGGACAAATACACCAATTGCTGATGGGCACCATGTAGTTACAGAATAAAAGTAGATAAGAGAACGGGGTAGTTAGGGCGGCACAGAGGCACCATAGCGGTTCTAGAGGGGGAGGGGGGGGGGGACACTCAATCCCCCCACTTGATTCACCCCCAATAAAATCTTGATAATAAATGAATTTAAGCGAGTCATATCAGTCTGAAGACTGAAGGTCCATAGTTCCGATAATGCATTGAGATAGGGTTCATTATTATGAAGGTAACTTATTTCATTTATGGAAACCCTGTAATTTTCATTTTTAAAATGAGCCCTCTTTCATATTTGGAGTGACGAACCATCCGAATAACGAACCTTCGGTTGAACGTACCTCTGGTTTAATGATCTTTGTAAAAACGACATGTAAATCATTAGTACAGGGGAACCACGTTTTCCCAAAATGAATAAAGCATACTGAATGTCGGAATAAAGCAATATAAAATGGAAAGGAGTCCTGTCGAAAATATAATTGAAATTAGGAACATGTTCTAGCATACAAATAAATCTATATCAGATAGGCCTATGCATAACTTTCGACTGATATATCGAACATCTTGCAATGAGTGATGATGGCATCGTTCGCCTGCGATTGCGCTCTGGATAATGATATATGGTCAATGAACAGAATAGTATCTGGTGAATTCTATCATTATTTATCCTGAAGACGTAGGTTCTCAAGCATTCCATCTCGTCCATTACATCGCTCTAATCTTGAAATAAAGAAAATGTCTCCAATCCCCCCTAAAGTACTCGGAACAGGGCCATTAGTGTAATTCCATCTGAAATACACTGTTACCCATGAAGTTGGAAGAATTTTTCTTTCTCTCTATTTATGAAATTATTGTGATAATATGATATATTGTTGGCAGATAAAGTTTATAATCCTCCCAGAACTGTATTGATCAGTCTCTACGACTCTTTAAGTTGTTCAAATAAAGAGTTATCAAGAATAAATCATATTTTCACAATCACTTCATGAAAAGAGAAATTCCAACTTTTTCGGCAACTGCATGAATCACCTGTTTTATCCAAAGTCTAAGGCATGGATACGCCACTAATGATGGCATATAATGATGATGAATTCCAATTAAAATTACGTATTGCTCTTACCGACAGAAGTGATGAAAACGGCTACAACAGTTTTAATGTTTAGCACAGCAAACATCAGTCCGATTCCACTAACGGAGGCGATGTGGAACAGAAAGAGCTTCGGGAATGGGAGGTAATCTGCGAATCCTGAAACGAGAAGTTTTCCTACCAGGTCCGATGCTCCAAGAGCTGTCATGGCAAGCGCAGCTGTCGATTCGCGGAACCCTAATGTCAGTATCAGCTTAACCTGCGTGCACGAAAATAAAGTAGATATAGTTTGCTTCGTTAGTATTACGTTGCATTCATCTGGGCCCCGTTTTACAAAGTGTTGCGATTGATCCAAATCCAAATCAATCGCAAGTCCTCCAAACAGGGACGGCGATTTCTTTTCATGACCGGGGGGGGGGGGGGGGGGGGGGGGGGGGGACGGACGAAATGCGACCAAAATCTTGGGGAGGGGGAGAAGAAAAAAAAATCCGCATCAACACCACTCTTACATGTAACATGCAGGCCCCGTGGAACGTTTTTCAAAGTGGGGGGGGGGGGGGCTAAAGTATTTACGATCAGCCTAGAGCAAAGCGAGCGAAGCAAGTGGAGCATAAATTGGCGTGGGGTCCAGGGGCAAAGCCCCTGCGGGGGTCAAGGAGCGGAACCCCATGAAGCTCAGGGGTTTTATGCATTTAAGTATGGTCAGATGAGCATCCCGGGGCCCGCCTTAGGGTCCTGGTGCCGTCCAGGAAGCTCAGGGAGAAATCATGCCATTTAATTTTTTTTTGTTTTTGTTGTTGTAAATCACTGGTATCGAATTAGAAATAAACTACGTTTGAATTTTATTGGGGGGGGGGGGGGGGGAGGGGGCAACTGCCCCAAGGCCCCCCTATCAGTACGCCAGAGCGAGGGAGCATAGTGAACTAGAGGGGTGAAGGTGACGGAAGTGACTACCCTCCACAGGTTTTTTTAAAGTTTTGTTGTATTAAATAATTACATTCCTAAGCAAAACTATAGTATAAAACAAGCAATATACTTTTTAAACACTTCACTTTTCCACAATTTACTTGTACATGGCTACCGAGCGAGAAGATTTTTGCATTTTTATTTGTCTATATAAACGCTGCACTCTTGGGCCCTCCAGAGACTAAAAGTGTGTTACAGTCTTTAGTCAGTACAATTTACGGGGGGGGGGGGGAGATCCCCCTAAAAAATGAGGGGGGGGGCGTGTCCCCCTGTCCCCCCGGGATCGCCGCCCCTGCCTCCAAAGCTCCAACCAATTGCAAGTTTGCAGTCTCCTATCTCTTATATACATAGTTGCGATTGATATCAACTCTTTGTGAGACGGGGCCCAGGTCTCACTCTCCAGGTACATCTCAAGGAATATGAAGACCTTGCCTTTTCATGCCTCAAAACTTACCTATTTCAGCAAAAATGTGGAAATACTGACCTCATTGGATGAGCATATGTGCCCTTTCAGGTTTTATTTCAAACAGAAATATAGCACCATGCATATAAACCCTGTGGATCATCATCATTCGTTCGTTTCGTTTCGTTTGACATTTTGTATTTCCGTCATATAAAAAAGAATTCCCAATGAAAAGAAAGTAACAAAAAAAAAATATAATTCTATGAACTTATACATAATATACAGTTTACATGCATAAGCAAGACCCCCCCCCCCCCTCAAAAAAAAAAAAAAAAAAATATGGTCACGAGGGAAAATATAACTCCCTTCAGGTCCAAAGAATGTTATATTCCCCCTGCCAGTCAATAACTGTCATATTAGATAGCCTTGGTTTGATTTTTTTTTGAACAATCACAATCAAAATCAATCAAAATTTTAGAAAAAGAAGTAAGAAAAAAAAATTGACTGAAAAATAATATTTCGAGATAATTCTTATAAAAAAAAAATTGGGAAAAAAAATAATTTCAAGGGACAAAAAAAAAAAAATTCAAGGGGAAAAAATAAATAATCATGAAACAAAAAATGACCCTCGGTAGTGGTGTAATGTGTGTAATTGGTGACATACGGTCCTCAAGAGGGCGACATGCATTGATTAAAAATATAATCATTTCACCAGCTGGTTAATATAACACTGAAAAGTGACCGGCCACGAAAATATAACAATTTGGATCCTCACAATTGATATCATGTGACGAGCTCTGGACCAATCACATCTCAGTATCTGTCTAAGCTATCTAATATCATAATATATTCATGTCTTTAACTATAAAATAATGAAGATTTTAATGATTGGTCATGATAATAACAGGAAGGTGGATCGGTTCAATTTATACAAGTCTCTGCAGCTTACCCAATAAAAAAAGAAGAGAGTGGTGGACATTGCCGAGATGATCATGCCAAAGAACATCATCCAAAATTCAGGAAATAGCAATAGGTCATAAGAGTTCCTTGAACGGTCCGCTACATCAGATAGACTGGATGACTTTGTTGTCCCATCGCAAATCGGACTTTCAATAGCTCCTTCAGCCGTTCCGAGGAAAGATACTGTCGTCTCAATCGAGTCCATCCCGGATGGTTTATCATCAGCTGATGTCGGTGTACCAGACTTCCTGACGGGTTTGGAGAAAGTGGCACTCGCTGCATAGCCAACGAGAAGGAGAACTGAGCCCATGATTCTTAAAGCGTTACGCCATCCCACTCCTGACACCAGCTTGTACATGACCGGGTTCAGCACCAGCATACCTTTAGAGAGAGAGAGAGAGAGAGATAGAGATAGATGGAAAGAGAGAGAGAGAGAGAGAGAGAAAGGGGGGGGGGGGTGACAAAGAGAGACATTTGATCTTGTCCACATTTGTTTGGCTTCTTTCACTGCCGCCTCCTCCTTTTCCCGAAAATCCGAAGTATTACCCCTGAGTTACCAGACACTACACATTGGCTATTGGTTATCATTTATTTTATATATAATATATATAAACGACCAAGACTTGCATAACCATCCACATATCCCCCAACAAACTATTTGAAAAGCGTAAGTTACCATATGACTTGAAGTCGACAAATTGACCTCGATCAAAAGAAAATCTGAGTGCCCACTGTTAAGCCAAAGGTGGGGCCTTTCACTACATATTAAAAGTAGTCTACGCGAATATAATAATTAAATGCATTTACCTGTGGAGGTCCCAGCCACTGCAAATGCAAGTGCTCTCGCACAAGAGGTTTTTGGGAACCATTCAACTATGGTGATCATTCCTGTAATAGTGGACAAGGCCAAACCAATCCCGTACGTAATCCCGAAGGTAAAGATTATCGGGAAAAACCTCGGCATGAACGACGTGATGAGGCAGGCACAGAAGCAGAAAGAGATGCCCAAGACGGCCACCAGGCGATGACTAGTCTTCTTCACAATCTCAGCGGTCAACACACCCCCGATGAGGTTGAGTCCTGTTGCGATGGTGGGAATCCAACCTTTAGAAATTATCAGAAAACACTAAAGATAAAATTATGAAAGGAACTTATTTCTACTTGGCAAAATCAAGGACACCGTCCCTGGACTGCTCAGGGTTTGTGGAAGAGCATGTCCAATGTGTCTAGGATGAGATACGATTCAAACTTCCCAGGTCGAGTTCGAACCATGTGATCTCCTTGAAAGACCTCCGTAGAATCGGACAGAAATGATAACGAAACAATACATAATTAACATCGATGACTGGCACACAGCATTCGGTCTGATCACATGCAAGTTGCCGGATTGACAGCTTTTTATATTTAACGGTCCAGAAATGATTTCTATGAAAGTTGTAAGGTCCGAAACATAGGATGCCATTCGCCAAAAAGTTTGTATGGTCGATCGCGAACTAAATTTAATTTTTCGTTTTTTTCTTAAGAATGCCTTGAGTTCTTCTTACATCAGACTTACGAGTTGTTGTTCTCGCAAGATTGTCTTACGTGTAACTGACGGCATTCTCAAGTCATTCGTAAGAAGATCTTACGATTTGTTTATATATTTTGTCGGGTTGCAAAAAAGCACTGCATAAATTGTGTACGTACACCTTACGAGCGCCTTACGAACGCCATGAGTCGTTCGTACGAAGACGATACGAATTTTCCGTTCGTAAGGCGTTCTTATGAACGCGTTAAGAGCCCTCTATGAACAACTTAATAAGTTGTTCTTACGATTATCGTAAGAATTTGAGGCTTCTAGAATTGTCTCTCGACTCCACGAAATGTACGAAGATCTTGCGTGGTTCTTACAATGTTCTTACGACGTTCTTACGGCCGCCTTAAGAAGAGAGGGTTTCGTACGAGGTTAAAAGATCTTGAACAAGACCATCGACCAGTCTGCAAACTTACGAACGGTCTACGAACGCTGGTTTCCTACGGCCTTCTTAAGAAGATCTTACGAAATAGTCTGAAAATCGTTAGTACGGCGTTCGTAGTAGTTCGTAATGGTATTTGTGACCGAGGCTTTAGATTTTTTCAACCTCGTACGAAACAAACATGGCTCTACAAAACGTGCAAAAATTATGACTTTTAAACTGGTTTGTGCTTCGAAAATGTTGAACAAAATAAAAAGAATATATTCCTTCAATAATACAAAGGAAAATAAACAGATGAAACTAAACCATTTTATCGAAAATAATATTGTTATATAAACAGATGAAACTAAACCATTTTATCGAAAATAATATTGTTATATAAACAGATGAAACTAAACCATTTTATCGAAAATAATATTGCTAGTGATATTCGTTTGTCTCGCAATGTGGTCAATAAGGAATCTAAAAGATCACGACGTTTCGTGCGCTGCTGCAACACTTCGTCAGGTGATAAAAACTAATGTAAGCAAGCGTGTTTTATACTCTACGGGAAGACCGGCGCGGCGGTCAATAATTCGATCGATAAGGGTCATTCCATCGGGTTGGGTCTTTTCAGCATTTTCACGTGTTTGAATGTTTAGAAGCTATTTACTCAAATTTGAATGTATTTTTAGAAAAATAAAAGTATGTTATATTGAAGAGTAATGTAGTACAGAATAAATAAACATGAAAACAGAAACTTCTTCATCATATTTTTTTTTGGTGAGAGTTTTACTACCGATGTCTCAGCGATTTTGAGGGTGAAAGTTGTGACATGAAAACATGTCATTTTCATGAACTTATTTCTGGAAAAAAGTTCATCATAATGCAATGTTTCCTACTTAAAACATGTCACCTTTAGTACCTCTACTATGTCTGAGAAGCTCAAGTGAAATGTGCAAAAAATCGGCAAGTTATTTCATATTGAAAAAACACAATACCTACGTTACCAACGATGTCCTAGGCACTTTTTTCGTAACGGCGGTAATTCTAGCATTTTACACAAATTTAGCAGGATATTTTCTCAGAAAGTTTCATCCTATTAGGAAGGTACAACCCCTCAAGAACATATGTAGAAAGAATGATGATTAAATCGGTCGGTAAATATAAGAAAACAATTAATTTACCGCGAAAATCGGGCGCGATGTCCTTCGTAATTTGGTAACGTAGGTGTGAAATTACGGTGTTTGAGATATAAACCAGCCCGCTAGCTTCAGTTTTCGGTGTTAAAATGACCTGCTAGTTATTCGCGAATGCGCAGAACATGTTTTTTGCCGGACTGCGACGACCTACCCCTACAGTGCAACCACAAACGTGAAGATGTCTTTGTAACGTGGTGCAGCCATTTTCGCCCGTCAGCGCCCAAATTGGTACGTAATATGTTTTTAAAGTTATTTTTATGGCCCGAATTATTATCATGGACAATGAAATTCCATGTTTTAAAAATGTAATTCCGTTTTAAATTGTGTTATTTTCAACTTAAACCGGTTTTCAAACCATCACATGTGAGTGAATATTTTACTGTTGTCCCACATACTGATATATGTGTTATAACGAAACATGCAAAATCAATGCCGGACTTTTACCCTTAAAAAGCTAGTTTCTTAAACAGAAATTGAATTTAGTTATAAGAATCCCGTAAATAATGATATTCATGATGTTCCTACACCTCAGATTTTTTCTGACAAGTTTTAAATTAATTAATATTATTTATATGGTGCCATTAATTGTCATTGAACAATGATGGCTAAGCCTAACGAAAAACACAAGTTATTGAACATTGCTTCCTTCAAGTTAGGAAGTTCAATCTGAGACCCAAAATACACAACTTTTTGGGCAAAAAAGGGGGTTGAGGGTTGGGGTTGAGATAGAGAAGAATGGGTTAAAGGGGGAGGGCACCCCCCCCCCCTCCGATTCAATGATGTAATGAGCCTTTTTTTTTTGTTAATATAATTTTTTTTTTTTTTTTTTAAATAAATTAAATAATCATTGATCTGGCTCCCCTTCCCCCTCATCCAAAGGTTGAAGTGAGGGATAAGGGGCTTCAACACCTTCCCTCCCCTCCAAATAATGATAAATAACAAATATAATTTTTTAACAAAAATTTATAATTCAACACAAATATTAAACTTAAAAGAAAAATCAAAATGAACAACCAATAATAATACCTACTTCTATTTGGGCATGCAACAAGCCAAAAGTGAGGAACTCCCTATCCATCTTGCAATCCTCTGTCTAGTTGTTCCATCCTTAATTCTTACAATTTGATTTTACAACAGATCTAGATAGAAGTACTTGATAATTGCAAACACAACACACGTTTGAAATGAAAAATCACAGAAACAGTTTACAGTTTTGTTTTATTTTTATCTCATTTAATATTCTTTAATCATTGGTTTTTATTTATTTCTTTTCATGCATATTTATTAGATTGCTGCATCCATTTCATTCATGGCTCCTATACCTCCCTTGAGGATTCAGCTCCGGCAGAGAGAGATCAAGAGAGCAGGCAAAATGACCAGTCATCGAAACCTTCCTGGAAAACAAAGATCTTTCCAATCTAATCACTATTTTGAAGAAGATATAAAGTTGATCATTGATATCTATCAATATACCTCTTGTATGAATACTGTTTTTTAATTTACTGATCAAGGGATAAAATATATTTCAGATGACATTTGATGTAGTCTGTCATTTTTTAATGAGTATAAGAGGATAGTTACTCTAATATCATACTGATGTTACTCGGACATGATGTCCGTGTAACATAGGTAACTGGAGGTGTTGAGGTGAATATAGACCATAAATCTTGCAGGTTTCCTTTCAATTGTGTTATCATCTCATTAAATATGTTTCATGCATCAATTAATTGGCACATTTCATGGAATGTAGCCAAGATTTTCTATGCAAGAGAAAAGATTGCCCTTTAGAAAAAAACATGATCTGAAGATTGCTAGTTCCTCATTTGTTTCATGTTTATAAATTGATATAATGTTGCTGTGTTCAAGTTTTAAGTATTCTAAACTATTGCTCCCATCATCTAAATGTTTTCCACACACAAAAAAGTGGAGTACAGACTGTGACAAAGTTTCAGATCAGAAAATAAATGAGCAAGTAAAAAAAGATGTCCTTGTAACGTTGGTTTTTTGGTGTGTCTGTTTTTTCATTTTAAATGAAAGTGTACGAAGGAATACACACAATTCCAGTGGAATCTATTGAAGAATGAGTGTTAAAAACAGGATATAACAATAAACAAATTATTCAACAACTCTGAATTTTGAACCTTCATGTCACAATTTATGACCCAACCCGATGGAATGACCCATAACTGGAACAATAACGCACAAGGCCTATTGGTCGCAGTGGCGGATCCAGGGGGGGGGGGGGGGGGGGGTGGAAGGGATGGCTCAGGGGGCACGTGCCCCCCCCCCCCCCGGCCAAAAAAATATGTTAAAATTATCCCTAAATTCGCCCAAAATGTACTGAAAAACAGGGACGTGCCCCCCGGCCAAAACAAAAAATTATTAAAAACTTTATTAAAAATAAATAAATAATAAAATAAAAAATATGGCAATGGCTGACATAAAAAGACCTTACTCCCCCCCCCCCCCCAACGGAGCAAATTTAAAAATTTAAAAATTTCGTGACCAAAAAACTATTTTTTTGGCCGTCGGAAATTTGAAAAATTGCCCCCCCCCCCTGGATCCGCCACTGAGCAACACAGTCATGCAAGTGATTATCGGGGGTCATTGTGCTTACTGATGTACTTCACAGATCCCCTGTCTATTTAGTCTAGATGGAACAATTGCTTAATCTGGTCTAAATTAAACAAGCAGGTCACGGTCAACCGAGGACAGATCATAACCATGCATTGACTGCCGATTATATGGTGTGTCTTCTAAACTTTGACGGAATAACATCATGCATAATCTAATAGCTCCTTTGATTAAGAGCGTGACAGTGGCTCGCAAACAAACTAAGAGGTTAATATAACCGCCTTACTTGACCTTGTTTAATAACAATAAGGCTACATGAAGATAAGCAGCTTCTCGCCCACTCCTCCTTTTTTCATTCCAACTTCTTTCTTTGTTATTTGAAATTTTTGTTCTGAAATTAATTCAACAACAATCTCAGGATAAATAGACAATGGGGGTACTAGTCAAAATATCATGACAAAAAAAAATAATTTCACCTTGTTTTAACCTTTGCAGTGCAGGTACAAATAACGTTTTAATTGAAGTTGTCCCAATAAAATGTTTATGTACAGAACAAAACATCGAATATCAAATAACATTAAATTCCCTCCTCCTCATTTTCAAAAAATCTGGACGAGAAACTGTTGTAACTGATATATATAATATCTTGGCAAGTGAGTAAGTACTCGATAAATATTTAGAAAGTGCTATTGATCTAAGCCATTATATTAATTAATCGTCACTATATTCATGTTTGTGTACAATACGTGAATGCACTGTACATACATTCAACTGTAAACGTAGCTAATGTAGATACCAATAAGTCATTTAGCCTCCTTGGGTAAACAAAAACCAGAGTAATAAGTAATGATATGAACAAGATAGCTGTATAGATAGGGTCGGGAGTCACAGTCGGGAAACAAATAGTATAGTAAATTTGTGCATTACACGTACGAATTCAATAATAACAATTTAATATGTTTTTTGAAGCTGTCACAGTTTTTAAGCTGTTAGAGATACAGATCAATGTTGCTCCAGTAGTTTGGTTTTGTGTATGAAATTGTTTTTTGGGCGAAAACTGTCCTGGTTAGAGAAAGATGATAGTTTGCACTTCGTGTTTTGGTATGTGTGTATAGCGTCATTTTGTGTAAGGAGTTCAATTATAGTTGATGGGAGTTCTTGGCGAGACATACTGAAAAATGAATAGGTATAAATCTCTAATTTTAAAACTTTGTCTTCCGAAAGTAAAGGGTGTTAGGTAAAATGTTAGGTCCATGGTTGAAATTAAGAATTCGGGTAGTGCAGGAAAGTGACGCAGAGCAATTGTCGAATAGTGTCGTATAAGTTTATAACCAAACCGGGAGAGACTGCGACAATAATCCAACATACTAATGAACATTACCTGCGGTTGTTACTCCTACTTCAAACTCTTCCTGCATGGCTATAGTAACGACCCCGAAAGAATAGAGAAGACCAACTCCCAAGAGCTGGATCAGAAATGTTGGTATGGTAACGATCCATCCCCATCGTCTACGACGGAAAGAGAAACATCGAGGACCGTGTTCGTCATCGTCCATGGTCTTTATAACGCGCTGTCCTACAGTCAGTGTGACAGCTAGCTAGCTTAATGAAGTCCAGAATCTGTCTGGTTCTTCATATTATATTTCCTACAATGATTCAAGCCGCCGAAGATGGCGTTATCAACAAACCCATTATACGCGCGGCGTCTTTTTTTCTTCCCGTAACACTACTACGCCGGCGGGCGTCCTAATTTCATGATCACGCCATATTCGGCTGGTAGCAAGTAAGAAGGGGAGGTAGCGTTAGTGTGGTGGAGATCAAAATTAGATAGGCCAGATTCTAGACTAGGGGTAAGGTGGAACACGATAGATGATCGAGCTAGGTTAGCAGTATATCCAGACTTTAAAAAAGGGGGTTGGGTGACTTGGGTCACATATCCTAAGCATATTTGACAAATCTCCCGCCCCCCAAAAAAAAATAAAAGGGAAAGAAATAACAGAAGGAATTGGAGAAAAAGAAAAGATAAAAGTGAAGTTTCTAAAGGAGGTACATTTTTTCTCTTGTGTGCTTGATGTTTAGATCAATGCATTGATGTGAAAGGGGAAACAGGCTGGTTGTGACCCGCCCCCCTGAATCCACTAGTGGTTGGCAGTAATCTGCCCCCTTTGACCAAAGGTTTCTTGACTTACCACTGGAACGATAGCTGATTAGCATCTGTTAGCTGTTATTTACATTTCAGCGGTTGTATTTTATTCAGAGTACAATTAAGTTCACAATAAAAATACATGTAAATACGAGTATATTCGGGTCTTTTATTTAAACATATTTGTGGCTTACACCCAGTAAATAAGATCGATTGATCGATCTGTATTGAAAAACAAGTCAGAAAAAAATCTTGGAACCAGCGGGATTTGAACCTGCATCTACTGCTTGCCGGGCAGCGACTCTTCCACCAGGCCATCACTGGTCCATGGCACGGTCACGATGAACTAGAACCAGGCACGTACACGGGGGGGGGGGGGGGGGGGGGTAAACCCCCCCTTTGGTATTTTTTTCTTGGGTATAGTGTCCTCTTACCCCCCTGCTTATTTAGCGGCTGGCTGAGTCGTTTTTTTTCGGCCAGATTTAAAAATGTTAACCCCCCCCTGAAAAAATCCTGTGTACGCGCCCGACTAGAACAAATACCTAAGCTTTCCTGATTCATTCCAGTGATGGCCTGGTGGTAAAGTCGCTGCCGGCAAGCAGTAGATGCAGGTTCAAATCCCGCTGGTTCCATGATTTTTTCTGACTTATTTTTCAATACAGATCGATCAATCGATCTTATTTACTGGGTGTAAGCCACAAATATGTTTAAATAATTGAAATTTCTCCCAGGAACCATTACATTTATAAACATTGGGTCTTTGTACTCACTTTTTATGGTGGCCATGAAGGGACATCGCGACTCTTTGTTGTAAAATTCACGACGTAATGTGCGACGTCGCGTATTTCGTCGCGGATGTTATCGTAAATTTATTTTTTTAAAGTTTTGTCAAGATCGCCTTTTAGCGAAAATCATCCAACGACGATGGAAAACGCCATAAAAACCACCGCCACCAGCAACAACAACAACAGCCTTGCTTCAAGTTTGGGCTTGAGGAGCCAATGTGTGTCAGGCCATAATTATGCGTGTGCTTACTTGATCTTAAATCCTTTTAAAAGATGAAGTTTGCCTCGTACTTAATCGTTTTATTCTTCAAAGCTATTTTAACTCATGTTTTGAATTTAATCCTGTTACAGATGATGATGTTAAAAAGATTATCTCAGGATGAATAATAATGAAAAGCATATAGGTGTTGATAATATTTCTATGATTATGTTGAAAATAGCAATTCCTACTATTTTACCATCACTGACACTCATATTTAATAGATCATTATCTGAACACGTGTTTCCCACTAGATGGAAGAGATCTAAGATAGTATCTGTTCATAAATCGAGTGATAAACATCACCAAATAAATACAGACCGATATCTATTCTACCTTCCATATCCGATATCCTCAAATACAGTTAGCTGATTATTTGAGATGCAATAGTTTGTCCGAAGCTCAATCGGGTTTTAGAAAAAATTATTCGACCATTACCCCCCTGGTAAAAGTTACCGATGATTGGCTGACTGGTCTGTACACTGACGCGATCTTTATAGACTTGAAAGGCGTTTGAAACCCGGCCCCCCACTCCTAAAACGGACGGACCCCATGCGTGTTGCCAAAATGTCCTTTTCGTAACAAAAGAAAAATGTCGACCCGTATTGACTTTACACACCGGACTTTTGCTGAAAGGGGGGGGGGGGGGGTGCTGAAAAAGGCTCGTATACAAAAGAAAAAGGTCGAGCCGTATTGACTTTACACACCGGACTTTTGCTGAAAAGGGGGGGGGGGGGGGGTCGGTTGGAACACGCATATGCGTACCCTAAATAACACTGAGTGGGGGGGGGGGGCGGGGTTTGAAACCATTGATCCTGATATTCTTTTGAACAAGCTATCTATGATTGGTGTATCGTCTGATCAAGGAGACTTAAGAGCTGGAGATTCAACTGGCAACAAATTATTCCAAGCAGCTGCCGTTTTCTATGGTTGCTCAATAGAATCTACTGGTGTGCCAGGTGTGCTGTTACCGTTGATGTCCGAGGTTCGAAGTCGCCAATATCGTTGAAAAGCTTGAGTTGTGATTTTTGTCTTCACAGTCCTGTTGGTTTGCAGTCCTGTATACATCTAATATTTTGATATGTAAACTTCCGAATTTGCTTCATAGATTTTTAAATATTTTTTGAAATATTTGTTTTACAAACTTGCTATAAGCTCCACCCCAAAAACTTCAAGATCTCATTCCCCTTGTGACATCAATGAGCTAACTTGAGAAAGTGGCATGTAACTTTGCCAAAGTTGACCACCTATTACAATACCACAAACAATAGCAACATATAAGTTGCTATGTCAGACATGTCAGACTAAACTAATATTCTAGAATAGACAATGGTATGGAATTCCCCCCAGCGTAGCACACGTTCATAATATAATTGCATGCTTCCATACATATGTACAATACATCATCATTGCCTTTGTCTTCCTGGTGATACTACAGCATGTCTGACATAGCAACTTATATGTTGCTATTTTATTACGTATTGTAACAGGTGGTCGACTTCGGCAAAGTCAAAAAATATTTAAAAATCTATGAAACAAATTCAGAAGTTTACATATCAAAATATAAGATGTATGCAGGACTGCACACCAACAGGAATACACTTGTATTTCGATGCCATCGGCCTTTTAATATTTCACTTTTGTTTTGAACTAACAAGGGGAAATCGAACAGATGATAAAAGATGAATACAAAAGCCTAATTGTGTCAAGAAATTTGCTTACATTGTATGATAGCAGCTGTAGTTTATGAAAAATAGTAAAATTTTACAGTCCTAAAACCTGCAATTTAACACTTTACCGACTACTTCCGGCTCACGAAAATAAAAAGTGAATTTGTTCATGTATAGTTGTTTATGATGTTATATGTCAGATTAGTGCCCAAACATGCCCAGTCGAGTAATTTTGATTAATATTTCAGGAAATTTTGCTCCATTTCCTTTCCCTTGCCTCCTGTAAAGGTAAGCAGTGTGTATACTGCTCGTATTATCAGACGAGAGTGGTAGCGAAAAGTAATTATCATTACAAAAGCATATTTCCCTTTGAAAGTGGTCCGTTAGTTTGCAGCTAGGCAGGAATCTTTTGTCTACGTATCTGCAAGTAAGATCCAGTTAAGCACATGCCTGACATATTTCTCCTGGCGGCATCGAAGATGGTACAAAAGGAATGAGCTAGATAGAACTCCATCTCTTAAAACTCTTTGATTTGATTGTTTATCATGGTGTGCTAGTTACTTAAAAGGTCGTCGTATATATACCCTATTTAACTCATCTACATCATAGTCGAATATACAGTGCGCCCCAGAAGAAACGAAACCGAGATTTATCGATGTTTTATCATAACTTAATCACAATTGTAATTGATAAATGATACATATTTGTCAAGCTTAGATCCTCCTTTTTCCTTTGATGCAACTCATATAATGCATATTTCACGCATGAGTGATTAAAATGAATTGAAGAGAAGAAACCAAAAAGTCATTTGGCGGACGGTATTTGAATTTCAAAGAGAAAAATCACATTTCTAGAAAGTTGAGTTTCTGCCCTTTCATATGACACCTCAGTCAGAAAAAAATAAGCTAGGAATAACAAAGTTCTGTTTGTTTAAAGTAGTGATTGCATTTCCATAATTTCATTAAACGAATTCGTTTTCATTGGCTGCCTGGCCTAGCAACAAACGGAATTAACAAAATAAACTCCGTTTTGTTGACAATCAGCCATGCATGAAGTCTTTCGTCTACGGCTGATTGTCAACGAAACGGAGTTAAGTCTTTTGTTAATTCCGTTTGTTGCTAGGGCAGACAGCCAATGAAAACGAATTCGTTTGATAAAATTATGGAAATGCAAGCACTACTTTAAACAAACAGAACTTTGTCACTCCTTGCTCATTTTTTCTGATTGTTGGCAAAACCCAGAACAGTATATTGTAAACGTACGTTCTCTTACTAGAGGTGCTATTCAATTCAATAATCTCCCCGCAAACCTAAAACTCCCATGTAGTCTTAAAGTATTTAAAAAAAGGCAATTTGCCTTCGTCCCTGATCTCATGTAAGCTGTTACTTGGATTTAGGATATATTTTTTCAGGATAATTGTTTGTTTAGTCAGTCTTGTTCCTCACTACACAATTTATAGTTAATATCATAACAATCATCTTGGAGCCCATGGAAGACTGTCAGTCTTGTCTCTATGGCTTGACTGAAATGGGTGTCCTTCCGACTTCATTATTGTCTCCTTCTTGTCTCTTTTACATGGTATATTATGTTTGTTTTATATGCCTATTTACATTATGTTGTAAATGTTCTGAATATATATCATGTTTTAATTGTAAATTCGGAGAATAAATAAATCAAATCAAAATCCAAATCAAGGTATCTAGGCTTTCACAGCTACACCTTGTTTCAATCATTCTAGGATAACTTGTCTCATGATATCTAAGTTCTCTCTGCTCACATGTCCACTGCGCTATTTCACATGCACACGTAAGGGGCATAAAGTGTTTATCTCGAATGGCGAATGAAAACATAAAGTTCAAGAAGAACACATATGATGACAAGTATCAAAGAAATTGACAGCGGAATTTCATTAAAAAAAAAAAAATCCGATATAAACTTTGATGAGGTTACCTTAAACACGGGATGCGAATGAAGTCAAGATTGTAATCATCATAACGAAGAGAATATCATACATTGTGCTTGTAGTAAGCATTTCCCTGAGTTTGAGTTGATATTAACACCTTTTTTTTCAAGTGCCTAATAGTCAATGTAAATAAATGAACAATTTTTTTTGGATTGAGATAACAAACAGATAATGGCTTTTGACCCACATTTATTGCCCAAACTTGGTGCAAGAGGATTTTGACAATACTTTTTGAAAAGCCTGCTGTTCAGTCATCCTTGGCAGCAAAATTATAAAAATGGTATCATTAGAAAGGCTATTAGTTCTCCTCCTTTAAAATGAAGTATGGTTCAATGTCCCGTAAGTTATAACTCTTTAATTGGAAGCTACCAAAGTTGAGTTCACTTTTTTGGGTAAGCACTGTCCATATTCTATACGAAAACATGTTCAAAATACGACAAAATCGTATGAGTACAGTAGAAAAATACGATAATCAATCATCAACGTCATATTTATGTTTAACGCTTTCCCTTACATTTTTCTAAAGTTTATTGATTTACATCAAAGTTTTGTTTAAATATTCACTATTCATTTTATATTCGATGCTCACTTTAATGACGCTTATTCGTTTACTTAAAAAAAAATCAAATATTCCTTGTTCTTTCCCTCAACTTTATTAAACTTTCAATATTGTATAACCCTCTGGATCCTACAACTAACAATCTCAAGTTTGCTCTTCCCTAAGACTGCTTAATGTCCTCATTTCCAATTTCCTTAATTTACAAGTAACCACAAGCAGACCAAAATTGATTAATTTCAAGATACAATCATTTCCCTCTTCCGTCTGCTCATATAGTGTTTTTGAGAGGAACTGTAGTGGTGCCATTTCCAACTAGATTCTAACACAAACTCGCGTTTAAGTTCTAAGGCCTACCTTTCTCTGTATGATATGGAAGCTGTATATATATAAATTTGCGCACCATGTAACATTTTAGTATGGCTTAGAATTGCGACGTAGCGATGTGACATTGCTACCATGGTATTCCTCAATTTAGGAACAGGATCACTTTTCTAATTTTTACCCTCACTATAAGCAACTTCTCTATAAGATCATTGTTAATTTATCATCGTCATCTTTATCACATGGTCACACCAATGACCAGGGGCTTACTTCGAATCATCTGGCTATCGCGTCTGGTCAGGTGGTCGCGTTACACGACCTTTCATGAAACGAAAACGGAACGTGACGCGACCTGCCGTAGATTTGACGTAGGGATTTCGCATTCTCGGACCAGACCATTCGTAGATAAGAGTGGTTTATTTCAAGAACATTACCCCCGAAATTTCGAGAATAAAGGGGCATGTTTCATAGAAGGTCGGGTAACGCACTATCCGACTCGACGCGATGATCTGATGATTTGAAGTAATCACGGGCGTATTGATGGGGGTGGGGGGGGGGGGGGGGGGCAGTTACCCCCAAATAAAATTCAAAGTCGTGGTTTATTTCTAATTCAATACCAGTATTGTCCGGGATGTTTTCACTTTTTTTTGTAAATTATACTTTTTTATGCGTTTGTTTGAAAAACTACAAATTCCCAAATTCAAAGTCAGGCAAAAAATATACTTATTCAGAAGCCTACATGTCAGGGCCCGCGAAACGTTGGGGCTCAGGTGGCTCATGCCCCCCTCAATTTTTGAAAAAATTATGTTAAAGAGAAATAGAAAGAAATAGAATAGTGACCTGCCAGTGTCACAAATGGGGTATCAACTTAATTATGCTCGTCTGACCATATTTAAAAGCCTAATACAAATGAGCTTCAGGGGCTCTGGCCCCTGGATCCCTCTAAGGGCCCTAAGGTTGCCCCTGGATGCTTATCCGTAGTTTAAGGCCTTAAACCCTTGAGGTTTTGGGGGCTCCGACCTGCCAGTGTCACAAATAAGGTATACAAATAATTATGCTCATCTGACCGAAATCAAATGCTTAAAACCCCTGAGCTTCCGGAGGCTCAATCCTCCCCTTGACGACAGTCGGGGCTTTTCTCCTGGACCCACGCCAATTTACGCTCCACCCGCTTCACTCGCTACGCTCTACCTGATTGTAAATCCTTTAGCCCCCCCCCCCCCACTTTAAAAAAAGTTCCGCGGGGCCTTTATGTAACATGTAAGAGTGGTGGCTATGCGGGTTGTTGTTCTGCCCCCCTCAACGTTTTTGCACATTGCGCCACTGGAAGTATTAAGCTATGGCCAGGGCATGTTTAAACCAAACCCTGGTAAATAAAACTAAAGTCACCGATATCAAATTGAAAAACGTGTTAAATGTATTCAAAGGGCTGTCGGCGAACTTCTACTTAAAGCCCCACTATACTACTTACATGTATAGCTACTTGCGCCCTCTAAATAGCAATTAATGCCTAATCCGTTGGTTCCCCATGATCCCCTTTTTCTTACGTTTATTGAGAGCTGATTTGGTGAGATAACCACCTGTCAGTGACCTTACAGGGAGGTCTAATCCCCCTGGTCAAACTCCAGCTTGTCAATTTGGAATCGACTTGGAGTTGGTTTGGAGGTGTGACTTGGTTATTACAATGTACAATGTTGCCAATAAAGTTGGAATAAATTTTCTTGCCTCTTTTCATGAAGTGATAGTGAGTATAATCGTTTATCCTGAACTTTATTGAACAAGCTCTTTGACTCTTGGATTGATCAATACAGTTGTGAGAAGATATAAACTTTATCTATTAAGAACAAACTATATTGGCACAATCATGTCCTGAACAAAAAAAACTATAGCAAATTTATTGGGAGCAGCTAGTGTACACCTCAACAAGGATGTCACCATATATACTTGTGAAATGGTCATATTTTTCAGGGCTCCATCAAAAAAATTGCTCCTCCCCCCCCGCTTATTCAGCGGCTGGCTGATTCGTTTTCGGCCCGATTTAAAAATGTTAGCCCCCCCCCCCCTTAAAAAAATCCTGCGTACGTTACTGGCGTGTATCATTAGGGACTTTTAGATTCTGCACGACGAGAACGCGGACAGCCCTTTTAAGGCAATGTGACGTCACTGCCAGTGCCTTAAAAGGACGTCACATTACCTTAAAAGGGCAGTCCACGTTCTCGTTGTGCAGAATCTAAAAGTCCGTATTCATTTACGCCGTGATGCATTAATTAGTCGCATTTCCTGATGTTTTGTAGTTTATAATTTATTGTACTCAACTTATTGTATATACAATTCTTTTATCAAGTTGGTGTTAATTTGCAGACTTAAAGAGAAGGTTGAGTTCTGGGAAGAGGTGACAAATAATTTGTGAACTTTATCATTCTTATTATGCAAGTGTGGAAGAACATCAGATAAGACATGTTCCCTGAAAAGCATGGCTCTTCAAATGCCTTCATATTCTAAATATGTCATGTAAATCGTAAAACTCGGGGGGTAGGTTTTTTACGCCACGTGTTCGTGTAGTCCCATATACATCTTTCTGTGTACAGTGTTTGTAACTTTACCAAGACTTGGCCAAATTTCTTATCATTTTGATGATTCCAGAACCTTGCAATACACACAAATTCTTATATGCTAGATGATCAACCTTTTTTTGGTCGATTCCACACCGTTTCTTTCACAACGCAATCACATTACCAGAACTCAACTTCATCTTTAATGACTACGGATGTACAAAGAATATGTGTCTTAGAGTGCATTCAAGCGGCTATTAGAACCACTGTTTTCAAAGACGTTTGGTTTAAAGATACTATGTCCCTTTTGCAGCCAACATTAAATTCTGTAGAACTTTGCAGGATTCATGTATGTCCTATCTGTGAAATTAAACCGTCAGCATTGTCCTAATATTCAAATTATGCAAAGAAACCCGTTTACTTGCTAGACTTCACTATCAGACACTATTGAGTGACTGACTGTTTTTTTCTTCTTCTTTGGTAAAAACATACATAACATTTTGTCTACATCAATAACCCGCTTCTTGTAATGGCCGCCAAAAAAGGATTGAATCTTTGCGCAGCACAAAACGTACGACCATTCGGTACAATGGTCTGAAAATCAGACTATTACTTACTGACTTGGTAGCACTTAAGTCGATTCGACAACTTATAGTCGTTATACAGTAGGCTTGCGGGTGCACCATGTGTGAGAGATAGAGAGAGGATTGAGGAGTCCTGAAAATTAAAGGACTCTGACTCGGTAATCTTTCTTGGGGGTGTGTAGTCCTGGAAAGGACTGTTTGTTATCTTTCTTAGCTTATAGTTTTAAGAACTATAGCGCTTGGAGAGGATGAGTGGCTCGACGTTTCGAACAGATTGACTATCCGTTGTTATTTTCCCACTTAGAGACATTTTCAAGCCCCCCTTTTTTTAGCCGTTCGAATTTAACCTTTTCATTTTTTGGCCTGCAAATGGGACATAGTACCTTTAAAACATGGTTTTCATAGCTTCAAAAAATCGCTTGAACGCACCCTAATAAAACCGACCTTCCTTCAAAGCGAATTATAGCCATCAATACGTAATCCTGTTTACTTCGGGTCTTTTGTGACTGCATGTGTGAGTTTGCCTGTGTGGGCGTGTGTGTGTGAATGTGAATTGTTTGTTTTTATAGTGTATCAATCATAATTATTGCATAGTATCATTTACATTTATCAGGTACAACGTGACCCAGGCTTGAACCGGACAGGTTCCGTCTGAACATGATCTGCAGTCATTTTGTAATGTAACAGAGATCGACGCGCGTATCTCGTATCTCCATATAAACATTTCTATCGACAATGGCAATGTCGACAATAAAAGAGATTACGGACAATAACCTGTCCTTTGTGCCGTGTTTACAATATAACGGCATGAAGCAATTCATTGGCGTTCAGTCTATACATAGAATGGCATCACATAGTAGTGGTCGTGCAGCTAATGGTGAGTTCAGAACATTGTGAGGTTGTAATTTCTTGTAATGGGCGAATACATCAGTTAGCGTGGAGTTAATATCCAGCATTGTATTTATCTCTGACAACATGAATTCCAAAGGATAGCATTACATTACAGTTTGGAGGCAGTAGGCCTACGAAAGTTGTTATATATCCAGTCGAGTGTGTCATTATGATCGAAAATTCTTCTACCATGGGATATGTTTGACGTTACATAAGTTATACTGTAGGATCTCGCCCTAGCTACTAGGTTTGAAACGCCAATATGAACATTATAAATGGCTTAAGAATATAAATGACAACGAACCTTGTATAAAGCCTAAGGGAGTTCTTGGTGAAGTGGGACACAATCTTGATTTTAGGCTTTATACGATCTACGTGTAACTCTGTAAATATTTATTGCATATATGATAGTGGGTGAAATAGCACAAAGTTTCCCGGTTCACCTCAACATTTACAAAAAAATCCCCACCCCCCAATACTAAAGATTACAGAAAATGTGGGGATTGTGCCAGGGGGTCTCAGTCAAATATAAATACTGTAAGCATGCGTGACCAGGAAAACACGTATAAAGGGTGTTTTTTTTTATAGATTGGACGCGGTCCGCGCGGTTTAAAAACGTCTATTTCGGGCCATTTTCAAGAAAAAGGGAACTTTTTCAAAATGGTTCAAAATCCTGCTGTACGCGCTGGTATTAGCGCTCAGCGGTATTTTTCTAGTCTCAGGGCCAGACCCGGGCCGGTGGAAAATAAGGGGTAATAATGTCCATTGGTGAGACTACCGGCCGCCGTCTGTGCCTGCCGGTCTTTAGATCTTCAGTAGATCAAGATTGATGCCCGTGATGCAAACCCAGACCTACCAAGTCTCACGCCTATAGCTGGTCCCTTATATTTTGTTTTGCATGGTAGCATTATAGTAAATGTTCATCGTAAATTGTGTAGTTTTTGTAAACACTACATGTACTTTACATAAAATAGATCAAATTTAAAATGATTTTTTTTCTTCTTCAAAGAAAGGACTTATAATAGTTGTGCATTAAACCCATTTGGAAGTGTATAGGTTGATGTTATTGCTTCTCTATTGAAAAAAAATGTTTATACATTGTGAATTTTTCATCATAAGCGCATTTTGATTTATTTCAAGTTCAAGTTCAGTTTATTACATAGTCAACAACTTGAATGGTAATCCCTTCCAGGCTTCAAAATGCTCAAGGGGTTTCAATTTTACAATACTTGTTTAGGAGTACACTTTAAACACCAAAAACCGTTTAGGATGTGAATCCGGGAAAAACCACGCGAAAAACATCATTTAGGGTGTGCTTTGGCTTCCAATTAAGAAGAAATCCTCGTTTATGGGGGTGACTGGGAAACCTGTGGTCATGCACGCATGCATACAGTAGGGCGCTTTAGTAACGAGACGGAAGGCAAAGAGGACCGCATAATTCACTCAACCGAGATCAAATTATGTATGCAGTTCGGATTCTGTCTATTGAAATACTATTATTCTTATCAGGCGAATGAAATAATTTGTATTGAGGCACTTCACAAAGACTTTAGGGAGTTTAGGGAACGAACGCTTTTGTGGCTGAGAACGGTCGTGAAAATCAACAAGACGGAGAAAATTCTGGTTCGCACATGCACAGATTTATTTTCGTAATGTAACCAAATTTCTTTGTGAAGTGCCTCAATACAAATGATTTCATTCACCTGATAAGAATAATAGTATTTCAATAGACAGAATCCGAACTGCATACATTATTTGATCTCGGTTGAGAGAATTCTCCAGTCCTCTTTGCCTTCCGCGCCCTAGTATTTCTACTTGACTGAGACCCCCGGGGGATTGGGTGACACGCACAGACACACATCCCTCCAGCGATGCCACCATGATCATCTGATTATGCCTTTGTTTAGTATTCTTTAGTATGTCATTTTTGATGGGGTGTTCGTGTCTCGATCACTCACCACACGATGAGGATGATGACGATAATTATAGTAATAAGGTTAAGAATTATGCTAATAATAATAATGATAATTACAATCATAATCATAATAATAATAATAATAATAATAATAATAATAATAATAATATAATAATAATAATAATAATAATAATAATAATAATAACAATAATAATAATAATATTATTGACAAATGACAATAATGATAATAATAATGTTAACAATAATGATAATGACAAAACACTTTTCTATAGACGCCATTGTGATTTTCCCCTTGCAGCCATCAGCCAAAATATAATCCTAGAGAGCTAGGACAATATGGAATACTGTTTTAAAAACACATTTTTGTAATTCTTTAGATCTGTACAACTGTCCTGCAGTGAGAAAACCCACCCTAGCCCAGGTGAAAGATATCGCAAAAGATCTTGGCTTCCAATACGAAGATGATGATATTCAGGTATGACCAACTGCTTATTCACAAGAAGAACCGATACAAGCTACTTGGGTACAGAGCCACCTTTATACAGAATTTGGCCAACTTGGTTTCAGTTGGTCACAACATGGTGTATATTCTTTTGTTTTGTGCCTGTCCAACAAAGCAGTATACACCACATATACCAACTAGAACCGGGTCGGCAAAACCTTTTATATTGATGGGTCGGCTTGGGCAGTGAAACGTGTGCCTACATAGTGGAACAAAAGAAAAGAGAGAGAGAGAGAGAGAGAGAGAGAGAGAGAGGGAGGGAGAGAGAGGGTGTGGAAATGGGAAGGCGGAGTGAACCTAAACTTTCCACTCTCCCTAAATATTCATTCACTGAGTAAACCTTGTGCAGACCATGGCCCTGGGAAGCGGGGGTGCTGGGGGTGCTGCAGCACCCCCGGAATTTTTTCAGGGGGGCACATATATATATATATATATATATCGAAAAAATCGTTCCCAGGGACCTGCAGCACCTTCGGTGACAAAATCGTTCCCAGAGCCCTGGTGCAGCCCCCTCCCTCGTGACACCGATACCCCAGCAAAAGCGTGACTCACACTACGATATTTTATTACGAATACAAGGTTACACATGATCATTCGGTGATATAACACAGTGGACATAAAGAGACTGGTATAGTTCACACTCATGTATTTTTAAAAAATACACCCCAAAAAATGATGAGAAAAAAAACCAGCAACATACAACAGGAAACAATACCACACAGAACAAAACGAATGAATAAAAGTCATAGGCTACCGATATTTTAGATCTTAATTTTTGCAGGCAATGGAAATAAGATTGTTAACTGTTTGAAGAATATCATCCTTATTGCACATTAACTATTGCTGCCGCGTTGTGTCAATATTACCAGTTTTTGTTTGCTTTTTTTCTGGAATCTTTCAGAAATACAAAGCGATTATCGGAGAAAGCATTGACAGCATAAACAGTGTAGAGCATCTGGTTGAACCGAGACTGCCTACCAGATATCCAAGACTTCCAGGGTACAGACCAAAACAACAGGACAATCCTTATAATGCATGGTATGTACACATAATGTAGTAGCTAAAAAAAGGAGGGGCGGGGGGGGGGGGGGTTTACTGTACAGAATTAGTTTTTGCCGCAAGGGCACATACCCTTTACCCTTGGCACGAAAAGGGGACACATTTGGTTTTGCGGAGGGAGGTGGTGGTGGTGGGGGGGGGGGGGGGGGGTCATGTGCCACATATGCTCCTAGATCCACCAATGGGGCTGTGATGTGTAGGGTAGGGGGGTTTCGAGTCCCCATCGCTCTCATAAGGTCTACACATTCACTATGTAAGAGGTGAAGCTGATCTGGCGACATTTCTTATTTACCGAATGAACAAGTGCACGAAAACAAAAGTCGAAGAACTAAGATTAGAACTCGTAATCGTATTGTACAAAAACCGTTCAACCAGCGGTATTTTCATAAATCTACAAGACTAATTACTTTTTAGCATAGACTTTATTCATTTTTTGGGGGGAGGGTCGAGTAGATTTCAGTCCAAAGTGTTTTATGATAACGAATATTTTTAAAACAAACACCGACTGAAAGTTTGGTTGTAAAATGTGATCTTCATATTTGAAGATAATGTTTGAAACGAATGATGTCAGATGTTGCATACATTTCCTTTCCAATTGTAATCGGTATAATTCCCTTTGCCCCCTTTCCCGACCCTATATACATGATCTCAAGAAATGGAGATGCGAGGGAGCCAGTTGAGGTAAATTGTTAGGGACACGAATCTTTTCTTAGGTCCATGATATAACCGTGGTAGTCGGCATTTCGTACGCAGGCGTTATACTGAAGAACCGATTTACTTTATTATTCCTTCTGTCTGCCCCGTAAGATCAGGTACTGGAGGTGCGAGATCCAGGGAGCCAGCGGTGGTAAATTGGCGGGAAAACGAGTCGCAATCAAGGACAATGCAGCAGTAGCAGGGGTTCCTATGATGAATGGATGCCACGCTCTGGAAGGATTCACACCCGACTTTGATGCAACGGTCGTAACCAGAATACTAGACGAAGGTTGGTGTTCAAACAAGTTACCTCTGTCACATCGAAAAACCAAGTCCACTGATCCCACGCCGACTCTAAGGCTGCCCGATTCTAAACTGGTCATTCTAAACTACATAGCCATTTGCTTGTTCGGACTGTTGTCATCCTGGTGTCGGTCTGATTAACCTGTTAAGATAGAAACATCTTAATTGTAGAATTTTGTTAAAAGAATCTACTTCAAAAGCAAAAACATCGTTACTCACGGGGTTATTGTGAAAAGTACTCATAAGTTGGTTCTTGCAGGGAATTCCTTATGAGCATATAATCATTTGGTAGAGAAAAATCTAAAATTACAATGTCTTTTCAAATACCAATTAATACAGAACAAAACACTTTCAAAGAACGCACATTGTAAATGCAAATACAAGAGAAAGGTTTCTTGAATTCGTTCTGCTTGGAACGAGTGTCACTTTCCCTCAAAGAAAAATTCCATCTTAACATTTAGAACATTTGCACCAACAGGAGGGTCTATTGCCGGTAAAACAGTATGTGAAAACTTGTGTTTATCTGGGAGCAGTTATACAGCAGCCAAAGGTCCTGTGATGAACCCTCACGATACTACAAGATCGTCTGGTGGATCCAGCTCGGGCAGTGCTGTGGTGGTACGTCTTCACACCTGCGTCAAACCACCAAACCGATTCCACACCGATTCCACACCGACTCCACAACGACCCATTGACAATGTGGGGTACAGCGATTTGTTGTTCAGACTGTTGTCGGTCTCGTTGTTGTGACTGGGGTATTCTAGAATTTACATGAATTATACCAAAGGCACATCGACTAAACGGACGCCAGACCGACATCAATCCTATTTTTTTTTTTACCTGCAATGGCAGGGAATCAGTCGGTTTGGAATCGATGAGGCGGTGTGGCTGAGGTATTGCAATATTTACTATTAAGTTGTCAGAGGTGAAAAGATGTCTCTTGTCAATCAACTTTCTATTTAGGCCGTATACTTTTTGTGAGCTATAGTGCATATTGTTTACTATATACCTCTCTTATTAAATATGATAGGGTCATGAACTGTTGATGAAGTGTAAGTAAATAATAGTCTCTTACTGTCATTTAGTCAAAATATACTAGATATGAAAATTACAAAAAACAACATTGCTGCCCGAATGTGAGGTGACAGTTTTTGTGGTTTCTCAAATGTTTATAATTAAGAACATTCTTAGGGTCAACATCTTCTAGAGCCCGGCACACCCACATCACATTGGTTAATGATCTTGATCCATCCACTATACTGGCCACACCCACATTACATTGGTTAATGATCTTGATCCATCCACTATACTGGCCACATCCACATCACATTGGTTAATGATCTTGATCCATCCACTATACTGGCCACATCCACATCACATTGGTTAATGATCTTGATCCATCCACTATACTGGCCACACCCACATCACATTGGTTAATGATATTGATCCATCCACTATACTGGCCACACCCACATTACATTGGTTAATGATCTTGATCCATCCACTATACTGGCCACACCCACATTACATTGGTAAATGATCTTGATCCATCCACTATACTGGCCACACCCACATCACATTGGTTAATGATCTTGATCCATCCACTATACTGGCCACACCCACATTACATTGGTAAATGATCTTGATCCATCCACTATACTGGCCACACCCACATCACATTGGTTAATGATCTTGATCCATCCACTATACTGGCCACACCCACATCACATTGGTTAATGATATTGATCCATCCACTATACTGGCCACACCCACATTACATTGGTTAATGATCTTGATCCATCCACTATACTGGCCACACCCACATTACATTGGTAAATGATCTTGATCCATCCACTATACTGGCCACACCCACATTACATTGGTAAATGATCTTGATCCATCCACTATACTTTTTCGTAATAACTGCATGCTCAGCTACCCAGTCTTGTCGAATTACCACTCGTAATCCTTATTTGTCATCATTTCTCTAGAACAGGGGAGTCGCTAGACCTTTTTAGGGGGGGGGGGAGGGGTAGAGGTCACCGATAACCGACAAAACTAGCAACCAATTACCGAACAATATATTAATGCCAACGTGCCAATGTCTCCAAATTTATAAACCCGGAGCCTGGGGCTAATTTCCCTATACCTGCGCAAAGGCGCGTACGCAGGGGGGGGGGGGGGGGTTTGAACCCCCCTTTAACTCTTTGTATGTGTGTGTTTTAGAGGACCCCCCTTTAGTTTCCTTTTTTAATAAAAAATAATAATAATAACAAAAAAAAAAAATTGTGTTAATAGGTGACCCCAAAAAGCAGACCTAACCCCCCCCCCCCACGAAACGAAATATCGATCGGCCAAATTTTTCCCCCGCTTATTCAGCGGCTAGCTGAGTCGTTGCGAAATTTTTGGGACCAAAACAAAATAAAAAATGTGTCCTCTTACCCCATCCCCCCCCCCCCCCGCTTATTCAGCTGCTGGCTGAGTCGTTGCGAAATTTCGGCGTGATTTTCAAATTTTAAAACCCCCCCCCCCTCAAAAAATCCTGCGTACGCGCCTGGCTGCGCATGTACCCATTGTCATTTACCTCGACCTTATAAATATACGGTGTATTTCGTCAAAACTAGTCAGCATCGTGGCTTTATAAAATAAATTTTCTTTGTTTTTTTGTATTTGTGGGGGCGGCCCCGTACCCTAGCCCCCGCTGCGTCCAGTCACGATTCAGTGGCTAAGCAATGGCCCCCTTACTGTTAGGCCCCAGGATCAAAACCATGTCGATGTGCTATATTAGTGCCCTTTTGTGAGGCATTAATTCTCATTAATGTCAGTTATGACTTAAAGACGTAGGTATCCTAGTTGATTAGCATAGTAGCACACACATGATTCAGCAGTCACGCAAAACAATCACTCGCAAATTATTATTCAATAAAATCTGAGAATGTATACTATTATCTAGATCTATTAGGAATAAATAATTGTCAAAATCATTCCATAATTTTGGGATAAAAATAATTATTCCACTATTATGACCAACAGTGTATTAAGGTTGACAATGACATTTGACACTGGTTTTTAATGATTGCTGGTGAAACTTCGGGAAAATACAAGTATTATAGTTGTAGTCTCTCTCGAAGTCGTCACAGCGGATAACAAGTCGCAGTTCGTAAGACTTAAAAAAAAACACTTATTTTCTGTTATATGTTACTATGTAATGCTGTTTTCGATGATGTTCATATTGTTTATATTGCTCAAGTAATTTGTATCTTTCTTGCTCCCTCGACGAGACAACTCTACCCAACCCCCTCCCCTCTCTCTCTTACTCACACCCTCATATCTCATGTATTTTATCTATCTGTAACATAAACTTAATCGTAGAATTGTAAGTTATTGATTCAAGGAGATTCGATTAATTGTAACTTTCTATACTACAGAAACCCGGCATTTTTTTTCAACTTCTTTATTTCTTGTTCAGGTTTTGGCTGGTGACGTTGATATGGCCATCGGAAGTGATCAAGGCGGTTCGATTCGCATGCCTGCAGCATGGACTGGCATTGTTGGTCTAAAACCAACCTATGGGCTTGTCCCTTACACAGGCGTCTGGTCTATAGAGCCTTCTTTTGACCACATTGGCCCAATGGCAAGAACGGTTCATGATTGCGCCCAGCTTCTCGAGGTATGAAGTCTAAATAATCCCTATCCCTTTTATTCGGCTTTTCAGAGCCTTAAAAAAATAAATATATATAAGTCTTCTTCTAATCATTTCTTCTCCTTCTTCTTCATCCTCTTCTTCTCCTTCTTTTTCTTCTTTCTCGTCTTCTTCTTCTTCTTCTCCTCCTTATCCTTCATCCTTCTTCTACTTCTTCTTCTTCTTCTTCTTCTTCTTCTTCTTCTTCTTCTTCTTCTTCCTCTTTGTCCTCTCCTATTATTTGGAGTGCTTCTATTAATAATAGTAAAGTTGTGTACTATAAGTATTCACTTGTATTGGTAAGTCTGATGTCGATAAAATAGAGCTACTCTGTAAAGTGATTCTTTTATTTTGCAATTTAACTTTCAGGTGATTGCTGGATACGACCATGGAAACGATCATAGACAGTGCCAACACATTACAGTACCGGAATATATAAAAGAGGTGAGTAAACGACTACAGCCCACGAGACCGACAGGCAGCCTAAGAGACCGATAATAACCTTCTGAAAAGAACATTGGTCTCTTTGGCATTTTGACAACTTTTTTTTAGGGTTCCGCCAAACCGACAATTCCGGTCCGGCGGACTGTCGCTTTACAGGGATGTCTCGGAGTAAACGCATGCTTTCGGATATACAGAAATGACGAACTGTGGACAAAATAACCTTACATGCTATAGAATTCTTTATTTCCAACTCTAGTCAAGGGGAAAGATTCTATGAAGTGTAATATGTTCATCGTGCTAATTGGTAATTATTTTCCTCCTCCTTTATTTAGCTTGAAGGTTCAAGTGTATCCGGGATTCGTATCGGTCTATTAGAAGAAGGATTGAATAACCCAAAAGCAGATTCAGCAGTCAGTGGTATCGTGGAGAATCTTGTCAACAAGTTATCAATGTTTGGAGCTAGCATAGGGAGAATATCAGTTCCTCTTCATTTGAAAGGTACAGAAATGACTTTCAGTCAGTCAAATGAAATACCGTCTGCCCAAAGTCATTAATGTCTTGTATTTGTGTGCATCGGTTTCATCGCAAATCGATAATCACCAGTCTACATTAAAATTTGAAAGCTCCTTAAAGTCTCTTAAAGGTAATGCAAAATTTGGGAAATTTTGAAAATTGGATTGATAATAATTTTATTAATGTTGATATATTTGGATGCCCCTGTGGATGATAAGCACAATAAAATTTAGCCCCTAAAACACTTCTGCTTTCGAGAAATTGAATAATCAAAAATTTACCGGTGCTCCCGGTAAATTTTAAATATTTTAAATAGCGCCTAAGGCCATTCCATGGTAGCTGCGACCATGACAATCTCAGAATATGCAGTTCGATATATAATTTCCAAACGGAAATAGCAAATCGGTAGATTGTAGTAAAAAAAAACAAAAAAAAACAGTTTTTGTTTGTTTTCAATGATATTTTATTTTCTCCATTGCTTTTCACAAATAATAACAAAATCAATACATAAAATAATCTGCATGTTAATATTATTATATAGAATATGATTTTACATTCACATCTAAATAATACAAATGAACTTTTACTATTTACATCAAATAAAGCATGAAACATGCATGCATGAAGAAGGCATGAACATAAAAAGACATTTAAGAGAAGAAAGAAAAAGAAAAAAAGAAAAAAAAATACTTACATACACACATACACACACGTGCACAGACACCCACACAAACCCCCACATGCCTACATTTTGTGGGAATCTCGACCATTATATCAGCCATGTCCATTTCATTGCTTCTATTCGCCTTCCTTATTTTATTTATTCTGCACGAAGCTATTCTAAATTGTCCCACTTTCTAAAATGATATGTGAGTGTACCTCGGTCCCCAGCTAATTTCTTCTCCTCCTTTCTATTTTCTAATAATCTTTTCTTAATCTCCAAATAAGTTGGTGGTTTTTGTCTATTTTTACTATCTATAAATATCATATATTTTATCAAAATTATGATATGATTTAATAACTGTTCTTTCCCTATGTTAAACTCAACTTTCCCTGTATGGATACCTTTCCAATTTATATTTGTAATTTCTACTAAATTAAATAAATTCCCACACTCTTCCCAAATTGGTTTTACTTTCTCACAAAGACAAAATAAATGCTCGTAAGTTTCCTCATATTTACCACAAAAAGAACATAAATTACTATTAACCATTTTAAATTTATATAAATGTAATTTAGTATATATAATATTATAAAGCATTTTAAATTGAAATTCTCTAAGCTTACTATTCAATGTGCACTTTCTAAGTCTTAAAAATATTAATTGTATATCTTTTTAAAGTAAAATTTTAAAGTAAAAGTAATATCAGTCTTGAGAGGGCGCTATTCAATATAAAGAGTTTATTATTTACAATTTCATCACTTTGGACTCGATTTCAACCGCAACAACGATCATTGAATATTGTAATATCGCTTATGCTTCTAATATGTTCATTTGCACCAAAGTCATGACCCCATAGCAAAACTTTGTAATACCTTAAGACCTTTTGCAAGTCAAACTGTACATGTTCTTTTATCTTTTTGGATAGATAGAAATCAATGTTACATGAAATGGCGCAAAAAAATGTTCTTTTTCGAGGAATTTCGTAATTGGTAAAAATTTGTTACTGGAGATATCACTTCAATTTGTATATGGAACATCGAAATAATGGAGTACAAAAAAAAAACCTAAATTATTGGAAGCACTAATTGTGTGGCCGTGAGAACGATAACATCAGAATTTCATTTTTCTTTATAGCTCCTGGTATATGGAACTGCATTGCAGAAGGGGTTTTTGAAACAACTGTGCGTCATGGAGGTATTATACTTTAAAGAGTTTTTTTTAATTGTCATTAGAGGTTGAGGTTTTAAAGTAATATAATAAATAATCAGCATTGATCTGTGAGTAACCTAGGTATATGGAGGCGTTGTCGTTTAGTGGATAATAATAAATTTAAACAAGGGGGCGGGGGGGGGGGGAGGGGGCACGTGCCCCAGTACCCACCGTACCTATGCCCTTGACACTCGACCCAGGTGAGATAAAGGAGTACATAAGAGAACCAATTACCCAGTATCTTACCAATGCAGCGAGGCAATAAAGCCGGGCTGAGGATAATGATGTTCTTAATAGAGGCTAAATATATAATAGGTGTATGTGCATGTGTGTGTGTGTGTGTGTGTGTAGGGTGGGGGGGGGGGGAGGTGTCAGTCTGAGTAAATGATATGTGGGAGGGGAGGCTCTGGGAGGGGGTATCCAATTCCTAGGGTGGTAACAGTCATCTTATTTTACCTATGTTCTGCATTGGTTTATTCTTTGTGAACTTAAGTTTCATTATGTCATATATCTCGAAGGTGTTGGGAGTGGTCATCCTGGTTTTTATCCTTCTGGATTCATCAACGAGTCTGGGAAAATGTTTAAATCTCGTCCGAACGACATCTCAGATCATATGAAGGTAAAGAAGTTTTAGAAATTAGTGTGCCGCGGCGACGACATTTTGGATTTGTCTACAATCTCAACAACTTGTAATAAACGATTTTAGTGGGCTTTTAAAATCAAATGATGATTTAATTTGTAACAAAGATGATTATATTTTGACATTTGTGAAGAAGCCTATTTGTAAATTAGTCCACCACAAATACTCCGTCTGATAAAACAATTGCCCTTAATCCGTCACCAATCAATCGCAAGTCACTGCACTGAATCAGAGGTTTTCAGATTAATACAATATTTTTTAAGGTTATAAAATGGGACCCTGATTTTCATCAATTTCAATGTTTGCAAAATTTAGGGCCTAATGAATATTCACATTGTAAGAAAGTAATATTAGTCCTTTTCAGGACTCCCCAATCTTCACCACTCTTTCTGACATGGTGCAACCGTAAACCTACTGTATAAAATAATATTAGTTCTCAAGAATGACCGAATGTGGTCCGCTCTCGTGAAAACGTTGTTTAAGCAGGGACCTGGGGCAGGGACATGTACATTTACAATTTACAAGACTCAATGTCGATGAATCCTGCGACCTGCGTACTCTATTTTAAGGTTGGTTGAAGCTTGATTGTCGGTGAATTTATATATTTTCAGCTCGCCCTAATGAAAGCAGAGTATCTGAAGAAGAATTACCATGGCCAAGTGTATGGAAGGGGCCGCAATCTTACTATCCTGCTTCGTGAGGCCTACGAGAAAGCTCTTGAAGAGGTTGACATCATTGCCATGCCTACCATACCTTTCACTGCAACCAAACTGCTGTCAAAGGATGATCCTATTTGTGGTAAATATTGAAATTCACTTCATGAGAATAATAATAAGAAGAAAAAGGACCTCACTCCACCAAAATAATTTTTGGATTATCAAGAAAAATTATTGCGGGATATGACAGATGGGATAGTAAAACAAAACAAAAATAATTTATTCATCGGTTTCAAAATCAAGCGACACATACTTGTGGTTTGCTTGATTCTTTGCAAATAAACGCGTACTCGGGTTAAACTGAATACACTCTTGCAGAAAATGCCTCCTTATTATACTGAAAACACTGGCACTATTACATCTTTAGCCTGCATTATTATTTTATATATAGGAATTTCGAAAAAAATTAATTTGATATTTCTTCAAAATATGCAAATGTAATTTATCTCCATACAACGTAATTATGAAATAATTACTTCAACTTCTTTATTTCATATCATTCATTCACCTAGTTTCATACATGAATTAAAAAACAAAATATTCTTGATTTATGACCAGTTTTGTGTTACCCACTGGTTAAGGTGTAATTGACTAGAATAATCACGTGAATCTGTACTTCCCGATGTAAGAATAACATAAGTCTTTTCCGATCCCACATCCTGTGCCATCATTATTCCTACAGAGTACCACAGACGAGCTTCCGAGGTGAATGTTAACACGCATCCTTTCAACTTGACTGGTCATCCCGCCCTCAGCGTCAATGCAGGCTTTTTAGAAGGCTTACCAGTCGGCCTTATGTTGGTAGGAAGACACAACGATGAGCTCACCATCTTCAAAGTCGCTCAGGCTGTAGAGAAAATCAGGGATGAGACAAACTAGAAACCATATATGGACAGAATTCTAACCTCTTTATCTTATGTTGGTAGGAAGACACAACGATGAGCTCACCATCTTCAAAGTCGCTCAGGCTGTAGAGAAAATCAGGGATGAGACAAACTAGAAACCATATATGAACATAATTCTGACCTCTTTGTCTTATGTTGGTAGGAAGACACAACGATGAGCTCACCATCTTCAAAGTCGCTCAGGCTGTAGAGAAAATCAGGGATGAGACAAACTAGAAACCATATATGAACATAATTCTGACCTCTTTGTCTTATGTTGGTAGGAAGACACAACGATGAGCTCACCATCTTCAAAGTCGCTCAGGCTGTAGAGAAAATCAGGGATGAGACAAACTAGAAACCATATATGAACAGAATTCTGACCTCTTTATCTTATGTTGGTAGGAAGACACAACGATGAGCTCACCATCTTCAAAGTCGCTCAGGCTGTAGAGAAAATCAGGGATGAGACAAACTAGAAACCATATATGAACAGAATTCTGATCTCTTTGTCTTATGTTGGTAGGAAGACACAACGATGAGCTCACCATCTTCAAAGTCGCTCAGGCTGTAGAGAAAATCAGGGATGAGACAAACTAGAAACCATATATGAACAGAATTCTGATCTCTTTGTCTTATGTTGGTAGGAAGACACAACGATGAGCTCACCATCTTCAAAGTCGCTCAGGCTGTAGAGAAAATCAGGGATGAGACAAACTAGAAACCATATATGAACATAATTCTGACCTCTTTGTCTTATGTTGGTAGGAAGACACAACGATGAGCTCACCATCTTCAAAGTCGCTCAGGCTGTAGAGAAAATCAGGGATGAGACGAACTAGAAACCATATATGAACAGAATGCTGACCTCTTTGTCTCATGTTGTTGGTAGGAAAACACTACAATGAGATCAACGTCAGACTCAGGATAACAAAGTATTTAAAGTAATCCTTGCATTTCCATAATTTGATTAAACGAATTCGTTTTCACTGGAAGCCTGCCGTAGCAACAAACAGATTTAACAAAAGACTTAACTCCATTTCGTTGACGATCAGCCATGCATGAAGTCTTTCGTCTTTTTTGAGCATGGCTGATCGCCAACGAAACCGATTTAAATCCGTTTTCAACTCTGGTTGTTGCTACAGCAGGCAGCCAGTGAAAACGAACTCGTTTAATCAAATTGTGGAAATGCAAACTTTACTTGAAACAAACAGAACTTTGTTATTCCTGGCTCATTTTTCCTGATTGAGGTGTAATATGAAAGGGCAGAAAATGACCTTTGTAGAAATGTGATTTTCCCTTTGAAATTCAGATACCGTTCGCCAAATGACCTTTTGGTACCCCCTCTTTAAATTGTTTTGAATCACTCATGCGTGAACTATGCATCAAATGAAAGAGGAGGAACTAAGCTTCACAAATATGTGCTATTCATTAATTAAAAATTGTGATTAAGTTATGATAAAACATCGATAATACTGGGTTTCGTTTTTTCTGGGACGCACTGTATATACACATGTATATATTTTACCACAAAAAGTAATGTATACAGCATATATATATATATATATTTGTTAATAAATAACAACAATTGGAATTGTCAGCATGATGTACTGATCATAAATTGCGTCCTATCTTTTTATCTTGACTACTTTAATGAACCAAACACGTGGACTCTTTATCATGTTTATCGAATATAAATCTGCACATGTAATTTATAGATCTACTTTCAATTATACATTTATTACATGACAATTGTCTAAATTTCATCGAACATCAAAGAGATTTGACAAGCAACATATAGATATATATAAGAGATTCATTGGAGGCGGTGTGGCGATCGTCGTCTGGCTCTCATGAGTTTCGAGTTGGGTTCGAGTCCTGCGCTGAGCAGTCAAAAATGCAACGATGATTGTCCCTGCGTTGTGTGTAAGCGCTCTCTTTAAGAATTTTAGCTGAGTTCTGGTGATGGCAAAAGATACATTATCACAGAATTCAACAAAACTTACACTGAATGTTCAAGATTACAAATAAATGACGTTTGCCGTACACATTTTGTAGAAAATGTATAGTTGCTGAGTAATGAGCATAGAAAGATAAGGAAATCAAGGTAATTAGGCCCGACATCATGTACTTTAATAACTCAGGTCACTAAGTGCAAATGAGAGTTGTGGTTTTTATTGAAGATGATTTCCATCAAGTTTTTGTGATTTTTTATTTTATTTTACTGGTTCAAACAGTCTATCTACTGCAGGGTACGTAAACAGTTGAATACTAGCCATATTCTCTCTGCATACGATTCCGAAACCAGTTCTCTAGATCAGCTTTAACGCAGGCCCGGGTTCAGGGGAAAATACTCCTTAAATCGGACAGAACATTAACTGGAGGGCCCCATGTGGAGCACAGTCACACCCTATGCACGTTAATATGCTACACTTCCGGCAATGAGTGAAGTGTAGGGTGTAAGCCCGATGTTTAGTGTGCCTGCATACACAACTGGTAATCTTCCTACGGATCTTCGTGTTATGCTGCACAGCCCTTTGAACATTAAGAGAAGAAGAAGAAGAAGAAGAAGAAGAAGAAGAAGAAGAAGAAGAAGAAGAAGAAGAAGAAGCAGCAGCAGCAGAAGAACAACAACAACAACAAGAAGAAGAAGAACAACAACAACAAGAAGAAGAAGGAGAAGAAGAAGAAAAAGAAGAGGAAAAAGAAGGAGAAGAAGAAAAAAAGGAAGGAGAAGAAGAAAAAGAAGATGATGAAGAAGGAGAAGACTTGTTACCCTAGTTATGTATTTACATTGTGTAAACTATATGTTACCTGATATTTTACGATTATATACACACGATCTGTTTCGATGAAAACGCTCTTGCATTTCATGCCATCGTAACCACGGTGAAGAATTAAAGGTTAACCTAGTCATTATAATAATAACGAAGAAAATGTAACTTGACTTTGTATTTTACATATACATTTTAACATATGTTTAATCTAAAGTTAATGAAATCAAATTATTTACAACAGATTACAATCGGGAGAGAACATCACTTTAAAACATATACTATTAGTGTATGCTTATTTTCAAATTATTACAACTCGACTATCTCGACGTGACTTAAAGTAGTCACCCGAAGAAAATTCACGATAATTGGTAATCATAGACAGTGACACATAGTATATGGATGGAAAGCTTTTCTCTTGAAAATACGAATAATTTGCTGAAAATCATATAAATATCATGGAAAGGCGTAAAATCCTTTGTGGCTAGCTGTGTCTCGCATGGGCCGTCTCACAAATATTGACGCTCTACGGAGGACCGCGGCTGAAGGCAGAAAATCTGGATAACAAAATTAATATTTTTGAGAGATGATTACTGCAGGCCCCAAACATATTATAAAGATGGAAGCTGTTATATTTGATCAGTAAGGTCTCCTTCGCAATTATATGAATTTTGCATCAATTAAAAACACTTTTGATCCTTCGATCGGGTGACTACTTTAAAGGCCCACTGCACTACTTGTAGCTACTTGCGCCCTCTATATAACAAACAATGCATAATCGGTGACCATTGGTCCCCCATCATCCTCTTTTTCTTATGTTAACTGAGAGCTGAGTTGATGAGATAACCATCTGTCCAGTGACCTTGTAGGGCGCTCTAATCCCTCCTGTAAACTATGGCAGATAAGCTTTAAGAACTAGACGTACTGTGCGTAAAAAGTCAAATTTGACTGAACGCGAAAAATACAACCAACGACGCCATATTATCAAATGCTGTGTCCATCTGCTCTCATGAAACACTTTAGATAATGGAATGCTGTGAGAACGGCTAATTCATGAAGATTAAAGAATCACAAATTACAGATCAAAAAATTAATATCAAGTCGATGTCCATGCTGCTAATTGAAAATATTTCGGCATGTAAACAAATACACGGAAAGTTGCGTGAGAAATTGAACATGTAAACAGCAAATCATTATGATTAAGGGTTGTTAGGTTCGAGGCTTTATCATCAACCGTCAACGTCTCGCAATTCGGCGTCGGACGTATTCCAAGCACAAATTCCTGGCTTCTTCGTTCGTCAGCAAATATACCAAGGGCTGAGTCCATGCATTGGTTGCAGAGATCATGTCAAGTATGAGTGGGTTCAAGGTCGTTGTCAGGTGAATGACTGAAGTAAGCCAAACGGCACAGAATGAACCCCACAGCAGGAGAACAGTGATGAGTCCTTTGAAGCGTTTGTAGAACCCAACGTATATCCGTTGCTCAAGTTGTCCCCTCAACTCATCAACGTCGACGTTTGGAGTACGAGGCGGTGGTAATTTCAAGTGGGCAACGGCACGGTTCTTTTGATAAGCAATCACGAGAAGTTTTACGTAAATAAACAAGGTTAAGACCAGCGTCAAGCAGACGGGAATGATTGTGATGAAAGAATTTACAAATGAAATCCAACTTAATCCAATACTTTGATCCCGAGTTAGGCAACGCGTGATCAGTAGATTTGTAAACAGGGAAAAGGGAAAGCATGGTATCGGCAGGAGGATTGCAGAGATCAAGACAACTGCAATTAACGTACACACCGCGATGGTAAAGAATCTTCTTTTTGTCACAATAATGGGGTAACGTAGTGGTCTTGCGATCAGGAGATAGAGATTAAAGCTAATCCCACACAGCAACGCCATAACTACCAAAATCATGACACGTTCTATGAAAGGAAAAACTCGACTTATCACAGAGCAAGTTTGAGAATTGTGGAAAAAATAGAAAGTCGTAGACCATGTGCTCCAGACGACCCCTAGAAGCAAGTCGGTTGTTGCTAAGGCCTGGTAAAGAAATCGCATGTATTCTTGAAGTTCCCTCTGATGGTGAATCGCCACCAAAACGACTATATTCAAAGTTGATGATAGTAAAGTATTTAGAATATAAAATACAATCAACTCTGGTTTTGTATCTGCTGCATTAAATGATGCCAATGTGGTGTTTGTGATATATGCAACTTCCGTTGACATTGGCGTTGGTGACATTGTAATGGTATATAGGTCTCATCAAAGTCATAAGAATTCCGGTTAAACTTGTTGGTCAAGCTATAATCGGGAATAGCTCTTTTAAGAAAAGCAAATGAGTCACTAATAGGGGTATAGACATACTGGCAGCGACTCGATGAAAAACGTTCGTTTTATTGAACTGAATCAGATCTTCACGGCCATATCCTGTGGCGTCCGAGAGATGTTCCTGTACAGAAGTTCATAGATGAGTATACTTCAGAAGGGAGTCGGGCTTGGAAACCTAGAGAAGACACCCTCGTACCTCCCTACCACTAGTGCTTGATGATGACATGAAGACCTTAGTCCAGCGCTACAGAACACAGATGACTTAATTAAAGCGTATATAGCTTCTGGCAAAAGAGGAGTGGAAAGAGATATACACAATAAAGACTGTCGAGACGGCAAAAGTAAAATAGAAGTAAATGTCAAAAATTCGAAACCTGCTTCACACACACACATAACCAAACACCTAATCGCACAAAATACACACACACATGGACACACACACGCACACACACACACACACGTATTTTCATTATTACAAAATGACGCTGTGGGTTTGACGTACTACATTATTAGTCTGTCATTTTAGCAGTTAACTACTCATTCAATATAGGTCTGATACCCATTGCCCCTTGACAGATTTGGAGTAGAGCCCTCCTTTAAAGGGGAAGTCCACCCTGTTTTTAAGTAGGTTTTGATAAGAATTAAGAAGTTTAAACTAATTAGAGAAACAGATCAATGAAAGTTATGATTTTTTGAAGTTGCATTCAATTAAACACAAATTGG